TCAGGGTAACAAAAAACCTTTTGGACTGATTGAAGGCTTTACATGACAACAATATAATCTTTCACTGATGCTAAACAGAATGAAATGAGGCACAGCTGGATGTTAAACACTTCTATTTGACTCCAAACAACATTTTTTCATGACAAAAACATCTTTTGTTTCATGAATGATCATCTCAGTGCCTCAGATGGCAAATCCTTCCGGTGCTGATTTCATCATTGCAGCGATATTACGGTCCAATCAGTGGTCAGTATGAGGCTCGCTGGCCTGACAGCAAGGCAATGTCATCTGGCGTACAGCACAGGGATTACAGCCTCTAATCTGCCTCTCATGAAACCCAACTAGACGAAAACAAGAGGGATCGTGATCATGGAATAAAAAATGGAACAATGTCGGAAACAAGACGAAAGAAGAGATTTGTTTTGGTCTACACGGCACCTTTTCCTTAGCCATATGGAGAGCTGCAAAAACCTGAGGCAGATGCAAAGTCCTTCAAGTGAGTCTTCATTTACTTGATGAATATGTGTGCAGATTTGCATGTACAAAGTCATGCTAATCTGGGTGTCTGTGCTCCTGTCTGCATGCACATAAACACAAACTGAGTTTAACCACTGCAGAATAAACAAAGGATGTGGCTCTGGATTGTTCTGGTGAGGGTTTCTATTTGCAGGGGTGTGTTTATCCTCAACGACTAGAAGAGAGGAGCCCAGGCTTCCACGTGTTACCACAGGGAGACCAATACATTGACACGGACTGCTGACAGGCAATGAGAATCAAAGTTTATCAACAAATATGTCTCACAATTATGCAACATGAGAAGAGTAATTGAAAAAAAGGGACTGGCAGCTATCTGTAGGGCTGGGTAATGAACTGAAAATTTACCGATGCCAAAATTTACTACAATAACCTACGCCATTTTGCCCATTACAATATATTTGGTGTCAAAAAAATAGATAAATAAAAGTTGGTTTTGGGTGTGTGTAGGTAGGCTATGGTCTCGTGTCCCTTTAAGATGCTGTCCTACGTTGGAGACATGACTCCACCCCATCCAGTCCGTAACAGAGAGGGAAAGACAGGTGAGGAGATGGAGAACGGTTCAAAAGTTGTAGCGGCTGAAGTAGACGAAGTTAATGTGGGAGGGGGTGAGCAGCTTGTGTAGTAGTTATTCACCCATTTGTTGTTATTGAGGTTAACTGCTCAATATATTGTGATATTGATTTGAGGCCGTATTGCCCAGCCCTAGCTGTCCATAACGTATTAAAATATAGGTCTAAGTCTTTACATAATGAAAGTGAAGCCTTGAAAAGACTGATTTGGATCTGCTGCATGTGATAAAATGTAGCAAAATAACGGAAACTCTGGCGTTAAATGTAGTGATATTATCATCAAAATTAAGCCCTTACAATACATAGAGCTCAAGTAAGTGACTGAAAGCCACGTGTTCACACCTGTTCTGGAGGCACTACTACACAGCTCCCTGGGAAATGTAGGAAATCCCCAAGACTAGACAATCAACTATCATTTACTGCAAATTAGCCATCTTTACTGATACTATTGGCAGTAAAAGAATGCCAAGTGTGATTTTCCACCAAGTGCAAATGCGTGTGTGGTTGTGGGGAGCCGGGAAGTGTGTTGAATCTCTTTGAGCTCATTAGACCGGGCTTTGGCAAGAAGTTTAACCATCGGCTCCAGCTCAGCTTATGATTGAAGAGGTTATTGTCCAGCTGATGGTTTGGTGCTGAGGGAGAGAGTGTGTGTGTGTGTGTGTGTGGAGCCTGTAATTTCACTCATAGTGTTGAATCAAAGAAAGATCCACAGCTGAGATCTACAGGAGCCCCTCTCTGGTTGTCGCTCGTTATGTCTTGCCAGAGCCTCATGCAGATGTCCCATTATCCAGTAATAGACACTTCACTCCTGCTCAGCGACTTCCTCTTGGCTTTGTCACAACTAGACCAGAGGAACACTGAGGTTTTCTCCAACAAGCTGCAGCACGAAGAGACATCTCATCACATAAATGGCTTTAAATGTGACTTTCAAACTATCTTTTTTTTTACTTACCCAACAAGAAACCTACAAACATGCAAAAAGGAAAAATGCTGCAAATCAAAACAAGAGTGTTTGGAGTCACAGCTTTAACGCATGGTAGAACAGTGTTAGATATATTGTTAATATAATTTTTTACATCTAGTTGAGTAAACTTGCTGGATTTTAGATTTCCATTAAGAGATCAAGAAATGAGTGGAGGAACGTCCCTGCTCTGAATACAGAGTGTAGGAGAGCTGCAGAGCTCAGTTAGCCCTGCTCTAACATCAACACTGAATCTAACTGCACTGGTGTAAAATTGACAAGGAAAAAAATCTGCCTATAATGCTAATGAACTACTACTACTAAACTCGTGTAAGTCCAGAGCCTTTGAATTTTTTTTTAAGTATATTTTTTTGAGCAATTTTGCCTTTCATTGATAGTACAGGGTGAAATGTGGGGAGATAGAGAGAGAAGGGGGAGGACATGCAGCACATGGTTGAGGCAAGACTTGAGCACGCGACCGCTGCATGGACTGTGGTCCCCATACATGGGATGCACTAACCCACTCAGCCATCTGCACGCCCCCAGTTGCAAGTGTTTTTGACTATGCTGCACACAGTCCGTGTAGGAGGCTTGTGCAGGTTAATAACTCTGCTGGCCACCCTATAAAATGTAGCAACAAACCTTTTCATTCTTTTAAAAGACATAAACACTGCGTTAAACCATAAACATAAAAAGCAAGCCAAGCTTACTGTATCTCCTTTTTGCATTATCTCAGTGTCTCATGTGACCATGTGCTTGTCTCTTGCAAGTTTACCCTCAAGTTATCAGGCATATTTTTTCCATTAAGTACATTTTAACAAGTCCTTATAGGGCATCTTGCTAGGAAATAAGTCAGAACAGTTTTGACACCAACTGTCAGAACTGATCGCTAACTCACCTCCTAGTCATTGCAACTAAATCGCTGAGCTGCAGATGTAATTAAAGTTTGGAAGTCAGTAGTCAAATAGTTAAAATCATCCAGCCTCTTGATGATCTTGACGTAAATCTCTGATCTGAAGTGATTAATGTGCCATCATTCATCACTTTAAGTATGAGAATAAAGAGAACTGTCAGATTGACTTTGGGTAGGATACCAGCGCCTGATAATGTGCCGTTGTTACTGTTAACCACAGAGATGCAGTGAGCAGCTGCAAGAAGTTCATGTTCTTCATGCAGACCAGCAGCTCTAAAAGGCTGAATTTTGTCAGTATTAGAGCTTAGTATGAAAAGGTATGAATTTGATACTCTGAAGTTGCTAAAGCCCCTCTCATAGAAGTTCAGAAAAATTGAGAAATGTATCACTGAAAACCAGAAAACTTTCCCTGAAATTGTCAACAGGAAAACCCCTTTCACTCTCCAAATACCTTCCTTTACCTTAATCCAAATTGTCTGGCTTTGTTTTGTCATCCATCAGGCTCTCTCAGTTCTGACCTTTGCTTGTTGGTGGTCTGTAGAAAACAGCGAGTAATAACATCTCCTTCTGTTCTGTCTGCTCTACTCATTGACAGCAAACTGCAGAGGGGGATCCTTGCCTGTGAGCATTTTAGCACCATCTTGTGGCGTTGAAGCAAAGCTGCAGTGCCTCCACTGCAAATCTGTATTCATCGATTGCTCTCTACAGGCTCCAGTGGCGCAATCGGTTAGCGCGCGGTACTTATAAGTCAGTATCCTGCAGAGTGATGCCGAGGTTGTGAGTTCGAGCCTCACCTGGAGCAGCAGAAATTTAGTGGGTGACTTGCTTTAATTTCTCAGTGCAGGAGTTCGTGCATCAGTGAGTTTGATTTAGACCTGAATCTGAGTGGATTAAACTCACTTCAACAGCTGTGGCATACACACTTGTTTGCATGTTCTGATTAAAGACCAATACTGTGTGGATAAAAGGGCTTTTATATATGAAAACATTCATTATGAACAACAAGAATACTTTGTTTTGATTTGCAGAACTCCTGAAAGGAAGTCAAATCATAAGAAACATCAGCCATCACAAGAGCTGACTGATCAATAGATGTCAAGTATAGGCTTTTGTCATAGCAAGATGGTGTCTATGCCTTTGTTTGAACATAATCTAGAGTACTTTTCTGTTATCAATCCAAAATACTTAAAATTGTAATCGTGCAATTGGAGAGAAATGGTGAGGAGGTTGTGAGTTCAAGTTCAAGTGGAGTATCAGCTTGCTTTGTCAATACCCGAATAAATAAAAACCACTAATCCTGCAGTCAGAGGAAAGAATAAATCAAAGTGATCGACCTACATGAATCAAAAAGGCATGCATATCACACACCTTTGTTTTAGTATTTACTCACATTAATAAAGACACTATGGGTGAGAAGTGAGGACAGGTCTCCATGTGACCAGGGCTTCATTTAAGAGATAAATCAAATGTACTTAATATAAGAAATTCATAGATCACCTGAAGTACCATATTATTGCCTTTAAAAGTAGACAGCAGGTACATAAAGTGCTCAGATTTTTTTTCTGACTTAATCTTACGAACAGTTTGTGATATCACATAATGTACCCATGCCATAATTCCTGTACTCCCACGTTGAAAAAAGTTCTGCTCCAGGTGAGGCTTGAACTCACAACCTCGGCATCACTCTGCAGGATACTGACTTATAAGTACCGCGCGCTAACCGATTGCGCCACTGGAGCCAATACTAGCATGCTGTTGTTTATGTTTTCAAGGGTTATGATCCTGCTCGCTGTTGTCTGGGTTTATTTTGATATCTCTGACAGGATACTCTCTGCTCTATTGGCTTTTTCATATTTAGCATTAATCTATCTTGCACTGTTGAGGGGATTTAATACTGTTGACCTTGAGCACATTCTACCCTTGTGGAATCTCAAATCTTTGACGGATGGACTTTTTAATGTCTCTGTCTCTGTCTCTGCTTGTGTTGTGTAGCTGGCAGGCGTGAAGGGAGCTAGCGAGCATGGATGAGCCAGGCAGCAGGAACAACAGCCTGCAGAGGAAAAAGCCGCCATGGCTCAAACTGGACATCCCGACGATCCAGCTGACACCGGATGACACACCCACGCTCAACCAGGTAAAAGTTAACAAAGTCAGAATTTCACAGCCGTTTCACTGGTGGAGCTTACACAAACAGAAGAACTACCAGAATTGAAACAAGTAGAAAAAAATATCTGGTTTATTCCAGGATCTCGAACATCTGATATTGTGGTTGTGGTTTCTTTGCAGCCCCTGAAGCGCCTGCGCAGTGTCAGCATGCCAGGTGAAAACCCCAAGACCCGTATTGCTGCCTTGGAAACTTCCAACAACTACCTCAGGCCTCATCTGGAGAGATTACCCTCCTTCACACAATCCATCAAGAGGTTAGACACACACACACACACACACACACACACACACACATATACACATATATGGACAAGTTCATGAGAGGTCCTCGTTCTTCCTCTGCTGATTTTCTGCAGCTGCTAATCCTCTTCAGCATGTTGCAAATCTTCCTAATTCCATTAATTCTTCTTCACTAATAAATCTTTAACAGAACTAATTAAAACTGCAGCCTCTTTCTGATTTAACACAAATTAATCTTGCTCTCTTTCGCCCTCCCTCGCCTCCCTTCTCTTTCATTTTGCCTTTTTTTTCCTCCTTGCTGCCTCCCCGTCCTCCTCTCTTCTTGCTGCTTCTGTTGTTAAGTGAGAAACGGGTGCGCTTTCAGCGGGTCAACACAGTTCCCCCAAAGGGCCAGAGAGGCCCGAGGAGGGTGTCGACCGTCCGAAGGCGATCCTGCATCCCCAAAATACTATCCCGACGGCGTTCGTCTATTCCCAAACAGATTATGAGGTACAAGCGTCATGGGGTTGGGGATGATGGGAGAGGGTGATAACAGCAGTTTGAAAGTGATTTAGTGTCTTGTGTGAAATGGGAAACAGAGTTTAACAACAACAACAACATCAGCAGTTACGGGCAAAAGTTTGACTCAGGGGAGAAGGTGGTTATTCTTGAAGAAAACATATGATACCTGTGTAACTCACTCTATCAGCTGATCGCTACAGCTGACAGCTCAGCGGATAAACTTTCACATATTTTATTGACAAATGTCAGGATGAGCATGCTTTCTAAACTTCTGTATCCTGCCTATCCGTATCTGCATCTTCTTGCAACCCACCTCCATATCAGCTCCTTGTTTTTTATCCTGTGTCACATGATCTTTGCTGCTGCTCTCCCTGCCTCGGCTTTTCATGCATGCGCATGAAACAGAAGGGAGGTGTCCTCTCTCTTCTGTTTCAGGCTTTGGTATCTCATGTAGGGGGCGCTCAGAACAGAGCCAGACCACCAAACTATTGCATGCAGATACTTTTCTCGTGGTCTTGACTGACTGAATGATTTGATAGTAAAAGCATGACCAAATATGGCGACTTGCATGTATCAGTTCGGTTTTAGAGATGCCTGCACACTTTTAAGAAGGTTCTTGGCAAGATTTTGTGTTTGCAAGATGTTTCGCTGCCCTCAAGTGATCAGAAAAAGAAATGCATTTTTAAGTGCAACTTGTTTTAGATCAATACATGATTTGAAAACTCAAATCTGCAACTCAAGATTGGATATTTTTATGTAGATTTCCACTTTTCTAGGTCAAATCTGAGTCAAGTCAGCATCCATCATAGAGGATAGACACATTCATGTGAGAGAAGAGTAAACAAGACCTAAGGACCGACTCGTTCATAATGCACACAAACACTTTGATGTTTTTCGCTCAATTTAAGTCCTCTTAATCCAACTTTACCTCTTTGTGCAATGTTCTGACACACGAAGGTTGCACATAAACTTTCACACATATGCAGAGTGTATCAGGCAGACAAAATAACACAATTACTCATGCAGACTGTCTATGTGCTTCACACAGCATGTGGGCCACATCAAAGCAGCTCCTCTTAAAGTGCTAAATGAAATGAAAATGTTTGAACAGAGAGCTGAGACACTGTTGTTCAAAGGATCACCTCATGCTTTAACCTTATCACTCTTAGGTTAAATATGTGTGTGTGAGAAAGAAAATGGTTGTGTTTGATGTTTATTGGAGAACTAATAGGATTGAGGGGGCGTTTGTGGATGAATGTGTGACAATTTGGGGGTTAGTTCAGGTCCCTCTGACTTTGAGAAAGCACATTAATACAGAGTGATTCTCAAAGTGTAAATCAGGTACTGATTTCCTCCAGATTTTAGTGTTCTGGGGTGACTTGGAGGACACCCTGATGCTTTCTGATCTACAGGAGACTTCAAAATCATTTTAACGTTAAAGAGGCTTTTATTTTGACAGATGAAACCACAGAGATACACAGACAGTCATTTTCTCATCCATACTCACATTTGTAATGACGGGCGTTTGAGCTGAGCTTCACACGCTCTATTGGACTTCTTTTAAGTGCTGACAGGAATGTATCGCTGCAAAGCAAGGTGGGGTTTGAGCTGAGCATTTGTGGTCGGGCTTCACCACTGTACAGTGTGTGAGTGTGTGTGTGTGTGTCTGTGTTCGGGTTGTGTTCAGGCATGTCCCAGCAGCCTCCCTCTCCTCTCTCCTCCCTCTCAAAGTGTATGATGTGCCATCTTTCTTCTCTGCCTCTTTTTAATCTCCTGCTTCCTGTGGAGAGCTGGTGTGTTAGGGAGAGGACTGGTGTTTACATACGTCCGATGTGAAACTAGAAAAAAAGAGAGAAAGAAAGAGAGAGAAGGAGAAGGAGGAGGACCATGTTGATGGAGGAGGTTGTTTTTGGGATCATGATGGGGGGAGTCTAACTTTGACAAGGACCAGAGCTGCTGTCTTCTTCGCCCAGTAGGTCACATCCTTTTACGCTCAAGGAGGCATACTGGGAGTCTGTCCAGCAGCTGACACATTCACACACTCCCACACACACACTCGCAGTCATATGGAAACTGGTATTGGGGACACAAGGTCCTAAAACTGAAAGTCCTGGATGTCTGAAACCCAGCTGGAGGAAGAGTGGGAGTCTCGTCTGACCACGGAGATAAACGCCAGGATTTACTTTAACTTTTGATCAACCAGGAGCTCAGTGAGCAGCACGGGGATGTTACACAAAGACATGACATGTGGTGATCATCCTGTCTTTACATAACAGAGAGTTTAACAAGGTAACACTGGCCTGGATATCAAGAAATCCCCTTATGGAACATCCTATGTGTGCTTTGCCGAGGATCAGTGAAAATTCAGCTGATGGGGGTTTAATCCTGGTCCGGGGGTAAGCAAGGGAAGTGTGTCAGTGATGCTGGTGATTCAGCTGCACTGTCCCTGCCCCCCACAGGTATGACACAGACTCTAAACCCCTCCTGGAGCTCTCTGGACAGGTGAGTGCGCTGTGGTTTAAGCTCATGAGGGCAAACCAAAGTGGGGGATGCTGAACAAATATGATGATTTGAGTCCTACTAATGTTAGGTAACCACTTTTTCATATCAGCTGGAAAAGCCTCCAGGACTTTAATGAAAAAACTTGGGATTACAGCTCACTTTTTAAATCATTTTAGTGTGTTTGAGGATTGTCTGGTGTTTTCCATGACTGTTGGTTTCATTTTTGCTTTTACAGAACTCAGACTTAGCGCTTTAAAACATCTGTTTTGTTTTAAGGCTGAGTCATAACAGACTCAAAGTTGAGACTACATTTTTTTGACTAGTTTGATCCTTCAATATAATTCATATGTGGTTGAAATTAAGCTTCCATGTGTTTTTTTTTTTTTTGGTGGGGATTGTTAATGCTGATTAGATATAATTAACACTCTAATTGCATGTATAAAAGTCTATATTTGAAGCTCTCTACATACTAGCCTATAAAAAATGTAACAAAACAGCTAAAAGTGTCATGACTGCTAGCTTAAAATATCTTCCAAATAGCACTTGTTGTATTCTCTCTCAATTGCATGTTAACACAGGTTTGCTTTATGTTTGGATCAGGGTTCAAATCTCCAACCCGCTAAGAAGGAAATGAACAGATTTACTATTGAGCTTCATCCACTAAATGTAGTGCTGTAGCTGGTAAAGATGGAGGTGGTTTCTCTCTTTAATTTTATTTATTAAACAACAGTCCACTTGAGTGCATGTTTTCTGCAACATTTCAGTGGCTCAGAGGTGGGGAAGGTTGAGCTCCTACTTTCTCCTTCTTTCAGTGGTGTGAGTGAGTGAATGTGATTTGTAATGCAAAAGCGCTTTTGTCCTCAGAAGACTAGAGAAAGCTCTCTATAAACACAGACCATTCACTATTTTATTTTCATCCGAATGTCTTACATGCCTCAGCTTGCGAAGGGGAAAAATGTATGAGTAATGTAATTTGTGTAATTATCAACAAATGTGACACATCATGTGAGAAGAGGAAAACAACTTTTTTAATCAAGGCTGGTGTTGATGGTTTTAGCCTGAAAGAGCTCACATTGTGGCTGTAAAAAAATACTGATATTACCATGAGACCGAACGGCAGAGATTCACAGAAATGAGTCCAACCTTAAATTTCTCCTCTATATGTTATATAACTTTTTTTTTGTAATTGTACACTCATTTGAATAATTCTATGCCTTTGGCTTTTTCTCTGTAGCTTGTAATTACAGTACTACAGATCCCTGCATCATGTGCTCCAACTTTACCTCCAGGACACGAGCTAATTCATGTGGTTTAATGCGGCTTTAATCTTCGATGGGCGATGAATTTGCACTGTTGTCAATCAGCCATGAAATATTTCATTTACTGTTTTGAGTACTTGTCAGTGCATGTGTAGCTGCCTTCATTATTTTTTCAAGTATCGAGAAACAGGCCTCAATATGTAACATGAGCGAGCTCTGCATGATTTTTTTAGGCAACTTTACCTCTGTGTCGATTGTTTCATGAGTTATAATTTTATTTTTTACACTCTGACCCTCTTCTTCACCCTCTGTGTTCCTGTAAATACCACTCCTGCTTCCTTAAACGTGTTGTCTTTCTTACATTCCTCTCTGGAGGGACAACAATCAGCGCTGCGCCGCCCCCTCTTTGCCCTTGCGCAGCCTTAAAAGGCTTCCCCAGCTGGCGTCCTTCTTGCTGATGAGACTCTAGTGTTTATTACTGAGCACTCCTCTTTCCAAACAGTTTCTCCCCCGGAGTGGCCTCCCCCCTTCTTGAAAACACAACCTGGCATGCAGAAGACACCAATTCATGGGAAAAGGGACCTGAATGCACATTTACTTAATGAGAAATAGACGCAAACATTCATATCATCGACAAGTTTCGACAGGGTGTACTTCTGTGCTGTTTGCAGGACTCAGACCAAGAGGTTGTGTCGGGACAAGAGAATATTTAACATGTATTCAGGATCATAAGTGTTCATGTAATCAAACATGCACTCATAAAAAAAGAAAGATGGAGCAGAGGGAAATAACTAGATAGGAGCTGCATTTATCAGGATTTAATGCTGTGTCATCGTAGTGCTGTGTGGGTTTTACAGCTGTACAGACGCAAGCCCCACATTTTAACTTTTCATCTCATCACTTAACCTTAATCCAAAATAAAGTTAAAGCTGATTTGCGCAATTGAAGTAAGCCTAATAGAGCTGCAGCCAAAGATTATTCATGAGTTTCACTCTCGCTGAACGCCCTACGCATGCCCTCTTTTTCTGTCTGACCCCTCTGTTGGTTCACAGTGTTGAATACTTTTAAAACCTAAACAGTGCTATGGTATTTCTTTTAAAGTTTGCCTAAATAACAGCAGGGAAAATGGTCCATGTTCAATCAAGCAGATGTCTTTTTGACATGCGGTTGTTCTCATCAGTCAAGACAAGAAATCAATCAGCAAATGAACCGATTAAATCATCAACTCATCCTCAACCAGCAGCTGCAATCAGTCAAATGATGGCTGTATTGTTCCGCTAATTAAGAGGGAGGTCCAATGCAATCATCTGTAGTTATCTCAGCTGTTATTTGAATGTAAAAGCAGATAAATGAACAAAATTCTGAATTAAAAAAAGCTGCTTTGCCTTTATTTTGACAGGACAGGGTAGTAGATAGTAAGGCTGGGTGATATGGTCTCAAATCAATATCATGATATGTTGAGCAGTTCACCTCTATAACGATAAATGGACGATAACTACTCCACAAGCTGCTCACCCCCTCCCACATTAACTTTGTCTACAGCTGCCGTTCCAGCTGCTACAACTTTTGAACTGTCCTCCATCTCCTCACCTGTCTTTCCCTCTTTGTTATGGACTGGATGGGGTAGAGTCATGTCTCCAGTGTAGGACAGCACCTTAAAGGGAAATGAGACCATAGCCTACCTCTACTCAAAAAAAACAAAAAAAAACAACTTTTATTAATTTATTTTTTTGACACTGAATATATTGACATGGGCAAAATGACATTGGTTATTGTCGTAAATTTCAGTATTGGTAAATTTGTGGTTTATCGCCCAGCCCTAGTAGACAGAGCAGGAAATAAGGAGAGGAGGGAAAGGAAGCGAACCTAGGTCAACCGCTGAGGCAAATCCTTGTATATGGGCAATGTGTAGACTGCTAAGCCAGTGGTGCTTCCAAAATAGAGCCCTTAGTTTTGTCCTTGTGTTTTGTAATGATAACTTTAGGCCATGAACAAAACTTTCTGTCTTCTTTATTTATCTCAAACTTGAAGAACAACAACAAAAAGAAAAAAAACCCTAAATAATATACATGTACATCAAATCAAATTTACACAAACATATGTATGTCAAAAACAAACAGTTTGAGAAGGAACAGAATGAAGTAAAGAGCTCATCTAGTCCTGCCCCTTCCTTGCAAATCAGAGCCAATAATTAATTGAAAAAAGAATAAACTAACTGCAAAAATCACAAAGACCTGTATAATTATCTACATACTCTGGTATGACAAAAGTCTTTGGTATTCTTCAATGAGAATGACTTAAATACCCACTGATTCATAACTGTGTTAAATTGGTTCACTAACTTGAGTCCTTTGTCTCTTCAGGGGTACAGCCGACTGGTTTGGGGTGAGCAAAGACAGTGACACCACCCAGCGATGGAGGAGGAAGAGCCTGCAGCACTGCAGCCATCTTTACGGGGGTCTAAAGCCGCAGGTGATGAGGGAGATGGAGCTCCACAGCCAAGACAACCTCTCCCTGGCCAGCACTGAGACCCCTCCTCCCCTTTACCTCCCATCCCACCACCCCAGTCACCACCACTATGGCATGCAGAGGGTAGGCCTGCACCTGGGGCACTATACAGTAGAAGACCAGGACAGTTATTCACTTTTTCCCCCGGTCCTGATTTCTCCCTCACTCCCTTATCTTCCTCTTCATTCCACTTTACATGAGTGGCGCTTGCTTTTCCTCCGTGCTCTGTCCTCTTGCAGAGGGTCAGTTGATGTATTTTTTTAATACAGCTACATAAAAAATGTCTTTTTAGAAGCTGACTCAGCAGCTTTATCTGGTTATTGTCAATGGACTTTAAGTAAATCAATTTCTTGGGGGTTTAATCCTGGTCCAGGGGTATGAAAGGGACACTAAAATGTCTAACTTTGAAAATGCTTTGCCACTAACAAATAGAGATACATCCTTTCCCCTTTCAAAATAATGTCATTACTTGCTGGTACATCAATCTAACCCTTGCTTGGATATGTGGTCCGTGCATCCCTGTGTTTACTCTTTTATGTAACTTCACATTTGAATATGAAAAAAAAATCTGTGAGACATAAAAACTGCTTATGCGTCTATGTGTGTGTGTGTGTGTGTGTGTGTGTGTGTGTGTGTGTGTGTGTGTGTGTGTGTGTGATCGTAGACCCCCTGGCTCGGGGTCGTGCCTTCCGCATGGTGGAGGAGGTAGATGGACTCAGTGTCCCGCAAACTCCCATCACGCCCGGCACCGCCTCCCTTTGCTCCTTTTCCAGCTCCCGCTCTGGCCTCAACAGGTTGCCACGCCGACGCAAACGAGAGTCTGTCGCAGTCATGAGCCTTAAGGCTGCGGCGGCACTAATGAAGGTGTTTGTTTGTTTTTACTTCTTGCTGTATAATATTTGTGTTATATTTTGATTCAATCAACAAATGTTTGTGCTTTGCAGAATCTAAGCTTTAAACTCTCTGTCCTCATTTAAACTTTTTAAGCCTCTGCAGCTTCTGTTGTTACTGGAATATCAATTATTATCAATTGTGAATTAAAGTTTAATATTGTATAATGTTTCTCCATCAATAAGTGAAGCCAGCGCATAATTTAAGCATTTAAAAACATTATCCAAGCATGTAATCTCCAGAAGATACTAGGAAAAACTACATCTGTTTTATCCTGATACAACCCTGCTGCCACATATGTAAAAGGATGGGTTTTATCTATGTTTTAACATCTATGCTCGTTGATAAATATCTGTGTGTGATGTTATGTAAACTATGAGATCAGCTGCTATAATGCAGATTAAACTAAGAGGAAAACTCTTACAGTGGATGACTCTCTCCATGTAGCCCACTCGGTGTACTCATGTGTTTGGTATAAACAGCTGGGTGGATGTTCACTCAGAGTATCTGTTAGTGGAGTGGGGGTTACCAGAGACATTTAACTAGCAGATGGCTCATGATAGTGCGCAGCCAGTGCCCTGATTTCTGCTGGATTGGATATTCCAGAGAAGCAGAGCTAATCCACTGACACAGAGTCCTCTGCTGCTACGTAACACTCACCAGTCATTAAGAAAGAAAGAGTACAGTCGGGGATTCCCCTGGATAAACTTCTGAAACCTTCGATATATTCAATCCTCTCAGCTTGTGCAACATCTTAACTCTTCACAGTACCATAAACCATGACCATAATGCCACTAATGATGATGACATGTGAGTGTTTCTTGCTTGTGTGTATGATCCTCGCTGTCAGGGCCGGACGTTAGGTGAAAGCACGGCCGGGCGGTGTCGCAAACGAAGTTTCATGCCACCGAGTTTCTTTGAAGACGACACTGTGGACTTTCCTGATGATCTGGACACGTCCTTTTTCACCAGAGTGAGCATAAACACACTTCCACACACTTCAAGGATAACCTTCAGTTTATTCAGCTGCATCTTTTAGAAATAAAGTTTGATTTGATTATCATTTTAATAATCAAGTCAACATAGATGCACACAATAACCTCAATTCTCTGCTTTTCTTCAGCCTGCACTTACTCAAACCATGCTGAAGTGTCTCTGTTATATCTTACTTTTAAAAAACTCAAACTTGTGAAATAAACCAAACAAAACATATAAGCAACCCTTGAAAGCCAAATCATTTGCTTTTATGCCCCAGAGGTGACAACAGTCATGTTTAGATAGAAACAAACAGTGGTGTGCAGATGGCTTAGTGGGTTAGTGAGCCCTGCGTATGGAGATCACAGTCCCCACAGCAGCCACGGGTTCAAGTCCAGCCCCTGACCATGTGCTGCATGTCCTCCCTGATCTCTCTCTATCTCCCCATATATCCAATCTGTCCTATCAATAAAGGCTAAAAATCACCCCCACAGATTTCTTAAACCAAGTCAGATCAATAATATAAATATTGCACAGATCCCTGAGAGGATTCCCATTTTGGATTCTGTGTCCTCTCTGCCTTTTTTTCTACTGTTCTTACCTTTTCCTTGTTTTACCCACTGTAAAAATGTCAAATCCCTCACCAAAACCACCTCTGACATCTCCATCCACGTTGACCAATCCCATATCACCCCCTCTTCACTCGTCCGTAACCTTGTAATCCATCTCGACCCCAACCTCACTTTTGACCACCATATCTCCCAACTTGCCCGCTCTGCCTTCCTTCACCTGAAAAACATTGCAAGACTCCGCCCCTTTCTCTCCCCATCTGCTGCCGAAACCTTGATACACGCTTTCATCACCACCAGACTGGACTACTGCAATAGCCTCTTCTACGGTCTCCCCTCCACCACCCTCAACAAACTTCAACACATTCAGAACTCCGCCGCCAGACTTCTCACCCGCACCCGCCCATACGACCACATCACCCCCGTCCTCCGTCATCTCCACTGGCTCCACCCTTTGGAACTCCCTCTAAACACATCTGTGAATGCCCGGACCTCATCAGCTTCAAATCTGCCCTCAAAACCTACCTTTTCACACTCGCTTTTATTGACCCCCCCAACTCACCATTATCCAACCCCTCACATCTGCCCCTCCCACTTGTATTCTTTTATTCTTTTTATTCGATTTTATCTTATTTTTAGCTTGTTACTATTAATCTTTGCCTCATTGTATTTTTATGTTTTTTAACTTTCTGTAAAGTGTTTTTGAGCTCCTGTAAAAAGTGCTATACAAATAAAATAAATTATTATTATTATTATTATTATTATTATTATTATTATTATTAAATGATCTTTCTGCACATTTTTATGATTACAGTTAGGTCTCCAGTGTTGGTAATAAGAGCCACAGAGGCAATGGTCTTTTTTCTTAAACATGAATCAGCTACATGACACAGCCATTCAACAACCCCTGTAGTTATGGACGTACTTATGCTCATGTTTCGTTCACTAATAGATATTTTTTTAAAATATTAATTTAATCTACAAATATGTCCTTCCTGCTGCTTCAAGTTACCACCTAATGTAAACTGTTTTCCAGCCTGATGGCTGAAGCATACAACCCTTTAAACTGAACTTATTTTTGACATTTGGGCTTGAGTCACACTTTTTGACTCCCTTTTTCTCGGTAGGACGGTCTGCAGGATGAGTTGTCCAGCTACGCTGATGAAGTTTTTGAGACTCCCTCTGAGGCTGACCTCAAACAGCTGGATGAAAGGGAGCTTACAGGAAGTGCGCTGGACAAGAGCGAGCTGGAGAGGAGCCACCTCATGCTGTGCGTGATCATTTACATGCACACATAAACCTCTGACACTCTGCAGGGGTGAAAGTACTCTCATATGATTTATCTCTATTAAAACATCCCTCTATCCTCTTCCCGTCACTGCAGGCCCTTAGAGCGGGGATGGAGAAAAGCAAAAGATGTCTCTCTGGTTCAACCCAGGGTTCGACTGAAACAGGAAGTTGTAAGCACCAACAACAAGCAGCAGAGGGGACAGAAGATCGTAGTTCCCGTTAAAAGACTGTTTGCCAAAGAGAAGAGGCCTTACGGACTTGGCATGGTGGGACGTCTCACTAACAGGTCTTACCGGAAGAGAATTGACAGCTTTGTCAAAAGGCAGATTGAGGACATGGATGATCACAGGTAGGGGAGCAGCTGAAATTTTATATTAAAGATGGCTGCTGTGATGTAAAACTAAATAATCCCTCTGTTCTCTGCAGGCCTTTTTTCACCTATTGGATCACATTCGTCCATTTGCTCATCACCATTCTTGCAGTCACCATCTATGGCATTGCACCTATTGGTTTCACACAGCATGAAACCGTCGACTCTGTGAGTATATTTCCAGGTCTTTACTTCATAAGTTGCAGATTGTTTTGAATAGTTTTTGTAAAAACACACAACTCGGTAATATCAGTTTGTGTTTTTTTAGGTGCTGAGGAACAAGGGAGTTTATGAAAATGTCAAGTTTGTACAACAACAAAACTTCTGGGTTGGTCCAAGCTCAGTGAGTATTGGTTTTCTTTGTCAAACACACTCTGTGGTAAGTGTATCCCCATCAGAGACACACTTAACAGTTTGTATATCATCATTTTAAATGCCTGAAACTGGTGCGAGAGGGTAGGTGTCAGCTGAGGGGCAGAGGAGACCGCCCCAGTTTTTAAAATTTCAACATAAAATATTTACAATAAATTAAAAAGTTTTAGAATTACCGATTTTGTAAAATATACTAGCCGAGCAATTAGTGCTTTGTCAACTGACACAAAAGTTTCTCTCTTTGGCTTCTGTCCTGTAGGAGGCGCTGATACACCTTGGAGCAAAGTTTTCCCCATGCATGCGTCAGGACCAAGAGATTCACAAACTAATACATGAAAAAAGAGCGAAGGAGAGAGAGTCCGGCTGCTGTGTCAGGAACGATCGCTCTGGATGTCTACAGACTTTACAGGAGGAATGTTCGGTCAGTGAAACAGTCACAGATATATGAACCCAAACTGTAGTCCTTACAGTCAAACCCAAGACAATATTTTCATCATGTTTGCTTGATACAGGTGACAAAATAGTCAAAATTTGCAAATGGGGACAGCTTTTGTCACTACATCAGCAGTTTTAGTTTCCTGTGGGACAAAATGAAAACAGATCAATAAATTTCTTCTCCGTTTGTCTCTGCTTTGCTGCAGAGCACCCTAGCTGTGTGGGTGAAGTGGCCTCAGCACCCTAGTGCTCCCACTCTGAATGGTACACTCCGCCAACATGGGGCAGTCTGCCATCAGGACCCCAGGTAGTGTAGACAACTTTGAGTAAAGTGTCAGCTCTTTTACTGAGCAGATCCCTCTCTTTTCATACTCACTCCTTCTACTTTCAATGTCTATAGAATCTGTCTGGAGCCGGCCTCAGTGTCCCCTCATGACTGGCCTGATGATATCACCAAATGGCCAGTAAGAACATGTATATTATATTAAAATTTAATCATTGAGATATTCAGAGCATCTACAGTACAGAATAAAATGTCCACTGGTTCTGATCTATAGGTTTGTACAAGATACAACTCTGGGAATCACACCAACCTCCCCCACATAGACTGCACCATCACAGGCCGGCCCTGCTGCATCGGGACCAAAGGACGGTAAGACGGTCATATGATGGATTTAATTTGCCAAAAGTGCAACTACAATTGTTTAAATATTGGTCACTATATCGATGAATGATGGTTTTAATTTCATGTCTTAGATGTGAAATCACTTCCAGAGAGTACTGTGACTTCATGCACGGCTACTTCCACGAGGAGGCAACCCTCTGTTCGCAGGTAAACCAGACAGACTAACTTAATCTAAGATGTGCTTTTTAAGGGATCTCTTTTTTTCCCTGCAACCCGATGTGATATATTTGAAGAGTGTTTGATGTACTTTTTTTGTCTTGAATTTAAAACTTTGCTGCTCCAGGTGAGGCTCGAACTCACAACCTCGGCATTGCTCTGCAGGTCACTGTCTTATAAGTACCGCGCGCTAACCGATTGCGCCACTGGAGCTTGTAGATTCCTACTGATCAATCGCATCAAAGTACTCTAGATTATGTTCAAACTAGGGCACAGATACCATCTTGCTATGACAAAAACCTATATTTTATATCTATCGAGCAATTGTCTCTTGTCAAGACTGAAATTTCTTGTGATTTGGCTCCACTCATGGCCTTTCAGGAGTTTCTGCAAATCAACAGGGTTTCCTGGTTGGTCATGATGAACCAACATTCCCCATGGTAGAGCACCTTTATCCACACAGTATTGGTTTTTAATCAGAGCTTTCAAACAAGTGTGTATGGCACAGCTGCTGAGGCAAGTTTAATCCACTCAATCAGTCTCAGTGATGCACAAACTCCTTGTGCTGAGAAAGTAAAGCAAGTCACAGACTAAAATTCTGCTGCTCCAGGTGAGGCTCGAACTCACAACCTCGGCATCACTCTGCAGGTCACTGTCGTATAAGTACCGCGCGCTAACCGATTGCGCCACTGGAGCCTGTACACAGCTGATGATCGGACTGTACTTGGACTGGATTCATCACAGTTCAGTGCCCTGGCTGAGAGTTGACAGGAGTTTGGAGTGAGCTGAATTGTTTCTCTTGTGGATATTTTCAGTGCTATTCTCACTTAATGATGTCAAACAAGCCCATTGTTTTTGTAATTATTAAACTTGGAAATGATAGGGACCAAGTGTTCCATAAACTTTAAATAACCTCACCAAAGTTTAGAGATGAGTCTCTATTTGGAAAAAGCAGAATCAGTTGACTTTATCAGAGGTGCATTGTTTTTTTATTTATCGCCAATTACTTGTTAGTGAGTTTCAGCTCTATGCACAACAACAGCCTGAGTGCACCTCTTTTTTCAGAGTGGACTTTTATTTCAATATCCATGCTAAATTTCTGCTGCTCCAGGTGAGGCTCGAACTCACAACCTCGGCATTGCTCTGCAGGTCACTGTCGTATAAGTACCGCGCGCTAACCGATTGCGCCACTGGAGCCTGCTGACAGATGATGATCAGACTGTACTTGGACTGAATTTATCACAGTTCATTGCCCTGGCTGAGAGTTGACAGGAGTTTGGAGTGAGCTGAATTGTTTCTCTTGTGGATATTTCAGTGCTATTCTCAGGTGGATGAAAATGAGATGAGAGTTGGTCTGATCTTTAAAGATGGGGCTCAGTCTGATCCCATCTGTACATTGGGTCTTTGATAATTGAGTTTGGTCTAAACCAGCTTTTCTTTGTCAAGCATCTTTGATAACACTTGTGGTGAATTGGTGCTTTATAAATACAGATTGATTGATTGATTGATTGATGACTCTGGCAATAGTGTAAACCTTTATTTCAGCATTATTTAGCCCCAGCCTGAAATGCTTCATTTTTGCTGCTTTTCCAGTGACCTACAGTTACACACACCTACAGCTTGTGGGTGTTACTTTTTATCCAGTTTTGTTGTCATAAACCTACCCAATCAGGAAACATCTGAAGGAAGCTGTTAGTGCACGCAGGTAGCACAACCTACTATCGTGAATTTATGCAGGGGTTGTTGTAAGTGCTCAGATTTCAAGATCAGTGTAATTTCTGTCCGACTGCACATCCTTTTTCAGAGTGGACTTTTATTTCAATATCAACGCTAAATTTCTGCTGCTCCAGGTGAGGCTCGAACTCACAACCTCGGCATTGCTCTGCAGGTCACTGTCTTATAAGTACCGTGCGCTAACCGATTGCGCCACTGGAGCCTGCGGACAGCTGATGATCAGACTGTACTTGGATTGAATTCATCACAGTTCATTGCCCTGGCTGAGAGTTGACAGGAGTTTAGACTGAGCTGAGTTGTTTCTCTTACGGATATCTCAGCTCATAACTCTTGAATGAATAGGGACTTTACTTGAAAATGATGGGGACCAAGTTTTCCAGCACATGCCTCTAAATAAACTCCACATAGCTTAGAGATAAATTTCTATTTACAGATTTTGTATAGAGTTGAATCAGTTGACTTTGGTATCAGAGGTGCAGTGTTTTTTCTGTACAGTTACACTCAGCTTTACTTTTCACACAGTTTTGTTGTCATGCATGTACACAAAGGTAAGAGGGGATAGGTGTCAGCACGCACAGCAAGCACAAACTGCATTCTAACCAGGCTTTTGGACGTAAATTAGAACACTTTACCATCATCAATTTATACACGGGTTGTTGTAAGTGGTCAGATTTCACGGTCAGTGGGATTTCTGTCAGATTGCACATTGTTTTTTAGGGAGGACTTTTATCTCATTATCCATGCTAAATTTCTGCTGCTCCAGGTGAGGCTCGAACTCACAACCTCGGCATTGCTCTGCAGGTCACTGTCTTATAAGTACCGCGCGCTAACCGATTGCGCCACTGGAGCCTGCTGACAGCAGATGATCAGACTGTACTAGGATTTAATTCATTACAGTCCATTGCCCTGGCTGAGAGTTGACAGGAGTTTAGACTTAGCTGAGCTGTTTCTCTTATGGATATTTCAGCTCATAACTCTTGAATGAATAGGGACTTAATGATGTCAAACAAGCCCATTGTTTTTGTAAGAATTAAACTTGAAAATGATAGGGACCAAGTTTTCCTGCACATGCCTCTAATTAACCTCACCAAAGTTTAGAGATAAATTCCTATTTACAGATTGTGTAAAAAGAGTTGAATCTGTTGACTTTGGAATCAGAGGTGCAGTGTTATTTTGAACAGTTACACTCAGCTTTTGGTTGTTACCTTTCACACAGTCATGAATTTACACAAAGGTAAAAGGGGATAGCTGTCAGCATGCACACCAAGCACAAATTACATTCTTAGCAGGCTTTTGGATGTAAACCAGATCACTTTACCATCATCAATTTATACTCAGGTTTTTGTAAGTGCTCAGATTTCAAGGTCAGTGGGATTTCTGCACATCCTTTTTTCAGAGTAGACTTTCATTTCAATATCATGCTAAATTTCTGCTGCTCCAGGTGAGGCTCGAACTCACAACCTCGGCATTGCTCTGCAGGTCACTGTCTTATAAGTACCGCGCGCTAACCGATTGCGCCACTGGAGCCTGCTGACAGATGATGATCAGACTGTACTTGGACTGAATTCAAAACACTTACTCTCCCCCACAGGATTGCAGCATTGGCTCTGCAGGCTGACTGATGGCTTTATTAACCTGGAGTGTTTTCTCCATTACTCTCTCTTCCTCTCTCTCTCTCTTTCAGGTGGCCTGCATGGATGATGTGTGTGGTTTGCTGCCTTTCCTCAACCCGGAGATCCCAGATCAGTTTTCTCGACTCTGGCTGTCTCTCTTTCTCCATGCAGGGTGGGTTTAATCAAATCTGTATATTTTAAGATATCACATGGATTTGGGTAATTACTAAGGATTCCTATTGTATTTTTGTCGATAGAATCCTGCACTGCCTGGTATCAGTATTTTTCCAGATGACAGTGCTGAGGGACCTGGAGAAACTAGCAGGCTGGCTGAGGATTTCCATCATCTACATGTTAAGTGGCATCACCGGAAACCTGGCCTCAGCTATCTTCCTGCCGTACAGAGCAGAGGTGAAACTTCACCTTCACAACCAACTATAAGGAAGTACTGTATCTTACACTAAAACTGAGACTGCTACACAATTTTTTGTCTCTGTCTCAGGTGGGTCCTGCAGGCAGTCAGTTTGGTATCCTGGCCTGCCTGTTTGTAGAGCTGTTCCAGAGCTGGCAGATCCTTGAACGACCATGGCGAGCCTTCGCGAAGCTCCTAGCCATCTCTGTTTTCTTCTTCTCCTTCGGTTTGCTTCCTTGGATTGACAACTTTGCCCACATCTGCGGTTTTGTGTCAGGGTTCTTCCTGTCCTTTGCTTTCTTGCCATACATCAGGTAGGTGGAGACAAAAGTTTGGTACGTTTTGGAGGAAATAAGTTGTTTCCCCCTGACTTAATAACTTGGAGTTATGATTGAAAATGAGTTTTTTTCCTCCCCTCAGTTTTGGGCCGTCTGACATGTATCGCAAACGACTCCAGATCTGCGTCTTCCTGTTGGTCTTCCTGGGTCTGCTCTCTGCCCTGGCTGTCCTTTTCTACGTCTACCCAGTGAAGTGCGACTGGTGCGAGTACCTCACCTGCATCCCCATCACAGATGAGTTCTGTGAGAAGTACGACCTGAACGCACATCTCTTCTGAACTATTCACAGCAAGATTCAGAACTGAGAAGAGCTGAGCAGTAAGATTTCTCCTGGGGAATTGACCAGTGTGTTTGCATCTCATGTCTGTGTATCTGTGTTAGGAAAAGAGAAAAAAAAGCCTTCAGGTTTCTGATCAGAAAAGAATCGCAAACAGGTAAACAGAGTCATTGTAAAGTTGATCAGAAAGGACTTGTAACTGATCTATGTGTGACTGATCTCTAGCTGGGCTAATCAATGAACAGTCACACTGAGGGAGAATTAAATATCGACTTCTTCTGTAGTAAAATGGACACAACAGTGCTCCCTGGTGGTCAAAAGGAGCAGTGCAGCATGAAATGACTGCAAAAATATTTGTTTTCTACGTTTTTTACTGATGTCTAAAGAGCTCTCTCTATTTGCTCTTGGAGTTTAAACTTGCCAAGAAATGAAACTTCAAAGTGCTCAAATGTGCCTTATTGACAAAAAACCCACACACAAAAATGTCATTTTGTGCCATGGATGAGTTTCTGTTGACAATTTCTGACATCAAGGGTTTCTTTGCTTTGAAGAAATTGTTTTGCATATTGACGCAGAGTCATGTAAGCATGAATAACATGTGAGGCTCATGTTTGGAGGCTGAAATGCTAAAACGATTCTTCATCATGCTGTATCCTTTGGTTTCTACAACAGCCTTTGATGCACTTCAACCACAACTGAATTGTATTTGATATGCACTGTGTTACAACTGTACAGAGCACACTTGTTTGGTAGAATGCTTGACTGTGAGAAGTTGTTACCGTGGTGAATATGTGTTTTTTTTTAATCCTATGAGGTGGCGTTTTAGCCATCTGACAATAAACACTAGAAAAGAAAGAATATTTGGTTAATTTGTCACCTGATTACATTATTTTTTGACAAATAGCTTACAAAAATTTTTATTGAGATATCTGGTGATGACAAGGGCAAGAGAAAAATAGATGTAGTCTTAAGATTTGAGAATAGACAGGCTTCATGTCTGTTAACATCAGATTCTACAATTGAATGAATATTTCTTGAATTATAAATGAGAACCGAAAGTTTTACACTCCTTTATTCTTACACTCACCCAGCCTTCATTACCTTAATTAAATGATTAACCCCACAATATCAAAAGAAATATGTTTGCCCATTAGTTTACATGCCTTTGCTCTGCATATCAGAGTTGTTAAAGGGAAAGTGTTGTAATTTTAAGGGAATGTGTATATGTGTTTTTAATGGGTTGCATGAGGTACTTTACAGTAGTAAATAGTGAGGGGGATGTCAGTAACATGGAGACTGGGAAATAAACAGATAAATCTTAACAATCAAACAATAAAAATATCATGTTTAATACAGATACAAACTAAGAATGACAAATATAAAACACTCTGCATACAGATATCTTTTTTATTTTTTCACATTGTTGCCACTTGTTTCAAGATGTCCCAGCATGCATCTCTTTTAATTTGGACAGTTAAAATGCAAAGCCTGGTTCTTTGTCCAATAAAATGATAAACAATTCTCCTATATGAATCAGGATGGACATTTGCCTTGCCCATATTTTAGCTATAAGTTAAATACTGAGCAACAAAAAAGTTTGCCTCAGATATCAGAATGACCACAAGGTGGCGGCTCAAGTCCAATAACTCACAGGCTGAAACTGGTCCAACATAAAGGCCTCTGAGGGTATGAAGCTGTAATTTCAAAGACATTGTTGTGTGGCTCTTTGGTATTTAAACGTCATTAATTCAAGCCGAAGGTTCATCAGTATGCAGAACTCTTCGAGGTGCTCCCTGGTCCCCTGTGCTGAGTTTGTTCTCACTAATACACAAGGACACACACGCGTATAATTGCTGAGGCTGTCATTAAGTCTTGTCTGTAATTGAGTCTAAATAAGTGTGTACTTGTCATAGAGAGGAGCTGTAAGAGCACAAACAGAGATCTGCATACGAAATACAATGTATCTATTTATTATTCTTAATCCTGAATGATTTTAGTCTAACTGTAAAAATGCTTCTACAATGAGGTCAGGAGTCAACATTACTTTTTTTTTTTTAAATGAAATACAGAGAAAAACACAGTTCAGGACAGCAATATTACAGAGATGGCAGTCTGGACCTTTGCAGCTATTAGCGTCTTTTATCAATAGTCGAACAATGTCTGACATTTTGATGATCAGGTTATCTGAGGACAGATGGGATTTCTGTTTGACTCTTTATCCTCTTTCATGAAGTCTTGTTGTCCATGTGCCACTTTTACTGCTGACATTTCACCAACTGAGGTTTAAAATCAAAGAGAGACAACAGAGGACCCTGAATTCAGGTCTAGCATAACACTCCCAGCGTACGAAGCTAATATTGGCAGCTGGTTTTGAACCACATTTGTTTTTAGGCCTGCATGCTAACTAAATCATTTGGATGACTTATTCAGTGCTGAGATCTAAATGAGATGTATTACCTCGCAGAGCCAGGTACACTTTTGCTTTTGTTTCCTGTCTGGATGTGGAGCTAATTTAGCTAGCCTTATGTTAAGCTAGCTTTCATATTAAGCTAGATTCACAGTGGGAATCAAGGTGTTCTCACCAGTGAAAGTTGTTCTTCCATTAATATTTTTCATAAATTTTAACAGTTACATGTCAATACAATTTGAGTAAGTAGCTCCACATGTGCGCAGCTGGACCTCTGTTGGCACATGCTCAGTTAGAAGTTTACCTCCGCTTGTAGCTTTAATATTTACCACTAAAAAAATCTTTTTGTGAAAAAGACACGTCGAAACACAACCTTTGCTGGTGAGACTGCTTAATTTCTTTTAACAGCTTAGAGCCAGTCGGAGCTCTGTATTGTGTTTGCGCTAACAGAGGTCTGTCTGCATATAATACACTTGCTGAGATAAGATGGGAAGTTTATACAGAAATACAATAAAAAGAAGAGCTGCAATATTCCGGCGTAAAATTAAGTTAGGGTCAAACACATCGTATCACGAAGTTAGACATTCCCTCAAGAGATGAATGTTGCAAACCGCTTGCTTCTCTAGTTATACCAACTTTAGTAACGACCTCAGGATAGCAATACACAGCGGTCTGAAGAGCCATAAACAAAAAGCCACTCTATAGCTACAAATAATGCTCAGAACAGCACCTAACTTCATCAACAGTACATATAGGGTCCTAGCCACAGCACTAGCCACCAAACATCTTTTTAGCTTTGCCTGATTTCTTAAGCAAAAAGATAAACACAACTCACCTACTCTCTTCCAGCAGCCGCTTGTTTGTAGCGAGACCTCAGGCCAGTCCATTACGGACTGCTGCGGGGTGACGCAGCTCAAGGAAGAACATTTATGATCATTACTTTATCATTTCCTTGAAGTAATAATCACCATATTAATCATTAAGGTAGTTCTTCTGCCTTAGTGTCTCAGTCTGATTGCATTTCCATGAAGAAATGATCATAAATGTTCTTCTCGCTACAAACAAGCAGCTGCTGAATGAGAGTTGGTGAGTTGTGTTTAGTCTAAATTCAAACAGAATAGAGGTTTGATGATTAATTAAAATCATGTGAACAGGTACCAGATGCACATTTAAAATTGCCTATAAATCCTGCTCTTTTGTCTGATGCTAATTCCAGCCCTAATTCCCATTTGAAGGTTTGAAAATGTGGACTCCCTAGTTTTCCCCGGTGGTTATACATCTTATTCAACCTTCTGTTCAGACTGCTAGTTTGCATCTCATTCTCATGCAACTAGATTCTGCAAGTCTACTTGCCCATGTCGTTCACTTAAAATTCACTATAAATATAAAATAGTAACTCGCTCACTCTTGCTGAAGTTCTCTGGCAGCTTTATGTGAGAACCAATTTGAATGCTTTTGTCCTCAGGTAAAAAAGATTTTAAACAATATTTCGAGATTAAATTCACAAGTCTGGAAATTTAAAAATTATAATGCACTCCATCAAGGAAGCTGATGAAATTAAGCCAGACTTTTCAATTTTTTTCAAATGCTGAAATATAGTTAACTCTCACTAAACAAATAAATATTGAGTTATTGATTAGATAGATAAATATACAGTTACTACTTACAGTGGCTTTAAGCAAGAAATACATGTCATATTCCACATGAGACAGTGTGGGATCTCATATTCTCTGCCAAAGTCCTCTTTTTGTTTCTAAAATCTGGCAGAGAAGCTAATACTGACAAATTAATGACCCTGCCGACATACAAGTCCTGAAAAATCCTCCTCAGACTCATCTTATTCTGTCATCTAGTGGGTGCTTTCTTAATATATGCTGCACCCAAAGCCATTAGAACCCCCATCCCCCTCCCCTATTCATTGCCACCCCCATCCCCTCCAGACTCCTCAAAGGAAATTATCTCTCTCCCTTTCCAATCCAACTCCATCCCATCATGTCCTCCTCCACCTCATCTTCCTGTCCATTTCATGCCTCCCAATTTCCATCATTCATTCATCACATGGTTTTTCCAATCCCCCCTCCCCCTCCCCTCCACACCCCAACTCTCCATCACAGCTCCTATAGAGATGGTAATGTGACATGAAGAGGATGGTATCTACAAGCCAATAATCAGCTTCAAACGAGACACACGGTAGCCTGCCTCGTAGATACTTCCCCCCCACGATAGTCTACTCCTACTTTGACTCAGATCATCTCTTTAAACACTGAGTGAGGAAATGTAACTTTTGAGCTCTTCGCAGATTAAAATCAAAAAGAGGGAGCCAAAAAGAAAGGTAGCCAGCTAGCCATATCATTGAATAAAGAACCCTGTAAAACTGGATGTCACATGATTAGCGCACATCAACACTATCGTATGTCCAATAATGGATGGATGGATGGATGGCTAGATGGATGGATGGATGGATGGATGGATGGATGGATGGATGGATGGATTGACAGAGAAGCAGATTGACAAATTGACTAACATAAGGCAAATAGACAGACAGACAGACAGAAAGATAGATAGATACATGGATACATTGATAGACACATTGGTAGATACCTAAACACATTGATAGATACATAGATGGATAGAAACTCGATTTGTTTCTGGAAGGCCAACCTGAAAGGAGACCCTGACAGCTGGCCAACAGGTGGTCACTGACAGACCCTTTCCCTTCTTTGTGCCTGGAACAACCAATACACACACACACACACACACACACACACACACACACACACACACTCCTCAGACTGAGGACCCAGGCCATCAGGTGAAGGAGGCCGACCGGGGGGGATGGGTGTGATTGTGTGTGTGATAGAGTAAAGGGGGAGGGGGTAAGGAAGGCCCAGCACGCACCTGTCTGATTAACCCACCTACGGCAGAGCTGATGGAGAGTAATGTTATAGCCCCCCCAGAAACCACATGGTCCTATACACCACCTGGACTGACACTGATAAACCCTCTCTACCTGTGTACCTCTGTGTGTGTGTGTGTGTGTGTGTGTGTGTGTGTGTGTGTGTGTGTGTGTGTGTGTGTGTGTGTGTGTGTGTGTGTGTGTCATGTCTGCATGTGTGAGTGTGTGTGGGTTTTGCTGTAAAGTGTTTGCTAAAGCCTTAGTACACACACCTGAACAACAAAGAAAATAAACAAAAAAATAGACTGTAATATATAATTATATGAAAGTTTTTTTATTGTTATAATTTCCCATTTTTTTATCCAAACTTATTTTCTCCAAATAGACGGGTTTCTTGTGTACAAACAATGCGAGGTGCATGCGCAACCAGGGGGCAAAAGCCTGCTCCGGAGTGAACTGATATTAATGAGATGCTGTATTGTCTGCAAGTTCTCCCTTGAAACACAATTGCAATAAAATGTCATTTCATTGAATAATCGCTTTGTTTTTTTTCATTGCATCATAAATTTAAAAAAAAAAAAAAACACTTGCTGAAATGTCCATGAATTTCACTCAGCTTACCAGGTTGTGACGTTGATTTGGATGTTTCTAATATTAGGAGCAGGGTCGTAATGTTAATGAATGCTAACAAAGTCAAAGTAAAAATGTTTACGACGATTTACAGCACAATATCTTCTTGTCATTTTCTTTCTCCATTGACTCCGCTAGTAAACAAATAAGAAATGTCCTGCTTTCTGCCCCCTGGCTGCATGCGCATACCTGCAATGACGTTGCACAGAAACCCATTTATATCATTATGAAGTTTTCTTTCTTCTTATACTTTTCAGACCCATTAATGATTAATCTTTGGGATCCTGGTGTTACAAATGCTAAAGTTGTAAGATGACTCCCTTTCACATGAACATCATATATTGACAATTAATAATTGGGTTTAATAACATTTAAAATCTAGAGTTAATTCGAAGCTTGTGTCCAAAATATTTCTACACTGAAATACAACAAACTTTTTTGACCATCATCTCACCAATAGTGCTGCCTGCTGACAGTGTTAAACTTGCTTACACCATTGTCTTGAGCAACACTTACATCAAGTTGCATCAAACATGTTTAAGATGATATGCTAACAACCTAAAACCAGAGGGATTAAAATGAGCATATTTACTGTATGTAGATGGAATTTCTCACTAAAAATACCACCTCCCCCACAACAACAACCATTAACGAACACTGCCCGGTCATCTCCAGAGGATAATCCTACTCTTCCTTGTCATGTGTCCTCCGGCTGTATGTAGGACCTCCACTCATTTGCTCCCACACAAATACACAAAGGGGAACTTACTCGCATATCTCATTAGTAATCACTCTAACAATACTACTTCCCTGAATGCCCTTTAAGGATCTCTGATGGTTGGTAATTCGCTGCTTTTTGCTCTATTGCTCTGAATATGTTAGTGCATGTGACCCTCTACCTCCCACTCTGTGTGGGCTCTGTCTCGGCGGACTAATTTTTTTACGGAATCTTCATCTCATATCCAGACAGCACACAAGGGATCCCGAGAAGGGAAAGCCGATGAAAAAAATGTCAAAACAAATGTAAAGACACACACACAGAAAACAAACAAACAAAAAAGGAAAGACGAGGTAAAGAGAGTGAATAACAGAGTAAAGAGAATGCAATATTTACAAAAGGTGTACCACAAGGATCAATGTTGGGTCCTGTATTCCTTGGACGATATACATATGATCTCCTCAAACATACAGTAGAAGATGTTTGCCAACAATACAGTTATTTACACAGATTTAAAAAAAAAAGCAAAACCACAGAAGAGTCAGAAATCCTGTAAAACTCAGAGAATTGCCTCGCCTCGAGCTGCATTATCTTCCTTTCTATGGGACCTTCATGTTGGCGTTCTAACCACAGTTAAAAGGGCAGATAGTAGCTCACATAACATACAACAAAGGGTCCTGACCTGAATCAAAAACAAGAACAAAACAATATTAAAAGCAATGGAAACATTCTTTTAAAGAATATTTTTCCTATAAATTCAGCAACAGAATGCACATAACCTTTTTCGCCTTTACGCCGGTTTGACATATCTTAGGCAGACATCCAACCACTGGATCCTCACCAAAGGTACCAAAGTTCAACAGAGACTCTAATGAAGAGCTCTGCAAGTGACTTTTGTTTTTCAAAAAACTGCCCTTGACAAAATTTCAGAATAAAAGCATTGTGAAGAAAACAAAGAGAGTATCTCCTAAGAGTGAAAGATCATGGCTTTGCTTTGAAAAGCATACCAGAAGCATCTCTGTACATGATCATCACAACAGATGTGGGTGTAATCCTTCACTTTCTTTCCACCGTTTCAGCATCAACAAGGCCGTTTCCAGCAGAATAACAGCTGAACTGTTATAAAACCCTGTGTGATACTTGTCTGTATATGGATGGAGTTATCAGCCTAAACATTAGTTCTTTAGGAGAAACTCAAAGAATCTATCAGGATTATCCCATGAAAGCATAGTTAACAAACACAGCATGTCACATTTCCAGTGTTTAACCTATTCATTACAGTCTTCGGTGGAATGTGGCCCTCCCACATTGCACTTATCGTATTGTGCGCCATAAAAATGCGCGGTTCACCCTCCTCATTTCATCTTGTTCCAAATAGTTAGCGATGGGTCAACAGCGATGCATAGCTGTGAGGAGGGGACCATTGTGTCCGGTGTAAGACAAGCTGTATTAATCATTGTGCAAGGCAAGTCTGAGCCTGTCTGGATGGATGGAGGAGTGGCAGCTGGCTGTTACCGATCAAAGGGCCGTGATGACTCAGCACATAGTGAGGGTGAATTTTTACTATCGTCCAGTTGTTTTATTTAAAAGCAGAATTTGCTGTTGCATTAATCTGAATTTGGATATTATGCATAAAATGGCCAGATCTGAAGGCATTAAGATTTGGGGTGTAACAAGTGCTTTGTTTTTGGTTTGGACAACTAAAATTCAGTTTCAGGATCAGGTGACAGGTTTTTAGGCGGGTATATTAGACTGCGTTTACATGTGCCCTGCTATTTTCATAAATGGACATTTCACCCTCTCCGTTTACAAAAAACTGTGTGCACACCACTAAGTTTTCAGAAAGGTTTTCGTTTACATTAGCCTGTGTATATATACCGCTCAAGCCCACGTTAGCCAATCAGAATCCCGCATAATAACACCAACAACGTTTCTTCCGTCATTCCTGCGCACAATCTGCTGTTGGCTGCCCAGATCTCAGTTATTCTTCGTGTACATGCAAAGGAGTTTTCTAAAACCTCAACTCTTGCCGAAGTTCTTAAAAAGCATCGTCTTAAGGGGCGAATTCTTTGTTTGTGTCTAAACAAAGGATGCAAACGATGATTAATATTTCAGTTTTTATAAATAACTGGGTACGTATAAACGGGGCCTTTATCTCTTATTTGTCTTCTTACAACAGTTAAACTTCTATAAAACTCTAACAGGCATGAATATACAAAAATATTCAAACACACCATCACTACCGACAAGACAGGCTGGCGTGTTTCAGAACATAACATCTCACAGCAGGATGTGCTGTTCTGCTTCCCTGAGCATGTCTGCTGAATATTTTTGCTGGTCAATCATCAGCAAAATTCATAACAAAAGAGATAGGAATGGTATTTAACAAATTTATGCAAAGGGAAAGCCTCTATCCTGCTTTTTGGATTTGATGAAAATGCAATCATTTTCAGCCCTACAAATGTCTTACACTCAATCTCCCCCCTTTCCTATCTTCTGCCATTATTCTTTCGCAGTTACAAATCAGTCTCCCCTGTCCCAGATCCAATTTGACAACCAAATCAATGTCTCATGAATATTTTTGGAAGGCATCCTGCGCCATAAGATGAACTCAGGCTAGACACCATCATCAGCCTTAACTTTCAGATCTCCAAACTTCACGCAAGGTGCAATCTTCTCCTTGACTTTCCATCTCTGAAACTTATTTGATGGGCTGCACTATTGATTGGTCTTATTTTGGTTGTAGCGGCTTTGTTTGGAGCTTTAAATCGATTCAGAACTTTCTTTGGCAATCAGCTAATCATCCTCTGATAAGTGAGAAGAATCAGTTTCAAGTGTGTGAAGAAAAGTCAGAGGAAGAGGTTTGTATGGAAGTAAAATCTTATGTTTACTGGGAAGAAGCAGAGGAAAATTCCACAACCTTCAAGGGATCACAACCTACTGCCAAATATGACCAGACAGTTAAGATCAACGCCTCTCCTTCACCGCTTATCACGCTAAATCTTTGCTTTTTTGTTTGTGGTTTTATCTTGTCTCTTTATCACAGTTACCTGTGTGAGGTAGAGGGTATACACACACAGTCTGCTAATACACAACCTGTTCTTGTCAGCTGTTTTATCTTAAACTCTCTAATCTGTTTACCACGGGTCACCTGCGTCAATAATAATTGGAAGCAGCTCTTCCTTAAAGATAAGCGCCCAGCTCTTTGTTTCCTTCTCTGTCTCGCTTCATGTGCAGCAGAGCGATTTAAGCGTAGGTTTTGCAACATCATATACTATATCGTGTATCACAGTTCTTGTGTGACGGTTGGTTGTTTTATTTGTTCTCACAAGAATCACACCGCATTCCCTCCTTTGCTTCTCAGCTCTCTGTGCTGCCGTCATCTCTCATTTCTGACAGGCTTTGTGGCATGGCCGGGGCAAGTTTGGGCTTGTACAGCTAGCCCTCCCAAGGTCTGAGGCATGCACACACACACACACACACACATACACACACAAACACACACACACACACACACACACACACACAAATTCATACACACAAACATTTCCTCCAATCAAAGCCAGACCTTATGAATGCCCCACAACACAATTGCTGATTTTAGTGAGGATGCAGCTCTTCAGATGAGGCCAATCATGTGGGTATCTACTAAAGTGGCCGAAGTCGCCCATTTGACCCCTAGCCACTGTCAAGGACATTGTGCCATCTGTTTCTCTCCAATTGAAAGTGCGTGACTGATAAAAGATATAAAGAAAAGAAGGCATTTCATTTAACTACCCAACATGTGAACTTTTGTTTTATATGTACGTATACCGATAAACAGATCATTCTAAATCACAACTCACAGGAGCAACATGGACCTTTAGTTCTCAAATAGGCTAAAAGGGTAAAAAGATGTGTATTGGTATGGTTGTACAGTATATCAGAGAGAGCTACACTGCAATGCTACAGTTTATTAAGAAGAAAGCACTCGAACATGCCTGCATGCTGGATAAAAAGCTTAGAATACTAGTCTAGCCTTCTGTTTTCTCACACAATAGCTTTTAATAGCGTTTTTTTTCTTTTATATACATATATATATCAAAACAGGTAGCATCTTACATACTGGTGCTACTGGCTCTTACGGTAACGATGATATAAACAAGACCCTAGCTAGCATTAACTGTCTCCCGGTCATGATCGCTGAGTCAGGCTGCCAAATCATTGGAAAAAGGAAAGCTAAATGCTGTTCCAGGGCAGGTAGACCTGCAAGCCTCTGTAATGATAAATAACATACCAAAAACAGATTCTGAACCAGTTAAACTTAATTATCAATGAAAAGAGATGTCAAAGAAGAAAATCAACATTTTTAGAACAAATGAAATTTTGAAAAATGTTCCATTTCAGTACAAAATGTGTAATATAAAAATGATTCAGGATGGGTTTGGTTCTTAAATGGATGAAAACCAAATCTACCCACAGGCGGAGCTCATACATATCAATCAGCCTGCAATTACCATGTCTGGTCTTGAAACAGTCTGGTCATCGTCAATTTCCTTTATTCTTCCTCTCAAGCTAAATGTCGAACAATTTGTCCTTAACAGTTTTCCTGTCCATTCAGACTGCAGGTCTATCCTATTGAGTACATAAAACCAGACCCCTCCTCTTTCCTCCCCAACAAAACCAAGCACAGTAACCCTACAGCTCTACTGTCCTGCCTCCGTCCTTAACAGTATAGCTCACAGACACAACAAGTGTGGTGCTGGCTATTTACAGGGGGTGGGCTGAGGTGCTCCTGCCAGGCTCTTTATGGTCTTGGGTGGGTTGTAGCAGAGAATAGGCCCCTGCCAGCAGCCAGCGGTGGTCAGGGCTATACATGGGAGAGGGTCTCAGCAGGCAGCTATTGTCATGGTAAACGGAGGAGTGAATGGAAGAGGACGGGCAGGACACACACATAAAACAGAGGAAAACATGAGAAAGGGAGGGGAAGAGAGGAGACAAACACTCGACCACCTCAGAGATGGCACAAATATAAGCTGGAGGAGGCCTTGTGTGTCTACATTAATGAGGGGCTTAAACATGATGCTCTTACCTCACCAAACCTACATAAAGCCATGCTGTTACCTTTCTTTAAAGGAGGGTGAGAGGGAATCTCTTAAGGGATGCCTTCATATGACAAAAACAAACAATCTTCGCTGGTTCATGCTTTTAAATTTGCAAACGTTGGATAGGAAAAATTTGACATTTGTATGTTAGTGAAAAAATATTTCTCCAGCAGGATTCACAGCTTGTGTGGACCAAACTCAAGTGCACATGAATTGCGCTCAAGACCACCTCTTCAAGCAGACCCCGGTATGATTGTGTTTGCACAGATCAAATCAACTAGACTTTGGGGTCAAGTGTACTTGGATCTTGGTCTAGTCCATGATCTGAAACCTTCCTAAGATAGCTAGCTTGCAGGATGGCTTGTACTAATGAAAGTCAGTTTGTGACTCACTGTTTACAATGGTTAGAAAGACATGTCGGTTTTATAAAAGCAGTGTTTCACCGATGAGGCATTGACCTCCAAGGTCAAGTCAATGAATGTATTTCCAACCTTACAGAGGGAATCTTCTGTTGTGCATTCAGGAGGAACACAAGGTCTTGAATTCTCCTACATGTGAGTTTGCCTGAACATCAAGTCCTGTGAAGGCTGGAAAGGCTGCAGACCCAAACGGCAATCTCCAGTCTTAAGAAATGAGGCCAAAATCTGCAGTTACACTGAGTCAGAGAAGCATTTTTTGGGGGCAAAATGTAGTCTGTGCTAGTTTTGAAAGACAAATCCTTTGTAGTCTCCATTCATCAAACAGAGGAGCCTCTGAATTGGGACAGCTAAGTAGGTGTCCTCTGTACATGTATTACATTCAGATATAAGAAGGAAAACTTAGAGGCTTCTGTTCCTGGAAACATGACACAGACATGCGGCTGTTGTAGACTAGATAGATAATGAAATTGAGAGGGTGTTGAAGGTCGCATTTATTGATTGATTTTATTTATCTAAAAAATCTGCATTTACACCTCAGATCTGAGACATAATGAGAGTGTCTGTCAGCTGCCTCACCAGGGCACAAAGGGCACAAAAAGGGTTAAAAGGCTTTGGTTGCCCGATAATCCTCCACCGTTAAAAGCCCTTCAGAAAGATGTGACGTGTGTGAGGTAATCAGTAAAAGATTCAAGTGTGCCAAAGCCTGAGTGCACACACACCCACCCACACACACACACACACACACACACACACACACAAATACACGCACAAGCACTTTTCAGCACCACACAGAGTGAACAAAAAGGGAGGGAAAAGACCGAGTAGAGGAGGGAAAAATAGAGAATAAACACTCCTCCTCTCTCTCTTTCTTGGGTCGTTTTCACTCTTCTGCTTACCTCTGAGCCCCTGCTGTGTCAATACAATGTGACAGAGATTTTCACTACAGCTCCCTTTCAGTCATACAAACACTCACATGGCTGGCTGATATGACCTTTTTGACGTCTTGTCATCTTTTTTTTCTACTTGTATTGTTCGGCAGAGTCTTTGAGGGAGGTTAGACCACCTTGTGAGACACATTTCTGTCTGTCTTGGTGACCATGCTGGCACAACTACCAACATTTTCTGTATACATACTACACCTGTATTTTTTGGCCTTTGTAACAGCTGTAATTTTCAGGAAATGTTACACACAAGCTGTGGTGTGGACAAGAAAAAAGGAATATTGAAGAAACCACTTTTGTACACGGGGCAACAGTTGAAGACTTTTGAGAGGCAGCAATTTCCTTACACCTCATTAGAATAAGTTTATACTGTGATTCAACGACAAAAGAAAACCTGTCTATCTTTCTGGCTTTGATTTCTTAAAAGATGTAGAATAAAAAGAATTAAATACCCCATGCGAGACAACGTCATTTACATAATTTTTCCCTCTTTGCCAATCTGTCCCTGGCCAATGGTCTTCAATTACCTTCCATGTCACAGCATCGAGCACTCAGAATTTGGCATTTAGATGTTTAATTGACTGTCACTGATAATGGGATTGTGTTCATCCAACCAGGGTGCAAGGAGGGGTGGCACAAGGCCTATGAAACTGTTAGAAGGAGAACGGGAGAGGAAGACAGACATTCGCTCTCTCCTCCAATAAATACTTCAATTCGAAGAAGACTTTGGAGTACTTTATAAGAAAACAGTAACAGACACTTCATTCCCTCTTTTCCGTACTCAGATTATGTACCATGCCTTTCTTTCACAATCGAGACAGATATATGAACACGAAACCATTCTGAGTGAGAGAGTAGCTGTGTGACGGGTCCTTTTACCTATTTTGAATTACTGTATGTTCAGGAGAAGAACTCAAAGGATACAACAGGTACTATTGCTGTGTTCCAGTTACCTCGGAAGTTGGATGTCGGAGCTGGAAATAATGTTACACCTGAGTTGAGCTATTGTTAGCTATACCAGTTGAAAACAGCACATAATACAGTATTTCAACCAACAAACACCATAGTATCATGTCCACAGTTAGACGTTGGGCAGTACTACATAGAACACTTATTTAATTTCACAAAAACAAAACAGAAGGGCTAATAAATAATACATTACGAGAGATTTTACTGTTACTCTTTACTGTTGATGCACTGTGCTGCCATATTGGATTATGACGTTGTTGTCAAATCAAGGTTGGTGAGGATAGTCTGACTTTCTGAGGCGGAAATCTGACTTCAGAGGGGCGTTCCAGGTGGATTCCCGACAGAGAACTCGGAAAATCCAATTTCCAAGTACAAATGGACTGCAGCATATGTTCCACATTAAATGACAGGCAGGTTGCCTGACTCAAGGAATGATCAAGAAAATGTATCATCAAATTGAATAAAAGATTAAAGTAGAAGTAGCAACAAACAGTATCTACGCCACTTTCTGCTTTACAGTCAATTCATAGGTAGCAAGTAAATCACAGTTTAGCCAAAAACCCTGAAATGTAAGGGTTTTAGTCAAAGAAAATGTCCATGAGCCGTCCTATTATCAACACATCCGAACAGGGTCTTCACATATGGTCAGAGTGTATGTTCCTCTCTAGCTACAGCTAGTTAGGCTGTAATCGGTGTCAGCCAGAATCAGTACCTTATTCACAGGACTTTCTTGGATAACCACAATGATTTTTATTTAGGGGACAGTGTAATGAGCTACAAATGACGTACACTACGAGTCATTACTTTGGGTATTTACTGTGAAGAATTTGGGGTATATTTTCATTATAAGGCATTACTTTTTAAGTTTTGTAGAATCAGGGGCAGGGCTGACTTGACAGGCTGGTAGACATAGTGAATTTGTTTGTGAGGAGGCTAGAGGCCTACCTAAATGTCACCTCTTCCCAGGTAAACCAAAAGTTATATTTCTCTTTTGTCTTAAGGTGTGTTGAAGGTTTTTTCATGCACATTATAGTCATGTCATACTTGCTACACATGCACATCACACACGTGCACACTCAGCTCCGTGCCCACTGCAGTTCGCAGGTAGTTGGCCTTTTCCCCGCTGCTTCCCAGGGGAACATAGATGTTAACAGGCATTGTTGGGGGGCTGAGCTGAGGGTGGCTTTTTAATAGCTCATGATTACTCTGGAGAGGGGAGCCCATAATTACAACCACAAATGATTTCACGCCCCTCACCCCCATGATGTGCTTTGAACCTAATCACAGGGAAGCACAGAAGGGGTGTAGCAGAGGAATTGGAGCTTCAACAAAAGAGGTTTCCCCTTTGCCCACTGACAGGAAATCGAGAAAATGAAACGTGCCGTGTTTCTCTTAGAGAATTAGCCGTTCTGCTACATAGGAAAACTCTGTCTGTGTGTCTACTGTGACTCTGACACCCTCCTCATAGACAATGATTTTGGTATGGTGAGTGGTGAAGACAGAAAAAGTTTAAGATATTTCCTGGATATTGACTGTGATCTAAAGATGCTGCACTAAATGTTTTTTTCAAGGGGTTGTTGAATGCTGTTAATCCAAATTTGCATATTCCTGACAACGAATGCAGACATTTATATTTAATTTGATTTCAAGTATCCAGCGTCAATTACTGTGTCAGACTCAAATACAGAGGGAGGCTGTAAAAGCCCTCACTTCCACGAACACAGAGCATTTTTATTCAGTTTAATGTGATGCCAAAATAAATACTTCCCATTTCCCACACAAATCCCTCTGTATCCCCAAAATGTCCCCTGAGTTTCTCTTTTCCTTGTTGTCTCCCATTGTGTGTTTGTCTGCCTTTCTTTTTCATTCCTCAACAGTTTCTCTTCAAATGCTCACTGACATCATCTTTTCATCTCTTCCCGAAAAGCTCGAGAAGGTTTATTTGTCATTGCTTCACTCGTGTTTGCTTCTTTTATCCATGAAACATAGCCGAGGGGCCTCCAAACAAACCACAGACAGAAAAAGGCAAACGCAACACAACGAGACAAATGGTAGGCGCGTTGTGGTAAGTTGCAAGATCTTCATCTTCTGCAGTAGATAGAAATCATTGAAGAAATATCATAACCTCAACTTTGGTGTCCTTCAGTCCTGCACACGCCTTCACACGCACACACTTCAACATTACAATCAAAGCGAGTTAGCATTCTGCCCACACATCTTTCGCCCAGCCCATGCCAACCGGCGAGCCAGCCAGACACACAAACACATAATGGCCAGACTACATGTTCTTATTGGAGGTGCAGACAAACAGAGGAATGCTGGGGAGAGCATGGTGCAAACGGTACGTCTGCCCACATCAGCCAGCCTTCAATAGAGATTGGCCAGGGACGCGTAAACTGGCCCTGCAGGAGTAGAACAGTTAAATGGGGGGCTTCTCTTCTTCTTCTCCTTCATTGTCTGACTCTTAAGTTTCAAAGAGAAAACGCTGGAACCTGAACAAGTGTCTGAAACTTGGCCAAAACTCTGACATTTACCTACTTTATATTTACATTTTACGGGAATTCGGTGTGCAACGGGGAAATGGGGTTACTTTTCCAAAGTACTTGACAAAAGGCCCCAGGAGCGTGAACAAAGAGACCAGACCCAAACCTTTATATCTAATAAACCCCTTTTACATTACTTTTATTCATTTAAAACAACTATTCACTACTTTTAAGCATTAAATAAGTCATTTCTCACAGCTGTTTATCCACAAGTTTTCACACATTTATCATTTTCATTATCATTTTTCTTTCACTTTTAACTCTTTTGGCCTGTAATCATGGGTTTTTGGGCAACTTTTACTTCTACTTTATCTTCAAATCTGCATCTCACTCTACCAGGTTGTGACGTTGTTTTAGATGTTTCTAATATCAGGAGCAGGGTCGTGATGTTTGCCAATTGTTTGTTTTGCTGATTCGTGCAGTTTACAGCACAACAGCTCCTTGTCATTTTCTTTCTCTGTTGACTAAGAAATGTCCCACTTTCTTCCCCCTGGCTGTGCGCACATTCGTTGCACAGAAACCCATCTATAGTTCAGGGGCTGCAGGAGTTACATTGTACTCACGAGTGTTTTGTCGATTACTCTGACGAGGCAGATGTTGACTAAGGTGGTGTGACATAAAGTGATTTTGTATTGTTTATCTAATAGTGGGTATTGGTGTACTGAGATACACTTCTCCTGAAGGTTTAAATTAAGGTTTAATCTCAGAGTACTGACACACTTTTGTCAAGTACACTCATCCCTTTACATGATCTGAAAACTTTAAGTAGAAGCCCAACATTTGCACCACAGTAGCATTTCTACACCAAGCAGGCTGGTGGGAAAATTTGCAGATGAAGTCAAGAGGAGAATCTTGTTTGTTTGTGATCCTACATGTAGCTCACTCAGATCATTTAAAAAAGTTTTCAGGAACTTTAAGCATGTTTGAAAGAGGCTCACTTCAACTGTTTGTTTGTCACCTTTATCATACTTGCATTGATGTGCTATTTTTTTCTTCTTTTAACTGGTCAAATGCCTTTTAGACACATTTCCTTAATCTTTGTTTCTTATATCAACATTTTGTCTTTTACCAATACCCTATTTTCCATACATTTTAATTTTATGCAGTCTAGGCATTAATTATGTCTTACAAGACATAGTTAATGCCTTAAAATTACTAATATTAAAGATACTATTTTCCATATATCCCTACTTTATCCCATGTTCCCGTTCCTAATAAGGATGGCTTAACAACGCACAGTGGTGTTCTGTACTGTGATATGAAGCTGTTATTATTCAAAGTCGGTGTGTCTTTGATATTTTCAAAGGAACGTCTCCTTTTTAAAGCACTGCGTCTGATTTTAGAGTAAATCCTTTGTTTTCTTGACCACAATAGAGGAAACATTTCATCTCACTTTGACTTCATTAGTTATTCCCTTAATGATGCTGTGCAGCCTCAGTGTTGAAGGTGCCCCAGCTGTCTCCTTCAGTCCAAGAGTAAACAAGCTGAGAGCTCTCAGAAGCCGCACACACAGATCGCAGTGGCCTGCTACTCTCCCCACCACTAATTGACCATCGGCCAAAGGACAAACCTCAGTCCTTCTGCAGCGTCCCTGCTATTTTCCTTTGTGTGTATCCCCCTCATTGTTACCTCTCTCCTTATTTTTTTCTCTTTTTCTGACACTCTGTCCATATTCACCTTCCCTCCGTCTCTCTTTCTCATCTCATATTCTCCTGTATTCTTTTTCCATCTCCTTCTGTCTGCCATACCCGTCTGCAGCCTTGCATAATTAGCTGGATCGAGCCGCTGTGGGTCTGGTCCAGGTCTGGCTCTGGCTCAACCCAACTCATTACAGAGAATACGCCTGTCTATCTTACCTTGTCCTCCTCTGCTTTTCTTCTATTGCAGCGAGTGCATGGATTCGGATGGTGAAAAGACTCAACTAAGTGGCTCAAGGATCAAAGACGCAGGCTTCGAGGCATCTCGCACTAAAACTCTCAATTTCTTTTTTGCTGATTTTTCCGCTTGACCTGCATCATCGGCCTTTTGCTGGAAAGCAAAACTACATAAATGCACTTTCAGTCAAAAATCCTTTTTCCTTAAAATTCTTGAGTGACATTTACCATGATCTGCTTGGAATATATTCACACTGAGAGGTGCAAGTCTTTTCTTTTTAGAAATTGTTGGCAAAAGCGAAATATTCAGTTCGGCAGTTTTCTGTCAGTAAACAGAGTGGGAGAAGAGGAGGTTGTCAGCTACAGCTCGAGAAAGGAAACCTTCACCGTGTGGCCCACTGGTCAGTTTCTCCTCCATACAAATATATTTTTACAAAGTTGATATCCAAAGTCCCGTCCTTTCTTGATTTGATCATTCAGGTTACAAGCCATATTGACAAGTGCAGTGGTGTTCTGAGTGTGTTGGGTGACAAAAACCTGGTAGTGTCTCTTGATGTAAAATCAATTCACTGCCATTTAAGCTACTTTCAGTCATGGGTTGTTGACTTTAAATGCATATTTGAATGTTTCTTTGAGAGTGTCAGAAGGGTAGTCAGGTCAGGCATATATTTATTTAGCTGTTTGAAAAAAAATACATCCTTCTTGTGAGAGTATAGTACTCTCATAAAACCCTCTGCACAGTGGCATCCCTCCTTTAATCTGTCCAACATTCAAATCTGCAGATGAACAATATACTTCTAAACATGTATGATAACCAGTGTCAAAAGCCAGTTTTACTCTTTGCTCACTGCTGCTTTGACTCCACTGACTTCTTTTCTGTCTTAGGCCAAGGTGAAGGTCTGTGAACCCAACTACAAAAAAGCCACAGAAAAAAAAAAGGCAGAAAGAGTCGATTTCTTTTGCTATGTCATCGCTAAGAGTTTTACAAAGTGTCTAACCATGTATGGAGAACTTTGATCCAGAAACAGAGGGACAGAAACCTTGCATTTTCATGGAGTCAAATGACTTCTGTGTCATGTTAAGGAGGCAGGTCCCGCACAATTAGATCTTGTCTCTCTTCATTCAGAACCGTCCATCCTTGACTGTTCACATTTTGCATTCAGATTCAATTTATTTGCGAGACCACAACTCAGTGACAGAAAATGTATGCTTGGCTTTCTATTCAGTGACCAGTATTCAATGCTTCTACCTCCCACGCACATTTATGATAAAGAAAGTGCAAAGGAACCACTGAAACAGCACTTACTCACATTTTCTATCGTACAAACCAGAATGAATGAATAGAGTTAGAGATGTATCTCTTGAGTTTTGATTTTTTTTTCAATCATCTGTTCGCTTGAGCATTAAACTAGTTGCAAACCTTGCAAACAACATTAGAAATAGTATCTGTAAAGTGTGTGTGCTTAACAGACTATTCAGCTGAATTGACTCAAGACAGGGAATACAATGGAAGACATATAAAGGACTAAGTTCAAGCATTGCATCAATGTAAAGCAGGCAAATTTGCTTTCATTCAATAGATCCACATAAAACGATTTAAAAACTTTGCATCAATAAAATTCAAGTGCGATTTGGCCCAGAATGTTTCTTTCTTTCTTTCTTCCTTTATTTTATTTTACTAAATAATTGAAAATTCCAACTCTTAATGGGCCCATCATGTTCCACAGCTCTTTGCAGTTTGCTCTCGTGTTGTGTCTGATCATAAAATCAGACTGTCAGCATCCCCACTCTCTGCTGTAATGGCTCAGTTGAAGTGTAGAAAGAAAAGGCATTCTTGTGTTTGATATTATTGTTTTTGATTCTGTGCTTCAGGTCATACATGTGCCACTGTGATTTCAGACTGCATTTTGACAGGTTATGCCAGTCACTGCTACAGTAGTTTCAGGGCACACCAAAGTTACATTTTGTCGGGCCTCTAATTGGCCATGAAGGGCTCACTGCACCACTGGGAACAACATGTTTACTTTCACCCTTGTTCTTTATCTTACATTATCGCAGCGTTAAAATGTAGAGATTTTCTGAGACCTGTTTCTAAAATCAAAGTGTGCGGTTACTTTTGGTATATCTACATGGTGAGAGTCTGTAGTCCTAAAATATCCCACTCTTTACCTCAGGTAAATTTGCGCCCTTTCCCCCGTGTCTATCTACCCATCGTGTCATATCCTCTTGTTACACCATCTCTTCTTCTATTTCCTCGCTCATTCTGGCTCATTTTCCTTCCAGCCTTGGTCTCTATCCTTCTCTCAATTACCTCTATAACCTCCTTCATTGCTCCCCTGCTCTTATTTTCTCCAACTCATTTACAACTCTCAGCCGTACCTTCCCCCCACGGCGCTGCCTCTCATCTTCTTCCTCTCTGTCACGTCCGCTCTGTTCTTCCTCTCTCCATCTCCTTCTTCTTCATCATCTTAGCTCCTCTATTTCTTTCTCCCCTTACTTTTTTTCCCTTCACCTTTTCCCAGCAGAGTTCTTGGATCGGTTTGTTCTCCAGTGGCTAATTTGACTGTTCTACTTGCCAACCAAGCAGCAGGAGCTCAGTGTGTGTGTGTGTGTGTGTGTGTGTGTGTGTGTGTGTGTGTGTGTGTGTGTGTGTGTGTGTGTGTGTGTTGCACATCTCCCCTGCCAGCTGCTGTTATACAACACTAGTTCTTGCCTCTACACACAAACACCTGACTTGCCAGCAAATATGCACACACACAGATAAAACCACAGCCCTAATGTGGGCCATCACATTTGTTTAATCACTGTCTCCTTTGTGCATTCGATTACACGAACTATGTGTGCATGCTTTTGCTCTATCAGCATTCATGTTAGCTGCCATGATCCTTGAACTGATGATACTTTACCTCCCGCATATTCTCTCAGTGATAGTGAAGATAATCATCTGAGGGTTAAACAGCATATAAGTCTCCTCCTCCAGTGGCTCTCATCATGACCGACAGGCGGGCAAGCGTGAAGTCAAAGCCGAGCAGCGATTGGTTCCAGCGAGAAGTCTAATCAGCACATCAAGCATGAGCGCCTTAAGTGGCTCTGAAAAGATGAGGCACACAAATGTAATGCATATATCTTTACAGATACAAATCTCATGCAAATGCAGTTAAATACTGGAGACTACAGGGAAATATAAAAACTAACAGAGGCACACACTCTGAGCGCCATCATGATGTTATAACGGGACTGCTTCAACCCAGAGCAGCAGAGCACATGATATGCTAACAGACTGATGTGCTTAGCACATATCCACAGAGTCACACACACACACATACACCAATACACACAGCTCACATAAGCCTGATACCTTACCTGTCAGAAGCAGGTGTGGCCTCCCAGGACCCAATCAGTTTTAATTAACCCCTTGTGGTGGTGGAGGAGGGGTGTGGTACAGGGACAGGAGAGAGTAAGAGCAGAGAATAAGAAAACCAAGTGAGGAGAATTTTTTTTTTGCTCAGTCACTGTGTGGAACAAGATAAAAGCAGAAAATCAACTCAGAAAAAACAAATCAAAGCCATCTCGTGAAGAGATGTAATAAAAATGTAGAGGTTGACCTGAAAGAGTTGAAAGTCTTTAGTTTGAGAGTTTAGATGTTTATATCTGAGACAGTAGGGCATTAATGGGTTCATTAAAGCCTTAAAACATGCATATTTGTGATATAAATTTAAAAATCTATACATTTATGATACAAATGACAAAACTGAAGGATAAAGCAAATAAAATATGTATACTTGATTTATATTGGTCATCAGTACACATGGTTAAATGGCAGTCTGGAGTCCACTCACTGATACCAAAACCTTTCAAATCCCACATGTAGTTTTATTTCGAAGATGATCATGTCATATGAAAAAATGAAAGAGAAAAACAAAATTCTTTCATCATATTGAATCCACAGAAATATAAATGTGCTTCTTCAAGATTATTATGTTGTGACATCTATTTGCTCACATTTTTTCTTTGGTGAAAGTTTGCAGAGGAAATCTTGGTTCTTTCTTCCTTTCTCCAAGGCTCATGGTTAAAATCACTGTGGTTGCAATCAATACAAACTGAAAATACACAGGGGAATATGAGTTTCTGCTGCTAGATTTACCCACTGCCCATTCGACTTTGTACTCACTTTGATTATTTAGTGACAAAACATTTGAAGTACTGTCTCTGGACTCTTTACACAAACTGCAGATCTAAACTATCTCCTTCTTAATGTCATCAACAAAGACTTCACTGGCAAGAACACAACTTTAATGCCTGATAATAATTTTAGCTGATCAACAACTCAGGATATCCTCTTTGATTTTTTTGGGGGTCATGATGCAACACATGTTTTCAAGAGATGACAAGTTGGGACAGCAGGCACACCAGTTTAGCACCTAGACTCTTGTGTTACAAAGACATCCTGTTGTAATATGTGCAAAATGTATTTTGGCAGCTTACATTGCTACAAAACCTGTGCATATTAACCAGCATTGGTGTTAACTTCCATGATGTGTAAACCTGCCAGTCCATTGGCACATACGCACCTATTTTGAAGCACATAACCTTTAACATGCAAGACTGTCTCCTTACTCTTAAAAACTGAAAGCGCAATGTCCGTAATTTCCCCAAAGAATGTCAAATTTCCATTTGTTAGACCACAAGAAGATTCACTTTTCCTCAGTCCCTCTTAACTGATTTCTGGTCTAGAGAAATCCATAAATGGCCTGGTCTCTGATGAATTTTGACGACTGAAAAGCAAAAGGTGCCTGACATTGACACGGTTGTTGGTCCCTTCTACTTGGCACTCCTCAGAGTCACGCACACTCACAACGCATTGACCTCTCGTGCATTATTGAGAGGTTGTTGGTTAGTTCAGCTAAGGCCTGGTAGATTAGGTGTCACTAGCAGTCACCCTTATGTAATCAGAGGTGAGGTTTCTGGGAAGGCCAGGATGAGGTCATCGCCACTGCTTGTCTGTAACCTGCACATTTGGTTGTTGTTGTTGTTGTTGTTGTATTGGTATTGGAAGTATTTTCATGTTTTTGAAATATTTTTACTGCACAGTTGGAGGTAGGAGACAGAGTTGGGTTAAAAGGCTAGAAATGAAATGTACCTATGCATGTATCCTGTAAGTGCCTTTGTGCCTGATTTCTCTGAAAACCCCCACATTCGCTGTGAAAATGTGTGTGTGAGAGTGTGTGTGTGTGTGTGTGTGTGTGTGTGTGTGCTGTGTACAGATCCCCCGGTGAGCCAAATGCTCCACTGCTTCACAAAGCAAATCGCAGCTAATCAAATAAGAGCCCTCAGCAGTGTGCAGACATGGGGAGAAGAATGGGAGAACTCTGTGTGTGTGTGTGTGTGTGTGTGTGTGTGTTTGTGTGTGTGTGTGTGTGTGTGTGTGTGTGTGTGTGGATGTGGGGGTGGTGGAGGCAGTCTAGTGGCTTCAAGAGGTCTTAGGAAGTAGGCAGGGGTGGAAACGGACACACACACACACTTGCACAGTCTTGTCCTATGAGCCAAGACACAAAGGCATCAGTGAGTGCGTGTACTCTCTGCAGGATACAAATGATAAAACACACACATACTCTACATATATGCTATAACTGGAAAAAGTCAAGTGAGAACACATTTCAAGCATCTTTTGTCTATTTCTTCCTTTCTTTGCTTTTCAGTAGCTTTCAGTCGCCTTCATAACTGACCTTGTGTGAGAAAAATGAAATGCTGATGGTGAAATAGTAAAGACTTCACCTTATTCAAGGTGATCGCTGACTGCAGGTAGCAGCACATAAAGATATATAAGAGTTGCAACTTGTGATTAAAAAAAAAAAAAGTTTTATCAAACCAGGGGTACCCCAGAGAGTAACACAAGTGTGGTCTCCAGAGGATGGGTGGGAATGGTTTAGAGAGGCTCATTAATTAGGAGCAAATGAAAACAGACTTGATCAGAATCAAGTGCTTATATCTCTACATTGGTTTGTTCTAAGGAGGAGAATAAACATCTGTATGTAAGATATCTGCGTGATGCTGATTTTGTGGTGTAAGTGATCAAACAACAACCACTTAGCTAATGACTAATTGGCCAACTGCGCAGTACACACCTCTCCCACGAGCCTATTCAGCTGAAGTACAACACAGTCCCATGTTGCCGAGGTTGCATGAAAATTCATCATGCAGGGTAAATAAGGGCTTACAAGAGGGACAATAAAACAAATAAATAAAATGATGTTAGCTAGCTACCCTCAAACAGAGCTTTTTCGTGGCCCTCTCTTTAGTGAATATAATTATGTAAAAAAAGATGGAAAAATAACAGGAAAAGAAAACTGCAGCATTTTCTTTGGTTGGTGCTGGACGCCTTAGATTGATTTTATGCATCCCTTGTGAGCTGGTTGTCCTTAGAATGTTCTGGCTATTCAAAATTAATTCCAGTTGTTTTTGATGTTTTGTACAGTGACCTCAAGGGCAGAGGAGCTGCATGATTTTCACTGTGATCTGAATGACCTTTCATTTGAAGAAATGTGCCGCTGGCAACCGTGTGACCAATACAGAAATAATGCATACTGTCAAAAACATGCAAAAATGGTTGGAAAGGTGAGCTGACGGTCAAATGGTTCAGTGATTGATATGATTAGCTACATATGATTTGGCTACATAATTGAAATAGTTACCAGTTGTGGATAACTTGTAGAAAAAGTTCGCTTACTGTACTGGTTGGTGGTGATAAATAATAATTTTAAAAAGCTGTCTTTTTAAAAACAAGTTGATCATGTTGACCTTACCTCAAAGGTTCCCGAACAGGATCTATTCATGAATCAACAAATTAAAATTCGGTAGCCTCAGGACTAAAGGTTGCCCTTCATAACTTGAACCTGGCGGATTCTTCGTGACCATGAGTTCTGCAGCACAACAGAAGTCCAACCAGGAGTTTCCTGGAAGAGAATCAGGCGGAGCAGCAGGCCAGATTCAGGAGGTTGGTCCAGACTTGTTTTCTACTCTGCTCCTTGGCAGAGATATTGACGCTGTGTGAGTGGCAGAGCTCCAGCGCTGTCCTGGCTCCTTTTCTACGCTCCGCCATGCTCACCCTCCTGACACGCTGCCCTCTGGCTAGCCCTCTATGTGTGGGCATGAGTGTGTGCAAGCGTTTGACCGTTTGAGGGTTCATGGAGTTGTATCTGTGCGCCTGAGTAATCTGTGACTATGTGTGTGTAATTGTCTCTGTGCTATGTTTGTGTGTGTGGCAGCTGTGTGCCCTCCTCCAGTCTGCCTTTGGGACAATCAGCCGCTCCCCGCGACCACAGAGACCGAAGGCGCGGGACAAGAATGTCTTTCACTGACCAAGCATTGATGCCAAGGTGCACACATAGTGGTTTATACACAAAGCAAAAAGAATACATGTATGCTGACGCACACAAACTGTGTTAATATTGTAGTTTACTTATTTATAGATTCAAATAGTGAAGTTTATTTCCCATGAACATTCCAGTGATTTCTACAAGCATCAAAACAGCAAAGATGATTTTTACTGAATAAAACTTTGTCAGCTATCATATTGTTATCAGCTGAGTTTAGTTTTGCTAAACTCCCGCCAGAGACTTCGCGACCTTGACCTGACCACAGAGAGGACAAACACTGAGAAAAGCTAACACATAACCTTTAACCTTTTATGTCAGAAAGAAGTTAAACAGCTTCAATGTTCATGTAAATTATTTTTTTCCGACTGGTTAAGATAGGACTCCGCTAACCAAATAAATAAAGTATGCTAGCAAGCTAACTCTCTCTTTCTCTCTGCTCATTGACTAAAATTGAGATTAAGCATAACAGAATAAATGTAATGAAGAAAAAATAGTGCATCATTGATAAAATAAAAAGACACCCATTGAGCAATTACAGCTCTGTTAGCTTGAATACACGGTAGCTAGCCAGCTGTTGTACTTTAGGGGTTAGCCCCAGTCGTCACAATGTCTCATTTAGTTTTCTTTAGCATACCCCCACCTCATTGCTTGCTGTCTTTGATAACCTGAAGCAAAATTTGCATAAAAGTATGTTCAACATGTTGACTCACTGATACATACATGTGTCCATGTTTGCAGCTGTCAAAAACTAAGAATTCAATCAATGAAAAACACATACATAAACAAATATTTCAGATAGATAGATAGATAGATGTTATCAGTTGAATGGGCATATGAACAATGTATATCCATTATACAACACATATCAATCAATCAATCAGTCAGTCAAACTTTATTTATAAAGCGCTTACAGTGTGATCAGAATCAGAATGAGAACGAGACTTACTTTATTGATTCCAAACTGTGAAATTATCGTAAAACCACGTAGTAAAAATATTAGTGGCTTCCAACTACAACATCATGATGTGATTATATACTACATATATATATATATATATATATATATATATATATATAAACTGCATCAATATTTCATAAACTTATTATTACAAAGGTGTATTAAGTACTTGATTCTGATTGGTCATTGCATAGCAACATGCCATAAAAGTAGTTTCCTATGATGAACACACTATTGCTACAAGTGCTGCTCTGATTACAGAATTTTCTTTTCAGTGTGGGTAATAACAGCTATGTTAGCTTACTCCCCAACTCCTGAATATTTCATATATTGTTTTCATAAACAGAACTGTGTCATGAGCGGTCACAGATTAAATGTTAACACCTTATTGATAACAATGGGACATATGAAACCCATAATTTCCTTGGTGAACATTCAGTTCTTGACACTACCACAAAGCAGTTGGAGACAAGAGTGGCCAGGGTTAAACAGTCTTTATGACAGACCACAGAGAAGAGGATGTGTACTGCAGTAAACACAAACAACACTGACTATGTCAACAACAAGACTGACCTTGCTTGAGTCCAGTATCTTAACTAGCGGCAGTGTGGTGGTGACAGAGAGGCAGTCACTGTAAGTCTCCTCTGTGCAGTGCTGGAAAATGTAAAGGTCAAGGCCCACATGGGGGAGGCACTCGAAGTCCTAGCAGCACAGCAGATGTAGTGAAAATGGTTTATGATGTCGCTGCGCCCTGTGGTGAATGTTTAATCTTGAGTGCCTGCTCCTAAAGTTACTTTGGAGAGAGGCTTTGCAGACACAAGAAAAAACTAAGCTGGACAGGACTACGTCCTATACGGGCGAATAAATCCTACAATAAGCTCCATATGTATTCACAGTTGCCATCTGTGTGTGCAGTAGTGTCAGCACTCATTTGCACACCTGCCTTTGTCTGCTCTGCATGTGCTGCATAAATAAAATTAGCACATCAAAACTGAAACAAAATCTAGAGGGTTTCTATGTGGGTTCATGTGGCGTTAGCAAATAGGAGAGCCAGTCTTCATTAGTCATCATCACATTGACAAGAATAAAGGCTCCACAGGACACAGATGAGTCCTGTGCTGAAGGATGATACTCAGAAACCTTCAGTTCTTAAAGTAATCATCCTGCTTTGATTGTATATAAACAGCCATGTTCACATTTTGGCCAATTATGCGAGTAGGTAAAACCCTTATCTGTGTGAATGAAAGAAAGCCCCCTCAACATATGACGGCCCACTCCTTTTATTCTAACACACCAACCACAAGTCCTTTCAAAATGGAACATGGCAATCTAAATGGGAACCTCATTAGCATTTCATACATAAACAACAGCCTTTTGGAAGGCTAGTTAGGTGTATTTCCTGTTTAAGCCCCTCCTCCTGTGTCTTGGGAGGCATTAAGGGATGGCCAGACTGCTGAATTTCATCCTTGTCTTTTTTCCCTTATCAATATGTGATGAGGGTTTGGAAACCAGAGATGGACTGCAATTTCACACTATGTCGGAGTGGTGACGGTTTCAAGTCAATGTCTTTTCCAATATGTGATTTATGCTCCATGAAAATTGCAAATATCAGTGTGATCTAACACTTATTTGTTCATGCAATCACTCACGCTCAGGGGTTCCTCAGGGGCCATAAAACAGGTTTGGGGCGTTTTCCTGTTGCCCGTTTTTTCTCTGTGCCACAAAGAAGGATCTAATTAATGAGGGACCCCCATCATGTGTCTTCTATTAGAAGAAAAGCTCTGTGGATATCCCCAATAAATGAGTAGTTGAACCCTCTGTCTTTGTCATGCTGGGAGGGGTGCTTCTTTAGCAAAGCTGGTTGACCTTGTGTGTGCCTGGCTCTAATCAGGAGCAGTCCAGAGGGTGCCATGAAGGCAATAAAACACCAAATACACCCTCTTCTTGTCTCTGCCATCCTATGTGTAACCCAAGCTTGCACAGAATGAAAAGCATGATACAGACCCCCCCAGAGGGGCACCAAGACGGAGGTTATAAACCATTATAAGCCACGTTAGCCCACAGTGACAGCCCAGCTTGTTCCGCCTCCTTTGAGCAGGTCCGCGTGCTGGGCAGTCCCAGCTTCTCATCCGCCGTGCTGAATAGAACCACAGGGCTCTGGCTCCATAGAGATAGTGTTATCTGGGCCGCCACGGGGCTCCCATCACACCCGTATACACACACTCTGCACACATCAACGCGAGGGCAGACAAAGAAACCTGTGGACCAACACAAATATAAGGGCACATAATGTAATTGACACAATCAAGGGCAAACAAGGACAAATGTGAAAGTTCACACACTTACAAGTCAGATGGAGGCCCTTGACAGTGACAATGACACTACTTTTCACATTTCCATTTGATCTATTCTCTTTTAAATTTCATTTTATGGCAACAAACTCAGCAAAAGTTATCTAATGGCACTTTTTCAGTAGAGCAGGTCCAAACTTTTCTTGGTCTTAACTGAGAGAACAAACATTAATCCACAGTTGGTTAAAACAGTGCCAAGGAAAATACTCTTTTTAATTTTCCAGAACCAGATTCATTGGAGATCAGCTGTCCTCCCAAACGGGCTAAACCTGAACATATGAAAGTGCTCTGTGGGTTCGTAATGGGTATAAATGACCTGTATTAGACACAGGGTCAGTCCCTTCATCAGCTGCAGTGATTTTCTTCACGCAGGGTGGCCAGTGGTCACACGCCTTGGCCCTCGGATCAGGCCGTAGACCCCGCTGTTTGTAGGAATCTGAGTTATTCCACCCATTCCTGGACATCTCCACACATGACCTGCTGCCGCTGGGAGCATAGGGCTTGAGGTACGGGGATAAGCCGCATTTCTTAACTTTTCCTCTTACGATTTCAATTAAAAAGAGATTTAAGGTGGAAAAGCACATTTTCATATAGGGTATGTGAACAAAATCCTGGAGAAGGGTGAGAAAATATGTGGTAATAATGAGTTTTAAGGGTTTTTTCATTTGATGAGACTTTGTTGTATTGAAAGTGGTCTGATCAGAGTCTGAATTTGTTGATTGTTGTTAGGGTGGATGCATGGCAAAAATAGTAGTTTTTGTGAACCATTAACGGTACTCTGACTCTTTTATCAGTCTGACCCCGAATATCACAGTTGAAACTTCTGAAACTTTTAGCAACAAAAAGCTTGAACTTCATAAAAAAGTTGACAAATCGATCGTTCTTTTTATGACCTGCCTCCAAGTTATCTTTTTGATCTTCTGACCCACAGAAAAACTCAGAACAAAAATCTCCTGATGGATTCTGACACAAAGAGCTCCACAGTTTGGACACCCTGCCTGAGGGCAACAACTGGCAGTGCTTGTTAAATGCCCTTTTAGCTCTGGTGCACTTTTAACTCCAAGCCTTTGTGATCTTTGGCTTTTATTTTCTTCAGGCTTCATGTTTAGTTTGGTGTTTATTTATCAATTTATTTCATCTCCTTAATGGCTTTGTCAACTTTTGATCTCTTTTAATGCCTCACTAGCATCTGGTGTATTTTAGAAATTGTATTCACACTCAGTACTCTGTTTGGGTTCAAACCATTGACTGCATATTCTGTATGATGGCTAAAGTGCCCTCATTGGCCCCTATTTTAAGATGTGAAGCAAAAACCTGCCATGATCACTGATGAAGCCAGTGATTTATAGAATAACGAGACAGCAAGATAGTAACCAGCTGAAAAGGGGCATATCACCACCTAAATTTTTGACAACAATTGGATTATTACCTGCTGCTTGCAGACTAGTTCAAGACAGAAGTCCAGTTGAATACAGCTATTTGTTTTCCACTTTGACCAGCTGTACCAGTATCAGTTCTCAATGCCTCCATGGATCGCTCTCTTTGTCACTGGATCATTTTTACCCTCTGCATACTGGTAAGAAATTTGGTTTACTGCAGTCGATGGTAAGAAGCTAAAACCACCAATATATTAGCTGCCTAATCAATCGCCCTACTGCTGGCAGCTGAAGCCGGTCTGTGTCTCTCCGCGTGTCACTCACTCACATGTCCTCTGTTGTCTTTCTGCAACAAGTGAGATCTTACGAGACGTCTGAATGACACTTCTCTATCAGTGAGCTTTGATTGTACACCGACGGTCAGGAAAACTTTCTGTTTTGTTCTCTAGACTTGTCAGAGGTGAAATAAAGCACTTGTAGCGGACACAGTTAGATGATGTGCAATTGCCCGGTCAAACTACGTTTCAGCTCGATTAGCCACTGCTAAACAAACCAACCAAACAGATACTCATCAAGCAGCGTAAATAATCACGTCCTGATAAGAATGACCAGAGAGTTGAATAAAAACTTCCTGTGCAGTTTGAACCACCACATGTCATGTTGTGTGTTAAATGAGCTGTTGTCTAATGTATAATGTAACATCAGCTTATATTGTACATCTAAAATGCTATCATATATCCCCTGTCTAAGCAAGTCCAGACCTGCCCATGCTGATTAATGATAAACCCTGATGGACCTCTTTATGTCTTGATTGCTCTCACACAGAGCTCCAACTCAAACAATCTTCCTGACTCCAGCTATCTATCAGCACACAGACACCTACATGTTACGGTGTTATCATCTCTGATTCTACACAATGAAAAAGTCAAGAATGTGAGCTCAGGTTTTTTGTCATATTTCCTCTTTATTTGACACCATTTATTGCATCAAGGCATGATTGCATTATTAAACAGCTTAAAAAAGTACAAATGAAAACGATATGATAAGATCAACGAGTTTGTATCAAACTTGATCAATATGATACAATATGAAAATCCTTTATGAGCTGAATTTACACAAACCAATTATCCAATTATGTTGCCCTTGAATTCTTACACATATTTTGAAATTTCAGATTTGCCAAAACAAACCATACAAATAAAAAAAAAAAACACATAAATGGAATCAAGAAGGGAAAAAATCCATCACCCAGTGACAGAAAGCAGAACTCTTTTCATAAATCAGCACAGAAACACCAATAAACTGCATATTCTTAATTGACAGATTTGGCGAACTTTAATCAACAAATGCTGAGTTTTGTATATATCTCTACAGAAAAAAAAAACAGTTTATTTAAGGGGGAAATAAACTCTTGCGATGTTGACTTATTGCAGCGTTGAGCTCTGATTTGAACAAAACAGCAAATGCTTCACTTCTGTTATTGTCCGTTAACTTAAGACAAAAAAGTTTCAACGTGATAAAAAATAAAACTCCTGAAAAAAGAAGCTGTCCCACTGTCTTAAAACTGCTGCCTATCAAAGTGCATAATGTTTGATTTTTAAGGTCTGCTCCTCCTCTTTTTGCAATACATAACAGTAGACAAATGGCAAATGTTCCTGCCTAGCTTCATGCTATATACTTTAGTGAATATATATTAAATTGACTATTTAACAAAGTCATAAGTGACTACTCTCAGACTATAATTTTAAGTATGTGTTTCATCATGTTGCTTTGTTAATTTTTCATCATCACATGACAAAGACAACTGATATGAACGACAGGTTTTTACTGCATGTTAGTATAAAAAGTTCAATGCTCATGTAGTAAAATAGACTCCTGGGTGTCTCCTCAGTGCTTGTTGTGGAGTGCTTTGAGAGAGGGTGGTCAGGTTTTCTTCACTTTTCCCCCATCTTTGTCATCATGTCCCATAAAAAAACAACAACAGACAGCTTCAGTCCAGCACTCACTTTGAGATATTCCCTTGTCTCTGTCAGCCTGACATCTGAGCTGACACAGTCCCAGCAAATAAAGGATACGCACTAGTTCTCTTATTTTGCAGAACAACACATGGAGTTTGGTTAATGCATTTTTTTAGAGATCTGTTACTGGCAGGGTTCATAGTTCCACTAACAGACAAAAAGTTGTGATTTTTTTGTTTGTATCAGATGCTGTTGAGAGGTTTTGCTGCAGAAACAGAATTCAATACATGATGTATTGCAGAGTTAATGGGAATACAGATGTAGCTTGGATGTAGATCGCTTATCCCTTAAAGGGCGGGCTGGTAATCAGAGCTGTTCAGGTGATTAGGTGTGATTAGTTCGAAGTCTATGAGGTTTGGGGTCAAAGGTCACAGATAGGCTTCCACTCTTTCCCATGGCTGCATCTCCGTGAAGAAGCCCTCACACAGACCAAAACCCTGATCCAGTGTCAGAGGAATGGTCTGCGCCTCTTCTTTGATCTCCTCCCATGGCTGCAGCACCGCCTCCTCTGGCTGCTCTGGGAACAGCGTGGCAGGCTCCTCAAACTGCTGCTGCAGGTGGTGCTGACTGTGGAGCAGCTGATCCTGGTCCAGATGCTGCGGCGGTAGGTGAACGTGCCCCATATTTGCGGCGCAATCCATGGTGACGGTAGCGTTCATATCCATGTAAGCGTAGGACTGGTGGTGGTTCAAGTGCTGGCTCTGACCCATCATGTCTCCACCTCCTCCGCACCATCTCCCCAATCCTGTTGCTGGGTGCTGCTGCCTCCCCTGTAGGGACACCTCCATGTCGCACCCGAGGGAGCTCAGCGCTGTATTGATGTCCAAATCCTCAAAGGTGCTACAGTTCCCGCTGAGGACATCGTCGAAAACAGATGCCAAGTCAAAGTCCCCCCTCAGGATGTTCGCTTTGTGGGTATCCGTCGCCAGAAGAGGAGACTCTGCCCCCCTTGTGGTTTTGCTGTTGCTTTTAGTGTTTATGTTCTTCTGTTTGCCACCTACTGCTTGATAAGGGCAGCCATTTTGGGTGCTGTGATACCCCTGAAGCAGTTTGCTTTGTCTGTGGGGGCCTCCACCACCACCACTGCCGCTGCTGTAGTGGTTGGCAGACATCCTCCTGCGCTTGAAGATCCCGTTGACGAACATGTCAGCGTACTGTGGATCAATCTGCCAGAAACCCCCCTTCCCTGGCTCGTCTTTCTGTCGGGGGACCTTCTTGAAACACTTGTTGAGGGACAGGTTGTGACGAATCGAGTTCTGCAACAAAGACAAAAAAAGGGGGGGATAATTAGCAGGATCCCATTGGCTTTGAGCAAATTTAAATTAGTCATGCAAAAAGTGAACATGTGAGGGAGACGAGAGGAGAGAGGGAGAAGGGGGCTGTATTGTTGTTGTTTGTATAGGAAAGCAAATGTACCTAATGAGGCTTTCGAGTAACAGGCGGCTCTGTGCATTTCAAACATGATCAGCTGTGCTTAGCTGCCATCTCTCTCAGGAGCCCTCATTAACACACACACACACTCACACACACACTCATTGGATGCTTTCTTGCCTCATCACCACTCCCCTCGGACAAAAAACACTACACGAGCACTCTGTTGGAAGATGGAAATTTCTGAGCCCCTTACATTAACACACACTTGTCACAGAAATCATTTAAGGTGGAAATTAGACTGTGGATCACCTGTGGGATACCAGACTCACATTATCATCACAATTTATGTTTTCAAATAAAGCGAGGAAATCTTTTTATAAATTTTTTATGCAACGCCATATGTGCACCTGCTAGAAGATGGAAATTTCTGAACACTTTGCCCTGTCACAGACTTTCATGAAAATTATCAAAGGTGTGAATTGAACTCTGGATAATCTTGGGGTTGCCAGACTAACATTCACCTAAAAAAAATCTGTTTTCCATTTAATAAAGGAAAAACCAGCTTGACTAAATTCATATAACACCTTACATGTAGCCTGCAGTGCTTGGCATGAAACCAGACTGACAGAAAATAAGAACTTAGTCTTGAATAAATTACGGGCAAAATTCTGCATGACAGAATTGTAGCTGCAGCAACACAGAGTGATTTTTGGAAGTGATTTGGAGGCAATGCAGTGACTCCCACTGCAAAGTCATGTCTGTTTTCAATGCAGTGCCACCTTGGGCCCACACGACTCAGCCATTAAGTATTTATTGTAGGCTTTTCAAGATTTTTCGGTATTTTGGGGAAATTATGTACTGATGTGTTCTCAAATTATTTGCTATTATGTCATTTTTTAATGACCTCTCACAGAAATTGTTCCCATCTTTACTAAGAGACCCAGCCTCTTTGAAGCTCTTGTTATACCCAGTCATGTTACTGACCTATGTCTTTCAGAACTCTGCATAAGACATGAGCTGTAAACGCAGTTAAGTGTAAAGAATCAATTGAATAAAGTCTCAAAAATGTTAGAAATATCTTACAAAATGAAATAAAGTCCTTGTCTGTGAAACAAAGATGTAGTGTCTGATGGTGACACCGGGATCAATTGCTCACCCTCCTCTCCCTCACCTCGCCATTTATCTGGCTCATCAATAATAGAGGAAGAGTTAGAGTCTCGGTTACCTGCCAGCTGGGCTCCGCGTGTCTGTAGTAGCAGAAATTCTCCGTGATCCAGTTGTAGATGGTGGACAAAGTCACTTTGGGCTGCTTGCTAGCCTGCATGGCCATGCAGATGAGAGAAGCATATGAGTAAGGTGGTTTGACTTTGGGGTTGGTTTTGTAGTCGATCTCCACAGGTGGACTGGCCTGGATGGGGATTTGTGGGTAGCTTGTGCTACCCGGATGTGCGTAGTTTGTGAACCGCGTTGAGTCGCTGCCGGAGGTAACGGGGCTGCCTAGGTACAGAGGCATCCCGGTTGATGCCGTGTCTCCAGCTGGTGGGCTGGACGGGGAGTCGGTGCCTCCTCTGGGGAAGCCGAGTCGCTTGAGAAAGAGGTGCTGCTGGGAGGACGGGCAGCCCGGTCCGAATCCGTTTGGTCGTTCCGGGTCCGCGCTGAGGATGGAGAAATTCTGGAGCCAGTGGAGGCTGGTAAGGCTGTCGTCCAGGGGTGCAGCGTCGGTGCCGTGGACCTGGTCCTCCGGGTATACTGACAGCCATTTCTCCTTAAACTTATTGGCGATGTCAGGGCTCGTGAGAACCGGCATGCTGGGTCTGTGCGCGTGATGAGATGGCAGAAAGATCCTCAGACCGGCATTTAAAGTTGTCTTACGGAAAAAGTAAAGAAAAATCAAATTTACTCAATATAAAATAGAACGTTTGATCCAAAAGCGCAATAATATAATCCCTCAAACTATCAAATTGATGCGTAATGTTCCTACCTCCGGTGTCGCCTTCTCGGAGGGGATTCTCTGTGTGCACCTGTTGCAGTCTGTCCCTGCGTCTCCTCTACGAGTTCTCAGCAGCGCATCCAGTGTCTGCGCAACAAGTGCAACGGGGGGAGGGCGAGTAGCATCCAGTAACAGCTCATTTGTGACGAGAAAGAAGAGGGGGGAGCACACCACTTAGAACAATCCCATGCCGACTGGGCAGAATGAGGATGTTGCTTCTCTCTGTGTGTGCGTGTGTGTGTCCGTGGGAGGTCAAGACGTGAGAATGTGTAGAGGATGCCAAATAAGTGGCTCATAAAGCCCGAGGGACTGCCCACCATCCCTTTAAACGCCTTAGGGGGGTTGTGATTGGCTGGCTATGTCCTTGCTTCTGCAGGTTTCATTTTTACGCACGCATACACAAACGCACACGCGCGCACACACAGAACAATGTCCCCACGAGTTGTAAAGTAGGTTAACTCTTATACAAAAGAAGATGCGTCAGTTCAATAAGTGTGCAGCGTGTTTGCAGTGGCGAAGTCACCTTGTCATTGCACAGCATTCAATCATTGTCTTCATCCCGGAAACAGGCTGAAATGTGACCTCTCCGACCTCCCCAACCTCTCCTCTTCTTCGGTGCTGAAAAGACGCGCCACACGTCCCGCTAGGAGCTCACTTTTACACTTGCAAGGAAAACATCTACTAGAGTTGATAATCCTGTATTTACTGTGCCTTTTCATTGTGGGCGATCATGTTACTCTCCAAACGCAAAAAGGCACGTGTTTGTTGAATTCCTGGATCATCAGAGGTGCACAGAGGTTATTAACTCTAAGAGCAGCTTGTTTACTTGAAACGCCTCGTCTTTTGCAAAATGGTGAAAAGAATAAATAGAGTAAATGTGCCAAAATAAAACGTTTGTTAAGTACCAGGGCAAGGCAAAGGCGAAACACAGAGAATGCCCATAGTTAGTGGAAGGAGGTATTTGTGAAAATAGTTATGAAATATAATGTATTTCGGGTCTTGTCTTTTTTTTTTCCATGTCTGGTCTCCTTAAACGACTCTGGCGGATGCTTTTGTGTAAACATTGTAAAATCTCATAAAAAGTGGCTATAAGACTAACGTGTGGTCATTAAAACCAAAAGTTGATTTTTCGTCAGTTATAGTCTGTGTAAAGTTGATATAGGACTCTTAAGTGCCACTATTGATGCTTAAAGAAGTAGATATGGAGGCCAAAATAGTACACGAGCCTGTCTTTGTTGTCCATGTCAGTGTTGATTATAGAGAAACACTGACACTCAGTGGACAAATACCGAATCGCATTTACAACAGAGGACAAAACCACATGAAGGCACTGGTATTACAGTTTTTCTCAGTTGCTTTGGTGCGTTTCTCTGATCAGATTCTGGACAAATTGCAAATGCTCTTGGACATGTATCAGTTACTTTCATACAATTCTCTGCTGTTTTATAACATTATCATTTGCTTATATCATGTCACTCAAAATAAACTATACTTATGAATGCTAAATATTCATTCCCTATAAAACTAATCGTCCTCATTTCATGGCTTGAGTCATTACATACAAAATTGTTGAACTAGTTGTCAAAATCTGTCAAGCTGATTTTATATATTCCTTTCTCATTTTTTCCTGAAATGTCTCCTAAATTGAACAATTGCTCTCAGGTGAACCTCAGTTTTAACTCAGTGTAAGTTGTAATCAATGACAAGCCACTCAGAGCTGAATCCCATGAACCCTCACTTGGCAAGCATATGTAAACCGGCAGAACATAGTGTGTACCATTTCTACAATTCTGTGACACAAAAATGGAAGGTCAGTGTCATGGAGGAGGGGACAGAATGTAGGGAGGAAGGGGACAAAACAGGGGCAGAGGAAGAAGAGGTGAAGCAGGCAAATCCCTGATGAAATTAGGGCTACACTTGTGGATCATGTTGTCAATGTTGTCAACGGCCTCATTATGGCTGAGGCTGGTCGACGGGTGCAACTTTTTGCGTTGAAAACACAGAGAGAGTGAACTGTCATAATGAAAAACATGACAAAGCCATTTGACTGTCTTGTTCATAAACAATGGTGTCAGGACTTTTAATTTTGATGACACAGACACTTTCATTAACACTAATACTTGCTTTTGAGGAATCAACTATTCATTTTGAGCAAGTGACGCGCTTTTGCAGGTGATCCACTAGGTTTTGCAGTTTGTACTTAATGTTTTGAGAAATGCACTAACTGTTGTGCAAATGTTTATACTGATGTGAGAAATGCACCAAAGTGACTGAGAAAAACAGTAAGGCACATCACTTCAAATGTAAAACAAGGTATTTCTGTGACATTTCTGTTTTGTTTCTGTCAATGTTGGTTTGCATATAGATGCTACAAGCCGTGATCATGCCAAAAAAAGAAAGAAAAAAAAAAAGGGTTAATAATCACTTGGTCATGTGATATGCAGGGGGGGGGGGGGGGTCTACTCACATAAAAAACAATCAGGGTCACTTAACAACCAAGAGCAGAGGAGCAAACAACTTCACTCACCTTTTTTATTCAGCATAAGAAAGTCTCATACAGTGTGCCAACATCTTTCGTCCTTCTCAAACAGATTTGTCAACACAGCAGCTTAAGTAAAGATTTGAAGTGTAGGAGCGTACAAAAGCTGACATTCATTGTCAGGCTCACAGGATGGATGAGCAGCAAGATCTATGCAGCAGCACTTACAGGATATGTCAGACCAGCTGTTGCATCCTGTTAAGGAAGCTTAATATATTAAAAAAAATGTCTCTAGGTTTGTTCAGGTTCTTCAAAGGGAGCTGGCAAATGTTTGCACAGCTGTTCTTATTGTTTCCTGACTGTCCTTAAACATAATGTGGCTACAGTAGATCTAACAGGCTATGTAAAGGTGCAGAGGAGAGCTGTTACACCAGCATGCGTTTTTTTGTTATTGAACAGTTAACCTCACTATGATACTGACTTAAGAAAACTCTCATATAAGGCAAATATAACAAAGTTTTCTTATTTTGCTGAAATTGTGGAGCTAAAAGTACAATTGGTGGAAAAAAGTGGAGACAAATAAGACAAATATGGTTTGATCTTTGAGCTAGTTAACAGCTTAAAAGATTGAGATTTAAAGCTTTGCACACAATTTTATGTCATTTTTTGTTTCAGTTTTGAAAACATAAACTTTACTTGCATTCCTACTTGGTTTAATTTGATGTTAAACTACTTTCAGGTCTGGGTTAGCATGAGACCAGCTAAAAATGCATGTATTCCAAAGGGCTGCTAGTTAGTTTTTGAAAGCTGACATCAGCTCTCAGTAATGTTCGTTTTTATTTTTTTTTTCTTATTGTAGAGCTAAGCAAAGTAATCTCTTCCACTGCTTTTTGTGTTAAGCAAACTGAAATGTTATTAGCGAAAAGCTTGTGGGCCACACATTCCTCAGACATGGAAACAATTTCAAGTTTTATATTTAATTTATCAGTTTATGTGGTTAATGTGAATAAAAGTTTAAATTATACGTACATATGAGGTGAAAGCATTTATGTACATATATGGTACAATTTTATATAAAACCTATTAGAAATTTTAATATAAATATATCCACATTTATGTGTGGTCCATACACATGTAGGTGCTTTATACATTTTTAACATATATGGTCAAAACAAAAAATATCATATTCAAATTATTAAACAGACGTATTAAATATACCTAAATCTACAAATTGACAAAGACAAAGAAAACATATCATGAAACAATCAGATTAAATATATATTGTCATCATAATCAAAACATGTTTTACCCTTCATGAATCAAACATATTATTCATATACAGTACAGGCCAAAAGTTTGGACACACCTTCTCATTCAATGTCTTTTCTTTATTTTTTTCTATGACTATTTACATTGTAGATTATCACTGAAGGCCTCAAAACTATGAATGAACATGTGGAATTTTGTACTTATAAAAAAAAGTGTAAAATAACTGAAAACATGTTTTATATTCTAGTTTCTTTAAAATAGCCACCCTTTGCTCTTGATGACAGAAGTAACCCTGACAAGGCACACCTGTGAAGTAAAAACCATTTCAGGTGACTACCTCATGATGCTCATTGAGAGAACAGCAAAAGTTTGCAGTGCTATCAAAAAAGCAAAGGGTGGCTACTTTGAGGAATCTAAAATGTAAAACATGTTTTCAATTATTTCACACTTTTTCTTAAGCACATGATTCCTCATGTGTTCATTCATAGTTTTGATGCCTTTATTGAGAATCTACAATTTAAATAGTAATGAGAATAAAGAAAATGCATTGAATGAGACGGTGTGTCCAAACCTTTGGCCTGTACTGTATATGAATAAAAGAATGATTCAGCATATGAATTCAACATAAACGTGTTTTTGTATACATGCATTTACAAATTTAATGTATGTAATATATTTTTTTTTGTCAGATACAGATAATTTTTATGCATCCTTTCTTTTTTTGTATGTCAATATTAAGATTATGTATTTATCTAAGTTGATATATTTATATACCCTGGGAATGTATGTGTGTGACAGCAATGCATTTGCCATATATGTAGCATATACAGCAACATAACTCCTGATAAATGGACATGCATTTTTGGAAAAACCTTTGGAAAACTTTGAAGTTTGGTTTAATGTGAAATCATAACTTTGTTTCCATGGATATCATGATTTCAAATATCCCCAGCACAACAGGAAATGCCTTTTAATCGGGTGTTTTATTTTGCCGGCAGGTGTCACTGTTTTCAATCTTTCCTTCATTTCGCTCTATCAGCTGCTACAAACATGCCATTGATAAAAGACTGTTTACAGTATACAGTTACCCACAATTCTTAGCTGTGTTGATATTAGATGGCGTGTTTTACACACAGTCTGCACTATAGGTGCTGCTTCAGACACCGTTATTTCCTTCACTGACCCTGTTTCGTTAAGTCTGGTAATTCAAGAGTTACATACATTCACTGTAACTCTATTTTCTGCTGTTTTTCATTCATTGTATTCGAGGTTCCTCCTTTGTTAAAGTCTCCACAAATGCTTGCATTCGCCTCTCCTTTTGTTGCATAGACCCCCGACTGCGGTCAAAGAGAAAAAATTGCCCCTTTTCCTATAATGGCTCTTTATTACATGCTCATTAGTTGCTGTAATTTACAGTAACTGGGCGATTAAACCGATAATATGCGTCCGTGTGGCCATCTGGATGAAGCTGGGTGTTAAAAGCGTACCATTTATTTTCTTTATTGCATTATTTCAAACCTTTTGTAACCGATCACCATCTAAACTGCCCCAGTGTTTTGAGAAAGACTGTATTTATGCTGCAGTCTTTAGGTAAGAATTTATGATAATCATGTTGGTACATTAAAGATAGCATGGGATCCAGTACTGCTGCAGTAAACTGCGGACTACAGGGGATATACAGAGAATAAGTGATCTATTATGAGTGGTGCGCAGCGCATACGCGACACTTCAGAATATGCATCCACGGCTCGTCGGCTGTCCCTAATTTAACTCCGAGCGATTTAATTGGCGATGGTGTATTTGTTTACCATATTTGGCAAGATAGTGACACAGCGCGCATGGGAATTGGACGAGAGCAGCCGTCATTCACAAAAGTCTGCCTTCTGAATCTTTACAAACAAAGCGGTGGCTCACGGGAGTTGTAGTCCAAACAAACCATCTCTGAGATTAGTCGAAAAGGGATTTACTCCACTTTCGATTGTTTATATGTCGCAAATGTACCATGGGTTGAAATGCACTCACTACGATGAAATGTATAAGCTAAGAGTATCTTTTGGTATCAAAATAAACCAGCACTAGACAGCAAAAGGACACGCCGAACCGCGACCCTCCGCTAGCCGCATACAAATCCCACCGGCGAAGCTCTCATTTGATTGGCTCCGCTGTCCTGTCAATCACGCTGTGTTCCTTCCACTACCGCTCCTACAGTAAATATTTGTGTTTGCTCAACCGGCTGTAATGGTGGACGACTGAGGCAGGGAAAGGAATACAACTAGAGAGAAGAAAGAGAGGAAAAAAGGTCGAAAGTCTGTTTCAGAGCCAGTCGCCGCGAGTAGGACACGGACTTCGTCGAAAATGGATGAACTCAAACATCAAGTCATGATTAACCAGTTCGTCCTGACGGCGGGTTGTGCGGCAGACCAGGCGAAGCAGCTTTTGCAGGCGGCACATTGGCAGTTCGAGGTAATAGAAACCCTGAAAACGATAACGGCTTCAGGGTTTGAGGTGGCGGTTAGCCCAACAGCTTATGTTTACGTTTAGACCAACCGTTAGCCCTGACTGGAGCTCGCCTGTCTGCCTCTTTCGACACTTTCGAGCCTCTTCAATTTCCACACAAAACAAAGCTTTAGTGTTAGCCGAGTGTCCATGTTAGTTGGCAGACATTTGGCCCACTTTAAAACGATAACTTTTGAACATTTAAAGTGTGCATTCTTTGCGCTATAGCTTTTCTTAAATCTCCAAGGGGGAGCACACGGTTACACAGTAGGAAGAAGCGTACAGCTAGCATATCCAATTAGACTTTACTCTAGATTAAATACTATAGTCCGACACATGACAGCCGTGTTCAGGCGAGGCCAGCGAGTGCTATTACGCAATAAAGATGACCACTGTGTTGTATCGACTAGCCTACTTAAGACAGCTTGTTTAGTCTGCGGTTAACCGAATGACGAATGTACATTTTTTGTAATTTTCCTTCACGATCAAACTCATTTTATTTCATAAGCTTTCTTCTAGTCCGTGCAAGGCAGCTATTTATAGTCACTATTGTTACTTCATGCTACTCCTCTTCTATGTGTTTTATTGCAGACTGCCCTCAGTGCCTTTTTTCAAGAAACAAATATCCCATATGGTCATCATCATCAAATGGTGAGTACGTGGAGAAGCAGGCTGATTATTATAATAATACACCCCACAATTTCGTTAATTGTTGTTTTCTAGTATATCGACACACCCTAGTGTAAGATAAGAAGGCTTATTTGTTGTTTTGGGTGGGATGTGGAGTGATGAACGGCCCCTATAGGCCAAGAGAGATGATGTTGTACTAACAATAACAAAGCACATGTCGGCCATGTTGTGAGCTTCCAGAAATAAACACAGAGGCAGGCATGCAGCGGCAGCAGCAGCCACACTGAAAGAGAGAGAGAGGGAGGAAGGCAGAGAGAGAGGGAACGAGAGAGATAGATATGGATAAGAAAAAATCCTCGTTTGAATTGTATGAGTGAAGGAGAATTACAAATTAAAGAGTCCTTAAGACAGACAGACAGACAGACAGATAGGAGGGGGATGGCTGCATCTCCTAAAACACCTTTTAGCACTTGCATTTGCTCCGGTGTTATTCTTCTGTTTCCCCTGATTTGGTGTCTGCTGCCCTAGCTTGGCTCTCTAATTGGGGACTTTTGAGGCCAAAGAAATCGAAGCAGAGTGAATTGAACGACATCAGGGCTGTAGTAGACTCCCTCTCTCTCTTTCTCTCACACACACACACAAGGGTTGAACATTATGAAACACTAACAGTATTTGGGCTTTTAGCAGCAGCCTACTTTGGCAGCACACAAGCCTTTGTTTGCAGCTGCAATGCATACATGGCAGCATCCAGTAACAGCAGACCTATCCAAAAGCCTGACATGACTGAGATTTTGATTATGCTGATGGTATTTTTTTTAAGCTCAAATTCTATCTTTTTATGTTCACTTGTTTGGCATTCATATTGCCAAACACCAAAGCTTTGTATTTCTAGGAAAAATAGGAAGAGATATTGAGAGGATAGAGGATTTATTTTCATTTCAGCGAGAGTGAGTGTGTTCGGATTTACAGCCTCTGAGCAGTGCAATACTGCCAGTCAGCACACAGAGCTGAATCATGTTTATCACAGCTTTATTGTAAGACAGAGAGCCAGACTTCTTTTATCATCCGATCGGTAAATAAGGCAATCTCAGTCCCCTATTTAGCTCATGAAATGTCTCACTTTAATTTAGATAGTAAACAATGTGTCGAGTGCTTCTGCTTTGTCTGCCAAATAGGCCTGAGCTTGACGTCCGCAGACATTAGATAATGGAAGTCACAAAGCACAGTACCTAAGTGTGCTTGTGTTGTTATTGTTACAGGCATGTTCTTGCATAACCACTTGTTCATGTTCCCTTTGTTCCACATACCAGCATGTGCTTGCACTCTTAAAGTGCATGCATTTGAACGGGTCTGTGTGTGTGAGTCACAGCAGTGGAGCTGCATCCAGCTTTTCTGCAGCTTATCAGACCTCAGCATTCGTTGGTATACAAATCTAATCCACTTTGCCCACTCTCTCACTCGCTCTGCTTTCAGTTTGGAGTAAACATGGACAACCTTAGGTTCCATTTTCTTTGTGTCAGTGTTTTGTGTTACAACACTAACTGCACTCATCCTTGAGATTGCTATTTTGGCTAGAAGCCTCACCCCAACACTGATGGCCCTAAACAGATCGCCTGCAGACATGCAGTTTTTGGCAGCATGGCAGGTTGGGACGTCATGTAGGTCACTTAGTTTATAGATGCAGCTCACTGAGCTGGATTTTCCTATTGTTTCCAAGGCCCCCAAAACAATGTATAAGGCCGACTATGACATGATAAATCACATTCCCATCAAAGTTTGGCATTATTGGTGAGAACCATTTAGGAAACAAAGCACTGTTGGGGGGAAAATGAACATTATCAGCAAACAAGGCTTGTCTGATGAGTTTTTTGTAGCAGTTGATGGGATAGCGATTGAGCCATGTCTTGTCAGTTCTAATTTGTGCATGGTGTGAAGAGTTGTTCTGATACTAATACCGATGTTGGTACAGCCGAAACGGTAGTTTCAGATGTTGATGGGTCTTTGCATGGTGTCATTTTTTTTACAATATCTGACTCCAAAAGCCAAAATACATTTTAAAGCATTTTTTCACCTCTAAATCAGCACATCAGTCTGAGAATAGCACATAGCTAGATAGCATTTTACCTGACTGCATCAAAACAGTGCAGTACCATGGTGACTGTAAACAGGCCTCCACTGAAGGCTCTATCTCATAAGGAGAGTGTACACATGCTGAGTGAGAAGGAGGGGTAGGCAGTTTCATTACCGACATTGGTGTCACGTTCTGACACAACATGGATTTTGCAATACCAGTTTGAATGTTTTGTTTTTTATGAACACACAGTTGTGTTTTAGTGCGCATACAACAGAGATTTTTTCTCCTAATACCCATGCAGCCACTTTAGTGAAAGTTTAGGGTACAAGAGGCATTTTTGACCACATTGGACTCTGTTCTCCTCCCACTGTCCATCTCTGACACTTCAGAACCGAGCCATGCTGCCTCCTCCTTGTGAAAAAGCAGATGTCTTTATTTCAATAATAAAAGTGACTAGAGGGTTTTTTAGTTTGATGTTAACAAGTAAAAGAGGGAATGAGATCTGCATCTCTTTTACAACATATCTACCCCCTTGACAGATGATGACTACACTTAAAAAATGTAGTCTTCTCATTTTAGGCTGTTGAAGTACCTTTACAGACTCAATGGCATGTTTTCACCCAACCCAAACAGTAAAATAAATTAGATCAACAAAATATGTGAACAGAAATGCAGAAGAGGAATTCAAATTCGGAACACAGATGTAGAAGCTACAACCTGCTGAGACTCAACAAAATAATTTATTAAAAAAAGAAAAAAATCCACCTCTGGTTTTAGGCAGACATGAGTATTTCATCACAGGCTTGTTTTGTCTTGATCCCCTTTTGCCAGAGCCAAAATGTCTGAGAACAACTTTAAAAACTCCAACATTTGAAAAGTAAAAAACAGAAATCAAAATGAGTTTCCTCAATACAGACTTGGGTTATCTTCAGAAGTCTCCCCTCCAAATAAACAGACCCTGCAATGAAAGAAGTGTAAACAAACATAAAGCAGTTTCACTCCAAAACAACCGCTACCACAACAATCCTTTTCAGCAGGCAGTAAGTATTGCATCCAAAAGATCATTTATTCTTTCTTTATTTTTTAATCTTTTCCAGGAATGATTGGCTTCTGAGCTTGGTAACAAGTACATTTCTCTAACATTTACTTTCAGTATAAGTTTCATTGTAAGGAAGGGTTCAATCTATTCCACAGCATAAACCTTTAACTGTTATTTCACATACAGCTGTTAGAAATAAAAGCCCTTTGTATTTCCGTCATGGTTTATATACTTGTTTTTGACTTGTACTCTGTATTAGCTGATATGTAAGCTCAGGCATCTAGAAGAAGAAAAAAAAATGGCATCAGAACATCTCGAGTTTACACCCTGTATCACATATCAAGTAGTGACCTGAGTTGGCCTACTCATCAGGACAGCCTTGTGTAATGGTAAACGGTGCAGGATTTAACTAAAGCTCCTGCCATTATTATTCCTTCTACTAACAATCCCTGACCCAGGGGAGTGCCTGTGCTTTGGCACACGATGTGAAAGAGCAACAATCTCTGCACAGGCACACATTACAGACTGTTTGTAGTTGTGTGTGCATGTGTGTGTGCCTAAAGTTTCTCTGTTGCTTGGAGCTTTACATCCACATGACGGGTCTTGAATAGATTTGTCCTCGTCTTTTTTTTATGTAGCCATCAAGGCTTAATGTCCGTGTTCCATGATGGACACCCAGGCCTTTACTCAGAGTAACCCCTCCCTGCACACTCCTGGTTTTCTCTTCTACACACACCCTGCCTTTACAAACACTGCAACCGCAACACATTCCTGTAGGATGCAGCGCTCGCGCCGACCCAAAATGGACCCTTTCACAGCAAAGGGGGCCGTCAGGACTAAAATCACAGCACCCTGTCCTTTTCTTTACCCTTTAGACTTTCACTCCACCAGCTCCCTGACTAGATCTTTCTCTTTCTATTTACAGAATCATCCGCTTTTCTCATCCCCTCTTTTTCATCCACCTCAGACAGTGTTTCACATGCATGTTTCTAGCGCTGTATGTTTGCTTCCAGCTGTTTCGTGCTAAATTTCTCATCAAACATTTTCCTCATGTGTCCGTGCCTTTTTATGCTAGGATGATCCAAACTCATTTTTTGGTATTTTCTAATGAATTGCCTGTAAACTAAAACCGTCAATGGTTTCATAAGAGCAAGACTTTCTTAACCTAGATGTTTTCTATTAAAGATGAGCAAATCAGGGAACTATTTGGTTCGGTCATCATGGGTTTTGAATGATCAAGTCTAGACAGTACAACAACAGACTGTCTCTGTGGATAAGGAAAGACAAACATGGACCCTTGACAATATCTTAATGCCAATATCAGTGTTTCCATGATGAGCGTGCCCCCATGTGGGGCTCGTTGGACAACCACAAAGAAATGAATGAATCCTCATGTGACCACAGAGAAGGAAGTGGCCCAGCTGGATGATGTCTGGGAACATGTGACCCCCATCATGTGACTAAGTCTGGAAATGAACTAAGTGAGCCACAAAGACTGCTTCATATGTGTGTAATTTGTGCCACAGTCATAGCTATTAAAAGGAACACTGAGAGGTCCTCATGTAGCTCCCCTGAAGGGAAGTCAGGACTGCGGTGTGGAAAAGTGCTCTGGCTTTAGTGGGTCAGGGTAATGAAAATAATCAGCTTAAGAAATATTTCACATTCTCCTTTTCGTATTGAATCATATCTGCACACCCTTACAGATCTGCTCTCTGTTCTCACTCTGATCTTGGTGTGAAAACAAGGAAACACTTCTTCTAGTTAAGATACAGTTTCTTCCTGAAAGTTCTTCTCTCCCCTTAAAGAAAACTGTCCTCATTATTTTGACTTAGCCATCTTCTTGTCTCTGTTTATAAATCAGCATTCAAACCACAATAAAAACAGGAATTAATCTCAACTATATCCTTTTGAACAATGTTATCTGTTTCTCTCTCATGCACAACCTAGCTTAGATTTCTAAACAAACGGCGCCACAGTTCACATAATCGACTTTTTTCTCCCCTGTGCTGTTACTATTTCATCACTGACATCAGGCACAAGACCAAATAAAGTTGGATTACATGAAGGGCAACATTCAGTGCCAACTGACCAGGCTCAATGACGTAGGAGAATGGCACTGCGCACCGCAGGCCAGTGATAAAAGTGGGCGTGAAGTTGTTAAAGGCCGTTTCCTGGCAATGCAAACACACAGGAGGAGGGTTTTTGTGCTTGTGCGTGTGTGTTTGGGGGTGTTTCTGGTAACTACAAACATTTTGGTTTTGGCATCCGGGTGTGGCTGAAAAAAGGATTTTTTTTTTTAAATCCGAACTTTTCTCATCCATGTAACATCACTCATTGGGATTTGAAGTGTGCGGTGTGCCCATGCAGAAGAGCAGAGCTATAATTACATCCATAAATCACGACCTGACAGCATGGACGACTGTCTGCTCCGAGCTCTCTCTCTCTGCCTCCACCATCTCACTTTAAGAGACAGAGGAAGGCTAAGTAAGGTGTATGTTAGGGGTACTTGGATTGTTTCTCAAAAAGCTGAAAGGAATCAATAACAAAAGAGAAGGAGAGCTGTGTGGGACCAGAACTGGAACAGAATAAGACTACAGCAAGACAATGCCATGTTTGGTAAGAAAGTAAAAGAAGTCATTTCCTTGTCATTTGAACAAATTTAATTTTCCATCCAGTTGGAAGAGAAGAAATCACTCAGAAACAGTTTATTTACTGTGTCTAAACATGTGATCACACAGCCTTCAGGTAAATCATGTCAAAGTGATTTCCTAAATGTGGCTAACTGTAGCAGAGCTAGCACCACCAGTCCTTTTTGCAGGTTAAAGTCCACATACCTGGATTTGTCATTCATTGCTTTTGTCTCATTGAGCCTACACACAATTTAATCTCAGTTTCATAGAGGAAAATATTGCTAGCAAACAGCGCTATGCCACCAGATTCTGTCTGTCACCTGTGCTTGTTTACATCCTGATAGTAGAGCATTTGGCAGCAGGAGCTACAGACATTGACGGGTGTTTGCAGTACAGCTCAGATACAACACATGACCGGTATTTCAGGCATGCAATTAAAAAAGTATTAACTTACAAGTAACTCTGGTGCAGACTGGCAAGGTTAATAGAGCTTAATCGTTAAGTATAATAACCTCCTTTTTCAACAAAAATGTCTTTTTTTTTGTCTTGTTCATACAGAAGCAGCTGTCTTGATCTACAACAGCATGGTAATCTCTCACCTGCTCATGTTGGCTGGCAAGTGGGCCAGCAGATACAACACAGACAAGTAACATGAGGTGTATAACCTGATCTGGCCCTGCATTATTCTGTATTCTCAGTCTTACAACTTGACAGCACAGCAAGTGTGAGATACCTCCAAACAGATGAAAGCTCCCCTCCTCTACTTTTGAGCAGACTGGTGACTAAGTCACTCTAATGGCATATAATGTAGTGTATAGATGTAGATATGTAAATATGGATAGATTTGAATGTAAGAGATATGCCAAGGATTAGCCTCACATTGTACAGATACTCTGTCCTGTACAGATATTTGAGTCAGTATATAGGGCTGGGCAATAAATCAAAAATTTAAAGATACCAAAATTTACAACAAAAACTGATGTCATTTTGCCCATATCGGTATATTCGGTGTCAAAAAAAAAAGTTGGTTTTGGATGTGTCTAGGTAGGCTATGGTCTCATGTCCCTTTAAGATGCTGTCCTACGTCAGAGACGTGACTCCATGCCATCCAGTCCTTAACAAAGAGGGAAAGACAGCTGAGGAGGTGGAGGACGGTTCAAATGTTGTAGTGGCTGGAGCGGCGGTTGAAGTAGACAAAGTTAATGTGGGAGGGGTTAAGCAGCTTGTGGAAAAGTTACCGTCCATTTATCATTATTGAGGTGAACTGCTTAATATATTGTGATATTGATTTAAGGCCATATCGCCCAGCCCTATCAGAATCTCATATTAGTATCTGTCGTTCCTGTTCTTTGAGTATCTAAGTTTGTATATATACACACCAAAAATCCCTGTGGTGTGCATCCAGCAGTGTCTCAGATTTCAGAGTTACTTATGTCGAGATCCGTCAATGCTGATAATGTGTGTGCATGAAACTGTGCTTGTGTGTGTGTGTTTGTGTGTGTGTGTGTGTGAGGGGTTGTCTGCAGCCATGTGCTGTACAGCCATGCCAAGCAGTTAGCCACATCTGAAGAGGTTTGGCCTGCGCTTTGCATGTTCCAGCGTGTTGCCCTGCATGTTTCCAGGAGCACTGCTTCCCAGAACCCTAACCACACACACACACACACACACACACTTGCACTCAACAGCTTGTGCGGAGACTTACACACCCAGACACACACAGGAACTTTGGCTCAGGGGACTCTGGGAATGGGAACCCATGTGGGACGGCTGGGAGGACCAGATGTGTTTATGAGCAGCCGAGTTTCGGATTGGGTTTCACACTGATTCCTGGAGTGGCTGTGGACACTCACACACTTGTGCGCACAAACATGCACACGTTGGTTAGACCTATGGCTTAGGAAACACAGAGCACATGGCGGCCTTGTCTGTTGCATAAAGAGAGTGTTGTCACATTGAGACTCCCTGGCCTATTCTAAGATTAGCTGTAGCACTGCAGCCCAGCTACGGTGATCTGACTGCGCTTGACCGCTTCTACCTAGGCCTACGAAACCTGTCCGTGCTTTTCCCAGATCAGTCTTTCAAAAACTAGTCTCATCGCCGCTCGCATCTATTTCTGTCTAATAAGTGATCTTCATCCCTACAAAGATAAGTGTAATTCAGTTAACTAGATTCCTCATCTGATCCTTGACAACCGACACACTTCAGATACGTCCTCCGTGTTCATAATAAGTCTGTTTTTTCTAGTATTAGAGCAAAATCTGGTTTAAAAAACACCAGATTTTGGCTTTTTAAAAAGTACTTCTGCCTATTACTTTGGTTTTCTGACTCACACAGTATTTAAGCTTAAATTGTGCAGATTCTAGGAATGACATTCACAACCACCTAAGTATCACCTCTTTCTTGATATCTTGCAAACGCTTCAGTCAAATTAGTGCATGCTGAAGTTTTACATGATTTTTAAGATGGGGTTTGAGTTTTCAAATAGGATTTCCCATAGTGTTCAGATTTTTCATTACTATCATGAAGATGCTACTGCATGTTGAGGTGTATGTAATGTGAAAGAGAAACCAAAAAGTGATGGTCCATGCATTCATAGCCTGAAGATAAAGTGTTTTTGGCAGACTGAACCTGAGTTTTTGCTTTAAAGCTGTGGTTTGTTCTCCCTCATGCAGACCTTCGGCCCAGTAGTTTCTGCTGCCAGACTGTTACCAGTCGACAGACCAAACTCCTTTTTCTGGACACTTGTACACCGCTGTATAATGCCCATTGTTAGCATGTTAGCCATTGTTGCGAGCACTGCAGCCGTTAAACAGAGCAAATGTTCCACCCATTCCCACTTCTCCTATCTTCTGTCTTTTTTTCTTTCTATTTCTGCTCTTTTTCTGTCATCACTGCAATCTGTCGGTTGTTTTTCTCGCTCATTCTCCTCCCTGCATTTTACACATCCTCACAACGCATGAAAACAGAGCTGTACCTGGCTAATGATCAACTGAGTCCCTCGTGAGCACAAATCCAGCCATGTTTCTAGTGTATATAATATTAACCCACACTCACAGGCTCAGGGCTCAGTTGCTGGTAGCTAGCTGAGGTCAAAAGAGCAAGGAGTCGAGGGTGAAGAGGGGTGAGGGACAGTCACTTAAAATGTTCAGCTGCACCTGTCGGCTTCCTTTATTTAGTTGGGAAAGAAACATCCTGTTCTGATGCCCAGACACTCCTGTGAAACCCAGAGTGTCACCTCCTGCTGGTGAGCTGCGTGATAGGATTAAAAAGCAAATAAAGGAGGAGCTGCATGTCAAGTTAGGACATGATATTATTGTGAAAGGTTTGTGACACAGTAACTCTGCTGTACACTGATTAATAATGCATGAACTTCTATTTTGTTTTCACACTCAGAAGTGCACACGAGGTTTCTTTTTTATTCACATTAACATACATTAGCCACGGTTTGTTTGTTTTTTGGTTTTGCACCATCTGTTCAAGACAATGTCAGTTTTTGGGAGTGTTTCAGACTGTGTCCTGTTGTGAAATCTGCTTTTGCTTTCAACACTCCACAACTTGCTGCTTTTTTTTTGTATTCATCAAACTTTGGCAGGAAAGCTGTTTCTTGTTTAAGTGCCATCATAAGAAACCATAATGTAGATTAAGCAAGCATCCTTCTCACGTTATGTATGAATTGGAAGCAGTGATAATATGTTGGTTTCATTTTTTAAAAAGTGTTTTGTAGAGGAACTGATCGGCATTACTCATCCAGTCATAATAGCATTATTTCACCACATGACAGCAGGTTGTGATGGGGAATTCCTGGCTGCATGTCCATCGAGAAAGACTCAATCAAACACACAGCAGCTCTCCTCAAGTGAAGCCAAAACTTTCAGAGACTCCCACTGGTGTCTGGGTTCTGTGTCAGCCTTTTTTTACAATATATATTCTTGTATGATACCTTTTTAAGATATTTATCTCTGTCCAAGTCATACTACTGTCTAGCTTATTAGCCTCATTTTATCATTAGCATGGTTAGCATTGTTAGCATTGTAGTTAGCAGATGATATAAAAATTCTTGCATTGGATGCTAAGGCAAGGCAGAATCCCCCAAACCAAAAGGCCATGCCAGATTACATACACACTAATAAAACACTCCCTGTTAGCAGGCAGGTACAGTCTTGTACACTTCATATGGTAAAAGTTTATTTAGCCTTCTTGTCTTCTCGACCCCTCCCTCCCTTTTTTTCCCCTTTTTTCCTCAGCTCCCATTTTTCCGATCACACCACCATCCTCCCTTTTGGTTCTGTGTTGGTTCCACATGATTTTTCACTGTTTACCTCTTAGTCTTTATGAACATTAATGTGGCTAGCCTCTCAATTTAGTCCTCTTTCTCACAGTCCTCACATTGCTGTACTTTCCAGTACCACTTTGGTTTGACCCTTAGTGGAAAATACTCTTTGCTCTGTAGTTTATTTAGGTTATTGTTGCCAAATCACAAATAAATCAGGCTTTGATTGCCAGAAATCGAATGTCACATGGACCCACAAGTTGCATGTTTACTGGACTTGGTTGACTGGTAAACGCTCTTCTGTTTTAAGCTTGCATATTTGGGATTCATGTTGTCAAAACATTAGATTGGAGTTACTGTACCTTCCTCCAAACATGACGAACTTGTCTGAGCTCTTTGCCGGTAATTCGATATCTTGAAGAAAGATTTGATTTCATCCAGAGGTCAATTGAACCTCTGTTTATCTTTGTAGTTTTGTCTTGGTCAGCTCTCCTCCCTCTTTGTCTATTTAGGGGGATTAATTCCAGATTCCATTGTCAGCCCCGTCATACTGTACTGCAGCACTTCTGCAATGTCGGTATGCGCAGGTTTTGGTTGGCATTGTTCTCACATGCCCCTCCATAAACCCACAAATGTAGTGAATGTTTTAGAGTGCATTTAAACACCTCCGTACAGACGTGAAGGCACCAAAGACTAGTCGAGACCTGATGCTGGAGGAAACTTTGCATCCTCCCACACATTTATCTCAGTTCAAAGAGGCACAGTTACAGTTTGTATCCTCCTTCTCAAACCTGCTACTCTTCCTCCCCTTGATAATAATGAATTTATACAGTAAGGCTCCATGCCCTTTATGTCTTTACAGTGTTAGTGCCCTACTGCAAACTGTATGAGCAGGTGACAGCTGGAATCAGGTTACCTGTTTTTATTGACTGTGTTCCGTGAAAGCTGTGTGAGGAAATCAGTGCTGCTTATTCATTAACAAACACTAGTCAGCAAAGGATTTTACAGTTACAGTTGAAAATATCAAAAAGAAGGAAGCTTTTAATAAAAGGCACCTGACCTTTTTTTCCGCTTCATGTATTCAAAGTGTTTTAGCTGATCTGTAGGTCGAAAACTCTTCCTGAAGTTCCACAAGCTGCCAAATACACGTTTTGAAGTATGCATGGCTGCAGGCTTGGCTGCAGCAGCCATGCAATCACTGTAGACACCTCCGCTCTGTTGATGCAGTTGTACACCATGTGTTAAGAGTTGGCTGACCTTGTGACTGTTACAAGGATAAGTATGCTGCAGCATGTGCTTTGAATTATCCTTAATAATAAGACATCACTGTTGATCTTGTCTTTAAAATGAAGCATTAAAAAGGCCTCAATCAGCTGTGTTGTGAGGATTTATGCTGCGTTCCAATTACCTTGGTAGTCGGATGTCAAGCTGGGAATGATGTCACACCCGAGGTGACAGCGTTCCAGTTAACAAGTCCGAAAACAAAGATGGACGCCTACATTTACCCGTTGTTAGCCGTTATTTACAAGTGTCAGCTGTAGTTAGTGATTGTCAGCTGTAGTTAGTTGTTGTTAGCTATACCAGTTGTAAACAATGCACAACACAGTATTTTACTCTACAAGCACCATAGCACCGTGTTAAAAGTTAGATGTTGGGCAGTACAACATATACCACTTATTTAATTTCACAAAAACAAAACAGAAGTGCTAATAAACAATACATTACGAGAGCTTTCACTGTTACTCTTTACTGTTGATGCACTGTGCTGCCATCTTCGATTATGACGTTGTCGTCAAGTTGGGGTTGGTGAAGATCGTCCAACTTTCTGAGTTGAATATCTGACTTCAGGGGAGCGTTCCAGATGAATTTCTGACTCAGAGTTCAGAAATTCCAACTTTCAAGTACAACCGGAATGCAGCATTATTTTACACTTGAATCAGGGACTTCCAGTAATGGTGGCGTGCTAGGCAGATGTGATATGATATTAACCTAGTCGCTGTATTTTACGAGGTCTCTGATGTTGTCTGCACTTGGAAAATTGAGCAGGCGACACACAAAAAGTTTACAACCAAGGATTTCTGACTTCAACGCGGCTAAGAATAGCAGCTAGGTTAGCCCTAAAGCTAACAACACGCAGAGCGAGGCTGCTGGAATCACCAGAGAAAACATGAACAAGGACGTTCTCGATGCCATCAAAGGTCTGAAGCATGACCTCTCAAAGAGACTTGACGGAATAGTGATTGCAATTCATGGAGTGAAAAAGGAAATAAGTGAGTGGATTGAACGTATTGCTAATGCCAAGGTCCGCATCTCTAATACTGAGGGTGATGTGGCTAATCTCCAGGCCAAAGTTTGTACACTAAAAATGTGATTCAGAAAGCTTGAACATCTCAGACACGGCAGCTATAAAGCTGTTTATTCTGCTGACAGACACTGTATTTAAACATTATTCTGGAGTGGCGGTCTAATCCAGACAGAAAATACTCTCCCAGTCAGTGCGAGAGCCCGTGGATGGAGATGTCAGGCAGCACGCTTCACCCCGGTTTTTCGTGTCTCACAGATCCCTCCGCACAGTTTGCTGTGAGCACTGACACACACTGTGTTAACTGCGCGCAACAAGCCGCAGACTGGAGGGAGAGAGGGAGGAAGACGGGGAGTGGGAAGTGAGAAAGATGGAGAGAAAACAGAAACGTCAAAGGTTCACACAAATGTTCCCCAGTGAGGGAAGTGATTCGACCAAGTCAGGTTTCTGTTTGAGCAATTTTGCTTTTCAGATTGTGATTTATCACTCTAATCCTTTAATTCTCTCATCCTGTATTTCTTTCTCATTTAAGTTCAGCATAATCCTCCTTAAATTTGATATTTCTCCTCAATAAAGAAGTCTGTTCTTTCGCTCCAACCACGATTTCTCAAACAAGCAGATCACGTTTCATTAGTTGTACAAAAATCTGGCTTAAAATTCCTGTGACAGCTGGAGGGAAGCATCCAGAGAGACTTAAGTGAGACAAATAAGAGTGTGCTTTAAGTTGTGTGTGTGTGTGTGTGTGTGTGTGTGTGTGTGTGACCACCAAGCGATGAGGTAAACGTCAGCAGCAGGGAGGTCAGTCAGGGTCAGGAGACGTAACCGGACCCTCTGCTCAAGTATGTAAGAGGATAGAAAGCTCCTGTTTTCAGTCTGGCACAAACACACACTGAGTTTTTTTTTTTTTTTTTTTTTTTTGAGGAATGCGGACAGTCAGACTAGAAATAACTCATCTGTGTTTGAGGACAAACACACACACATACACTCACATTCACAAATGTATGTACACAAACGGAGGAGTGTTTTCGGTTTGGCTAAGGTTCGACATGCTAAGAGTGGTTGCTGCCTGTCAACACACTCAAGAAGAGGGTGGACACGGTGACCACAGAGTCCAGTCCTACCTCAGTTTCGTCCCGTCAACAGGAGATCTGGACTGCTTCTTCATAACAACCGTCTCCATGGCAACTCCTCTCTGCTGGCTCTGTTTTGAACACAAACTGGCTCCTGCTGTCTCTGTATGACTTGAATAAAAGGCCAGACCTCCCTGCTGTAACACACTTCTCTGTTGTTGTTACATGCACTTACACATACAGTCTGTCATCCTGAGGGCCCTCACCTTCACACAAACAGCCGCTCTTATCATCTGTTTGTGTCGGTGAACATCTAGACTTGATATCTCTGCAGGAAGAAGATGACTCCCAGTATCTGCTCTTTACGAAGAGAGATCATTTCTCAGTTTTTTTTATTCTGATCCTGCTGGGTTCTTCACAAGCTCATGACGCTTCCAGGCTGACTTCTGTTTGGGCTAACTGAGTCAAATCCTCAAATTACAACTCATAGTGTTTTGGTGACCAGACGGGCAATTACCTGTGTCACAGTAACCTTCATTTCAAAACAAGTTTGCCTCAGGAGACCTCTCATGTCGTCTTTTGTCACCACTGAACTTAAACGCACCCAGAGAGTTTGAAGTATACCGACTTTTATCTTCTCTCCCGCACCTGTTTTCAGAGGGATAGTTTATGGATATTTGTAAGATATTGAGGCTGTAATTATAGTTTGTTATTTTAGGATGAAACTAATCTGCATGGATTAGCTGTTTAACGGCATCAACAAAAAGATAGAATATTGATCTTTGTCTTTATCTTTTTCATAGACCTTTATTTTTAAATTCCCAGTTCACGACCATGTCTCTGTTTGCACCCAGGCACCAGGTCAATATGGCAGGCAGCCAAGAAAGAGCCTGATAATATGGGCTCTAATATTTACTCCTATCCCGGAGAAGAATTTGCTAGGTAGAAATATTTGTGGATTCCCAGGAAATGATGGGTCAACAGGCAAAGCACGTGTCCCATGTAAACACTGCTGCTACGAGATAAAACACTCAGGAGACACAACAAACCCGGTCTGACATCTGAAAATGAAACACAGCACTGACCTTTGTGCGAGTGTACGACCTGCACCACAACACTAGGAATCTGGCCCAGGTTTAAAAATGCATCAGCCAAATCTTTGCATTTTTATTTCAAAGAGTAGCTTGAGTTTCATTAGTAGCAATCTGAATATTGGCAAAAATCCATTAGTGTATATAGGTGCTAAGAATAAGAATTAAGGTCCTTTCACACCGGGACCGTTTCTTACGTGCGATTATTTCGGACGTCAATTTTTTTTTTCGTTTGGTGAAGTTGTCACTATATAACAAATCGAAATCTAAAGTTGAGGTTTTAGAGGAAAAATTTTTTAAAAATTTAAGGGATTTTATTTTTGGCCAAAATTGTGCAGCCCTAATTGGTGCATATTTGTAAGAGAGTATATCAATATACTATTATGTTTTCAAACGTGTGCCTCCTTATTTGAATAAAAATCAAATCTTGAGTTTGAAAGAAAAATGTTACTGTTGTTCACAAATAATGCTTAATTATTGTTATGTTAAAACTGCTAGAATATCCAATTTTCCTGTAGAGCTTCATTTAAACTGTCAGCAAATATATTTTGCTCTGAATTGCCAAAGAAAGCGAAGTAATGCTTCAAGGCCTCTTTTCTTATCTGCAGTCTTTTTTTAAATGCTTTATATGCAAACAGCAAACTCAGTCATTGTGCATCATCCATATTTATGAAGTCGGTTTCTATTTATTCACACAAAACTGAATATTAGATAGTAAAAGGGAATTAAAAAAAAAAAGGGAACAAAGTCTTGTATTATTTAAAACTTCCACAATATCGTTTATCCAGCGTCAAATATTTACAAGAATCCTTTTTTGATTATCCTCAACACACTTTTGGTCTGAAAGTAGCTCCCATTCTGACAGATAAATGTGGATATTCTCAGTATGTGAACACCTCATGATTATCTTGCTGCTTGACTCTACCCTCATTACTTTTGCCATCATCCCTGTGTCTCTTTATGTAAACACAGGTAGTGATTTTTCTCCGATAAAACATTAGCCCACATGCCCGTCAGTCGTCTGTCAGCCAATAGGATTTGAGCCCCGGTCTGCTCGTTCCAGTCTCAGCGGCTCTTGCAGTATTTTTCTGTCCTCGCCTCAGTGCAGTGAGAGTTAATCTGCTACTAGGCTGCTTAATACGCACAAAGGGAAAACACACAGTAACCTGCTTCCTCAGTATGCAGCACCAGAGCAAAGGTTTGAGTATCAGTGTGTGGACTAGAGTTTTCTTTTTCCCCCACTTCTGGTTTCTCTGCTTGATCACATGTCGGATAGGTGTTTGGATAATATCTGCTAAACTTATCTGAACCGTTTAAGCAGATAAGAAACATCAAGGACAATGTGACACCCCATAGATAGAACATAATGTCCCGTATTTACGTGTAATTATGGGTAATTAGGATCTGTCTTCATGATAGCTTTACTCTGTTAATGCTTCAATCTTTGACAGATACTCTGATAGGGAGATCAGCATTCAAGCAGCCTGGCAGGGAAGACAGCTGCTGAGTCTTTGAACCAGATCTTCTCCCCCTGTGGGTCGATACAGTCTGTGTCTCTGACTCCGTCCAAGGACCCCAGCAAAGACACTATACACACTTAGCTGGCATACCCACTCTGGAGAGCTGTGTTGTGTTATTTTACTGGTGGAGGAGTGTGAGGTGGGCAGATCAAAGACTAGAAACTGTTTTAAGCTGATTTTTTTCTTCCCTCAGTCGGTGTTCACCATCTCATCCTCTCTGCTCTAGAAAAAAAAATCATAAAAGTGGAAGACAAAGCCTGGTTCCTACCAACTGGATTAGACATCTTCACAACACTGCCCACTTAGCCTGTATTTAGGTTGGATTATCCCTAAAAGATTGCATGGTCTTCCATGGTCTGCAATGACAGTTTTTTTTTTTCTAAGACAAAGCAATTGGGGGGGAAATCACTAGTGGCACCGCGATACGATATTATCATGACACTTGGGCCACGATGCGAAATTATCATAATACTTGGGCCACGATATGATATTACCACGATACTTGGGCCACAATACGAAATTATCATGATACTTGGGCCACGATAGGATATTATCATGATACTTGGGCCATGATACGAAATTATCATGATACTTGGGCCACGATAGGATATTATCCCGATACTTGGGCCACGATACGATATTATCACCATTCTTGGGCCATGATACGAAATTATCACCATTCTTGGGCCACGATAGGATATTATCACGATACTTTGGCTACGTTACAATATCACCACGATACTTCGGCCACGAGATACATTTTCATAGATTTGACCTCATATTAGCAATTAAACTGAAGAATCGATACTTGGTCAGTGAGACGATATGATATATCAACAGACAAAATATCACAATACTATGCTGTATCAATTTTTTTCTCCAACCCCTACTAGCAATGCAGATAGCAACGATTTTAACTACTTTTAACATTATCACATCCTCTATTACTGAAAGGGACAAACTGTTCAGTAAAGCCATCTTTAGTCTTTGTTTTAATCACTTTGTTTCCTGACCTCACATCCACTCAGTTTCTGTGTCCACACCCAAAATGAGAAGTGAAAAAATAAATGTGACCTCTGAACTGAGGTCTTGTTTTCTTGAAACATGTTAACCTTGTTTTTAAATCTGTTGAAAATATTGATTGATGCTGTTTGACATACATTTTGAATATATTATCTAATAAGTGATGGTGTCAAAGGTCAGCGTTTTGTTTGCCTTTTTTTTTTTGAGCTGCGAGGAAGGAGTCAAAAAGTCAATCATAAACCCTCGGACTTGATCACTTTTAAAGGTTTAACAAATCCAACATGCAGCTCTCATCACTAAGAACAGGAAGGATCACGGGGTCACTTCTGCATTCCAGGGTGTCTTTTTACTGCAGGAAGCAGCCTGTGAGACATGAGCCAGCGCTTCCTGTCAGGGCGCACAGTGGACACACTCACCTTTCACAACACTGTGCCACTCTTAACTTCTAACTGGCCTCAGCCCATAAGCTGTACATCCGCAGGCCTAACCTGCAAGCTGCAGCACTTTTAGGGGGCGAAAGGGTCTGATTACACCCCCCCAGAGAGGAGCGGTGTCCCTGTCACACTGGTGTTTTTCTGCATTGAAGCAGCGTGCCACTATCTGGGCATCCAGGGTGACAGAGCCAAGAGTAGATGAGATACCAGAGGCCAGCATGAGGTCTGGGAATGTTGTTTTCCCCCTTCTTCTATTCTGTATGTTATCTTTTTTTTTTCCAATACCTTTGCTGTGTGTGACGGCAGCTGCTGTTCCCTGTAGTTGAATCATGGAGTTTATGACTCTCCAATTCCAGCAAATCCCCCCACAGCACCCCTCCTCAACCTTGAGAACAAACAGCTGAACATTTGACCTGAATTTATGGGAAATGTTATTTGGAGCTCATCACTCTGGAGGAAAAAAAAGCTCAGGGAGAATATTTCAGGTCATCAGGCTACCAAGGGTTGAGGAAACTAAGTCCACATTTGATGTTAAATTTTTATTAGGACCATCCAGTCTTTGTAGGTGGCTGTCTACCAGTGAGTCTAATGCTGTTCCAAGTTTCTACCTATGGACATTTCATTCATTTTCATACTTAATTTCATTCAGTTAATATTTAAAACATTCAATACAAATGAGGAAAAATCTCAAACGTAAATGAAAAGTAGCAGAAAGAAGAAAACGTTTATAGAGTCTGTCCCTCTTTCATAAGATATTAATCAACTAAACAAATAATTCAATAATAAATGATTAAAATCTGCAACATACTGAAATGTGCTAACTTACTGATTTTAGATTTCTTGCTGCTGTTAAATGTTCGCAGATACTGTAAGTGATGTATTGTGTCTCGATAGTTTCATCATGAGAAAGTTTCATCATAATACAAATTATAATCCAAGGAGGGACCAAACTAGTTTCTTCCACTGTTGACGCCTGTTGATTTAAAGGTTCTTTTGTCAGGCTTTTATTTTTAGCCCGCAGCCTCCTGGCTGAACACGGCCTCCCTATGGAATACAGCAGGTTGTTGTTTTCCTGGTCACAAATGGCCGGGGACGTAGAGGAGGAAGCCGATTGAGGAGTAGTGTGCTATGTTAGTAATGAAGGTGAGCTATTTCTGAGAAGCCAAACATGTTGTTCACTTGGAGTTACAGCTCCAAGGTGGTGGGTTTAGTGTTGTTTTTGGCACATGTGTGTACTGTGTTCATTCTGGCAGCAGAACAATAGCAGCTCTGGCACAAAGGATGGTTGGAGCAGGGTACGGCACAGAGGCCAAGATGACTCAGTGTGCTTTTTCGCTTGTGTGCATCAAGTAAGCGAGATAATCTGACACACTGAGTCTGACCAAGTTTATTTAGTTTGCTAAATCAGATTTAGTGCCGCATTATAGTTGAAACAGGAAGTGCATGTAAACACAGGGCTGTAATGTAACTATGGGGGGCCTCTGGGGAGGCAGAGAGCAGCTGGGATTCCCCTAAAGTTCCCTCCAGTTATACAAAAACAGCTTGAGAGATATCCGCTCATAAGCACTGCAGAAACTTCCTTTTGTCCTGTACCCCACAAACTACTCTGCTGAGGTAACACTGTTAGCTGGTGTGGGATCATTTTTCTTGCTGATAATTCGCCTGTGTAGAAAGCATAACAGGATTTCTTCCCCTCCAGCGGTATTGGAGTTTGATTTACAAGGTTTTGGTGTCATTCCTCAGAGTAAAAAAAAAACAAAATGTCCTTACTGTTCAAGTCTGATTGTCAGAAGTCTTTCTAAAAGTAATTCATCAAACAAAATAAACAGAGACTCAAGTGAATTATCCACCAATTATTGTCAGATATGAACACAATATGGTGCTAGACAAGTTTTGTTTTAGATCAGTATACCATTTATAACATGTGACAGGCAGCATTTTCTACACAGTTATTTCCAGTGTTGATTTGGTATCAAACTTTCTTTCAAAATTATTTTTATTAAGTTTTCCTTGGACATATCTAAACAGTAAATATCAGGGACAAGGGATTCACTGAAACACCTAAAAAGAAAGGAGATAGATAGATAGATAGATAGATATCAAAGTAAAAACAATGCCAAAATCATACAGAATCTGATCATACAAAAAAAAGCAATTTTAATCAAATAAAATAACCATATAATGAAAAAAGAAAAAGCAAAACAAACAAAAAAAGAGTAAAAAACTAAAAGATGTTGTTTCTTTTACACTCAAACTAAAGGAAAACACTTAAATTTCATGTCTCTCATCCTGCCTGTTTAACTTCTGCTTTAATAATTCCCTCTCCCTTCATATTCTCAGATGTGCACCCCAGCCAACACACCAGCGACGCCCCCCAACTTCCCGGACGCGTTGACCATGTTCTCCAGGCTGAAAGCGTCTGAGAGCTTCAACAGCGGCAGCGGCGGTAGTCCTATGGCCGCCTCCATGGCCACCTCACCCCCGCCCCCTCAGGTTGGCGGCTGGGGCATCTCACCAAACGTACCTAATGTGCCGCAACCTCCACAAGGACTCTGGACTCAGGGGCAGCCCCCGACACAGCCCTGCCCTGCTTGGCCCACGGGGGTAAACCCCCACACGGGTGCGGAGCAGAAGGCTAGTGTAGCGATGGAGGCTGAGAGATGAAGGGCAGCACGAGACTGAAAAAACGCCCTCTCCACCCACCTTTGGGTGGGGGGAGGGAGACGGGAGGAAATGGGTTAAAGGGGTGAGGGTGGGTGGGAGGGGATAATGGGGTAGAAATGGGTTTTGGTCTTTTTTCCCAAAAGATGGATGGATACGAAAGAGATGGATTCTACGCAAACCAAGAAAAACTCAACATGGACAATTGAAGAGGAGGAGAAAACCAATGCAAAATATCGAAACAAAAATAGACACACAAAAAAAGAAAAAAAAAACACAGATACGCACACGTATAGTAATAAGAGAGCAACTGAAATCTTTGTTAGTTTTTCCTAAGTAAATGCATAGATAAGAGAAATATTATTGAACTAAAAAAACAGAAATTTTTAAAAAATTGTCACGCCCAAGGATTCTTTGTGATGTTCAAGGACTTTCAAGGCAGCAAACTTAATTTTCAGTTTTTAGTTTTTCTTTTTTTTTTCATGGTTTCAGCCGGTGTTTTTTTGCCACTGGTGTTCTGTGTTTCTGTCTGTGCTGCATGAGGAGAGAGGGACGAGCACTGCAGTGTTTGAGATTGACTCAGAAATCAACACGCACTTGAGTGTGAGTGTGTACGCATGTGGGGAAGGGGGGTGGGGGGTGATTTGTAATCAAAAATGTATACACACAAACACACACACACACATATACACATTTGAAAACACACAAACACACATTAGAGGAAAATGCCTCCATACTGTCATCCCCATCGACAAAGGTGGGACTTTTCTTACCTCACCTGGTGGTCACCTGACTTCTTTCAGCCAATCAGGGATTCTTGTTAAACCAACAGTTGCCACCACAGGACGTGTTTTTAAAGGTTTTTCTTAAAGGCAACAGCCGCTCTGGTACATGCTAACCAATCCTCACAGCGAAGGCTTTTCCGGACACTTTTAAACCTGGACTCAGACTACAGTTGTCCACTGTACACCTTTTTCTCTGCAGATTTGGGTTAATACAAGAAAATGCGAAATCATCGTTTAATACAAGCTGGTTTATTATAACGCGAACTGTTCTGGTGTTGTCGGAAGATTATGGGAGGTGGCTTCAGGTTGATTTTTTTTTTTAAAGAGTGAATCAAATGCAGCTAAAGAAGCTACAGATCAAGAAGAAAAACACGACTACTCCATCTTTGTAAACCAATTTGCCACTTTGCATGATGTGTTCATAACGTGTAACATCTTTTGTAGCAAACATTCATGAGGTCGAGACATGTTAATTGAGGGTGGGCGGAGTTGAAGAGGAGGGTGGGGTGGTGGGTTTTTATTCCCAAAGCTAACAGAAATGCAATGGAGGAGCGTTTCTCTGTATCTCTAGAGTCACACTGTAAAAGCGAGAACTTTTTTGTTGGAAATGAGAAACAAAAAGAAAAGAAGTTGGTGTCGGGGCAGCTTCGGGAAGCCCACCACAGGCTACTTGGGGACACTACAGACTACTTTCAGATATACAGTATATATATATTCACCCTCAGATTCTGTACTTCAGAGGGGTTTTTACAACGTTTAAGTCTCCAGTTTTGACCGGTCCCTGGTCCTGGACAGTTCAGGGATGACCCTGGTATACGGCAATATTTAAAAAAAAAAAATAAAAAAAACAGGGTGGGTCCGCCCCTTTTTTAGTTTCTCCTGTTTGGATTGTTTTTCATTTGATACAAGAAGAGAGCGTAAGAGATATTTTGAATAGCTGAGGGGGGGTCTTTTTTTTTTTTAAAGATAAGGAGATGATTGGGAAAATTAACTGATATAATAATGAATAAATACACAAGTTCCTTTTTCTTATTTAGACTAAACTAATGTTTGAGTTCATCCTTTTCCATGCTTCATACTTTATTTGGTTAAATCAGAGCGTGTCTGGGTGGGCCTGTTCCTAAATGGTTTCTCATGTATGTTTCCCCACTTGTATGACTGTATGAGACCATTCCCACAATATTTGTGGACTACCTGATAATTAACTTATCATTTTTGTGAACCTAAATAAATATTGTATGTCAACCTAATCCTGATTTGTCAACTCAAGTGTGTGAAAACCAGGCGTACATCTGATCTAAAAGTCCTGTTAGAATTGACATTATGATGAAAATATAGAGAGATATATACTTGTGTTTGTGTGAGTGTGAAGTAGCTGGATGCCTGAGTAGTGTGTTAAACCATGACAGAGGGAAGATGGATGCATCATAATCTCATGCTTGGCTACCTCTCAGAGAGACAGATTTAATACAGTCGCCCAGCTAGACTATAGAGTCTGTCTCTTTCTGATTTCTTCCTCTTTTTCTGTGTGAGTTTGTGAGCAAACTTAGAAGTCTGTGAGATGTTTTGGTGCAGGAGTGGCCGGTGATGAAAGCCAAAATGGAGGAGAAAGCTTTTGAGAGAAAAGTGCGGCTCTGCGGCCACTGCTATCAGTGCCTCCCTGAATCCCGGCTCTTAAGATGTAAACACAAACAAACACCAGCTGTCCACATGCAAGCAGTTGCCATACATAAACAGCAGCCACACATGCCAGTGGTGTATTGGTGGTAGTGGTGGTGGTGGTGGTAAATTGGGGTGGGGTGGGGGGAGTCACAGAGTTCTCCATGTCCTCACTTCAACTCCTGACTGCTTCCTCCTCTGCAGGAAATAAAAGAGATCTCCTTTGCTGATTGTGTGAGCAACTTTGCCAAATCTTTGAGCCGCTGAGAGGGTGTCAGCAAGGTCGGGTGAATGCCGACAACTTGGCATCGGATAGTGTGGTCCATTTGAGAATAGGGGACCAGGAATAGGAGGAGTACGGTCTAATGTAAAAGCAGCAAAAGGGGTCTTGAGGACACGATTGCTTGGCTCATTTCCCTTTTTTAAATCTGTCATAACCACGGCGCATTAAGTGCTTTAAAGTGAAGTCTTCAGCTCATAGATTTCCAAGGGAACACTTTGTACCCTGCTCTTCTATTCCCTCCACAAACTGCCAAAAAAAACACTTGAATTTTGACCTGAACGTAATTACAGGATGAGCCACTGCTCAAAGCATCTTCCTGGCTCTAGTCATCTGATTTTATTGCAGCATCTTGCATCAGAAAAAAAAGTGTGAAACGTGCAGATTGTCCCATGTTAAAATTCCCTTGTATCCCTCACACAAAAGCAGGACGTTGTTTTCTGGGTCAGTGAACGGTGTGGACACAACACAACCTCACAGATGGCAAACCACCAGTACACCTGTCCTGCTTTTTGTGTCAACGCTACTACATTAGCTGGTTTTCTGCAGGGCACTTAGAGTTTATTACCGGTGAGTTTGACCTTAATTGGTGCTCGAGTCATGTTTTCTGTACACAAAGAAGATTTTCCAGTCTTTTACCACCTGTGCTTAATATTTTTTTCACTGTAGTACAAAAAAAAAACTAGGGAGGAGGAAAGGAGTAGGGGCAAGTGGCAATGAAAAAAAAATGCAGTTCCTTGAGTGTCCACTTGAGGCTTGCTCCAAAAATTAAGGAAGCCCATTTAGCTCACTTTGACAACAGAAATACATGTTTTCAGCCTGGTTATGATACATCATTCCCTAATGAGAGACAATTGTACAGAGGATGAATCTTTTATGAGTCATTTGTTGTGATCAGAGCTGATGGTTATGACTGCATCAAGGCTAAGAGTTATGCACAAATTTTAATTAAAAAAACAAAACAGTGTTACAAGTTGACTTTCAGGTGTGTAAGGGCCAACTAGCTCGAGTGTTTCGGTATCAAATACTTGCAAAAGAAAAATGAATCAGTTAAAGCTCATGTGAGGAGTTTTTTCAAATTCATATCCATGTCTTTTCATGATATGTAAAAGCAAAACGTCAGCAACAAGACTGACTATATGTCCTTTTTGTCATGCCTAAAACTGGTGTGAGGGAATAGGTGTCAGCTAAAACAGAAATGATGCATTTGACTGTTAAAAGTCAGCTGGATGAGACTTTTTGTTGATGGATGGTAGTTTCAGCATGTAGAACATAAGCTAAGCTAAGCTAAGACTGCTTTATCCACAGGGGGCGCCAAAATTGATGCAAACTGAAAGTGCCTTAGTGGAGCTTTACTCCGTCAGCTGTCAGCTGTATAAGAAAAAAGACGGTAGAGAAGAAAGAGAATATTAAATATTTAGTTGAAAGCATAAGGAACAGCAGTTAACATTAAAGTGGCCGTCTAAACTTAAGTGTGTCAGACAAAGACTACCAGCCAAGATGGAGGTCCTGTTTATGTACGCCAATCAAAAACCAAGTCATACTGGGTTGTTGACTGGGAGGAAACACAACACTTACGGTAACAGTGTTTATAGTTATATAATGTAAAACTAGCTCTGTGTAAATTGTCAGGATGCTTTTCAGGTTTTCAGGCAATCAAAGGACACTGCATACTGTGTGGTAAGGACCAGGGGAGCAGAACGGACAGAGTGACATTGGGTGCATTTGTAACCCAGCACCTCACCTTCCCCTGTTCTCTCTACAGGTGAAAGCTCCGACTAGCAGCAGGAAGTAGGAGAAAGAGGACACATACACCACACGACACACACACCGCACATTCACAAATAGTCTGACTAAATGCTGGGAGTTAGGGAGTGAAAGTATGAGTCATACTCTCACTATCATCGTCTGTAAAGGCAACTTAATGAAGGTTTCATTTCCTGGAAAAACAGTGTCAAGTGTCTGAAGATGATGTAAATGAACTGAAAATAGGGACGAGTTAAGAGACAGACAATAGTGAAGTTAAACACACCGAGCTCCCTGACAGTATGAAACTACTGGCTGCTAGATCAAGTATCAAATATAAAAGACACTGAGAGCAGCACTACAAATGTTACTGCTCTGAACTGTTCAATAAATAGAATTTTACAAGTTCATCCAATTTGAAGTGCTGTCCTTATATGAAGAGTAGAAAATGTGTTGTAAGCACAAACTCAAGACGAATTCCCCCAAGGACAATAAAACTCATCAAACTCACGTTATTCTAACGTAACATAATATAAAGTAAAATTACTCTCATAACGTCATGTATTGTAACATAATGTGTTGTATTGTGATGTATTGTAACATAATGTGCTATAACATAACAAACTGTGACATAACATAATGTAACGTAATGTAACAAAACATGTAACGTAATGTCACCTTCACTCCACAATCTCAAATCAAAAGTTAATTTAAGTTCATCACAGGACAAATTCCCCCAAGGACCATTAAGTTGGTCAAACTTTAGCGTAGTGTTACTTGTGCAACATAAGGCATTGTAAGGTAACATGACATAACCTAATGTCATTATGTGAAATCCCCTAGCACTGTGTTGTTTGAATCATAATTTATACTTGATTTTTTCGGTTTTTGAAAATGATAATTTCATAAACCTGCAAAATACAGGGTTTGGAGGGATATTTTTATGTCTTTAAAAGAAACCTTAAACAAAGCCTTGAAACACCCTTGAGGGATAAATGTAACAGATCTGCAGCTCTAATGTTCCCTGCAAGCTATCATAATGGGGCTCTACTGATACAAAGCTTTTCAACCATGAAATGTTGCTATAAATCGACTACAGAATAAGGCCTTTAGATTCATAACTTTTGTTACTCTGAAGAAAGCATCGACACATCCAGAGAAATAAAACTTATAAGCAGAACTGGATTTTTATCTCAGTCAAATGTCAAAGTTGCTGTTTGTTTTCTAGCATTTTCTCCTTTTACCAACATTCAGTGACAAAAGTTGGCACCTAAGGAAATAGGGATTAATCATGGTTATTTTGGCCTCGACGTGCAATGCAGAGCAAGGACTCTATTATAATCCAAGATTTCATTCTGTCTTGCTTGCTTGCTTGACTTCTTGTGTCTTTGTCGAATTGAATTGCATATTCGACCCTAACCTCAACCTTATCCCAGCAGAATCTCTATTCAGAGTCCAATACATGTCCTTTACAATCTGCTCAGTGTCCACTCAGAGTAAGGGAAGTGATGAGAGCCTGGCGGTATCTTGGCATAATATGTTATAGTCTCTGATTTTTAACCAAAAGTGCACTTTAATATCTTTGATATCAGCCAGTACTGGTGTCACCATCTGTAGTGTGTGTATTTTTGTGTATATGTGTGTATGACCGCAGTGAACCTGGGACAATGGCTGTGTGCCATTTCAGCCACTCTGTGGCCGAGATCCTGAGTCGGAGACAAAGCCGGCTTTATCTCTCCTCTCACTGTTGTATCAGTGCTGCCTGGCTGGACGCATTAGCACGGACTGAACAGCCACACACACACACACACACACACACACACACACACACACACACACACACACACACACATTTCCAAAACAATACTTCACACTTGAACTTGGACAGAGAAAACTGTGAGAGTATGTATACGTAAATGTGTGTGACTAAAAAAAATACCACTGACCACCAGGGGAAGTGACAAAGACAGACACATTCAAAAAGTCATGTAAGTGTTAGGGTTTATGGTGTGTGTGTGCATGAGAGTGTGTGTGTGAACCCTAAATGCAGTGTCTGCCAAAATAATATGCTTCCTGATAACACCAGATTTCCTTTAAACACAGCACATCAAGGATTCCTCTCTTTCTGCTCAATTATCACTTCCATCTTTCTGTCTTGTCAGTATCACCCTCCTTCCACCTCCTCCATGCACAAAACCTCTCTCTTTCTTTCCCTCATTCTCACTTTCTGTCTGTCGCTGACTCCTTTCGCAGAGACAGGAATGTGAAGACAGAGATTTTAAAAAGAAACACCCAGGGAAAACAAGCCATAAAACACATTTACAGGTGTATTAGCAGGTTGTTACACAGCAGGACGTCACATCCACAGACGTTAACACAGGAACAGTGAATTTGGCTGTTAACCCTTTGTGATACAGCTCCGTCTCAGCAGATGCCAGTCTGTACTATCTGCCTATCAGATTGCCGTGCTCCTCCCCTACATTTAGCTTAATCATTATGACATAGTTAGGGCCTATCGCTGTCTTCTTTACATCAAACGAGATTTTCTGCTACAATCCTGCTCTGCAGTTTTGCTCTGCTGTGCTGTCTGTGTGGCAGCTCTGTGGTGACAGCAGGGGTTCGATTAGATTAGATGAAACATTAATGATCCCTACGAGGAATCAGGCCATTGCAGCACGCAGACACCGACAGTATACATCAGAGAGAGGGAAGTGAAACACAAAGACTGCGCAGAGGATGTATGCTAACATGACTACTTAAATTATTATTACTTAAACGGATGACAGTGTACATGAAGAGCATTAGAAGGACTTTATTAGATGCCATTGCATAATGAAAATTTGCTCATTTTCACATTAACACACATATTTTCCCCTTTCATGTCAGCCAAACTAATGACTCCACTTTGTGCATGTCATCATAGGCGTAGTAATGTTCACTGAAGCTGTGTGTTTGTTCTCAAGGGTTAAATAGCTTCAACATTCCCATACAAGAAAATATTACACAAGTAACCTTTGGAGGAATTAAAAATGAGGGAAAAGGAATAAAAAAAAAACAGTATGGGTCTTACTTACACAAATGCTTTTATATAACTTGTCAAGAGGTATAAAGCATATAAACCATAGCTTCATTACTCTTCATAAACATTGCCATATGTCATTATGAATGTTTATTATCACTCATTAAGGTTGTGTTAAAGTTGTTTTAAAGATGCATTCATATGATTTGGTTCTTTTTTCTAGGATATATCCAAGTAAGGCGCATCCTCTTATCTCATAATTCTTTGCATGCAAATAAAATCAAGATAGTGGACTCTCGAACTGATGAATAATGGAAGTTGGTTTTAACTCAATAAAGAGTTGTACAAATGTAAAGAAAGACAGGTTGACATTGGCTATCTAGTTGCTAGCTTGCTGTCTTGTTAGCCAGGAGGCTAGCTGTTGCTAAGGGACAAGAGAGACACTATTGCTGCATTCGAGTTACCTCGGAGGTCAGAAATCTGAGCTGAAAATGACGTCACACCCACGTTACCAGCGTTTCAGTTACCAAGTCGGTAAAAAGCAAAATCGGAGGTCTGAAACAAGATGGCTACATCTATGAAAGTTAGTTTGGCTGGGTCCTCTGAAGGCTGCAGCTAGAGAGTCAACAGCTATGCTAATGATTCTGTGGGGCTGTGCTTGGAACCATAGGGTGCTAGCTAAGTGTTAACATGATGCTAATATGGCAACAAAAAGGCTGACTCAAACTCATACTTTACAGTCAACTGTTAGCATATTGACATTTGCTGTCCAGCCGCCATTGCTACTGACTATGTTAGTTTTGCAGGTCGTTTTTCAGGTAGGCCAATGAAGTAGGTAATCAGTTGATATAAAGGGCTAAATGACTTTAAAAGCTTATTCAAAATTAACATGGGGCTCCAGGATGCGATTTTTTTTCTTCATAGGATGGTGGGGGAAGGTCCCGCCTCCTTCGCTTCTGATTGGTTAGAGACGCTGGAAACGTCATCACACGCTCAAGCTGAGCGCGGGCTGTCGGCTCTGTAAACCAACTAGGACATTGCAGAACATTATAGCGATTCTGAATCTCCTAACCCTAACCCTAACCCTAACCCTAACCCGATAGATGATGACATTTCACAGCCATAACGAATAACTAATCAGAGCGCAGCACTTCTAGCCAATCAGAGGCAAAGGAGGGCGGGACCTTCCCCTACCATCCCACGGAAAAAAAATTAGCCTCCGGGACAGTACTTGCATGCTAACACAGGATGCTTAAAAAATGAGTGTTTAATAGAGCTTGTTTTGAAACTTTAAGCCAATAGAATAGTACAAATAACAGCAGTTCCTTAGGCGTCCACAAGAGGCTGGCTCCAGAAGACCTTTAAGAGTTTAATGAACATGTTCGCACTTATCTGTAAATCACCCGTTTTGGTTTCAAAGGCCAAGAGTTATATGTGATTGTGCATACCAGAAGGCATGGCTGCTGATTTGCTGTTGTACACCAGCCTCAACCCAATCTCCATGTTAGTTTCTTGACATGTTGGAGGTTAGTTGGTTTTCAGCATCTCTAAAGCGTTCAAACCTTACCCTGAACTGCTGGACACACAGCTGTAAAACTGGAGAAAAAGAAGACCCATTTTGCCTTTCAGACTGACATTTGCACTGAAGAGCTGACTCCACTTTCTATTTTAGGCACAAAGCTCTTGGTTACCATGTGAATGAGCCTCCGTCACAATATTCTTGTTTCAGTTTGGATACAGAGTGTGTACCTCGTCAGTGACCCACACATGCCAAAGTGCTTCATGTATCTTGTTTGAAAGCGTCTGCAGGTGATGATGGGAACAGGAGTGAGTGCAGATGTGTTGACAAGTCAATCCACCTGAGAAAAATGAGTCTGCACCCCACTGGGAGACACACTGCAGTATCACCCCAGGAAACTCTTGTGATTTGTCACAGTGATTTATCTGTGCTGTAACCCGTTCACGGCACAACAAGGAGGTTCTGTGTGGGTTTTTAATCTCTAAATTTACAGCTGAATTACACTGCACGCACATTTTTAAGAGGAAGCTCTATTACATAAGAGTCTTGTTGCAACAGATGATTTACAGCAGCTGTGTGTGTGTGTGTGTGTGTGTGTGCGTGTGCGTGTGAGTGTGTGTGTGTGTGAACATAACTCAGCGTCTGCGGGGAAAGTGATGTAGTGTCTGTGATGCAGAACTAGATCCATCCTCTCGCCTGTCTCTGCAGCTGCAGACATCGTTTTTCATATAAGACCTGCATGCTGGCAGCGTGCCTGGCATCCACTCCTGTCCTGTTTCCCCTCTCTTTCTCCCCCCTTCTCCCCCTCCACCTTGTCCCCTTACACAATCACACTCCTCCTCCTCCCTCTGCTTGAGTCAGATCAGTCTGACTGGTGCAGCGATCTTTCCCGTGTACACAAAAAAGAAGGGGGGGATAAAAGCTGTCCTAGTTTGATGACATCATCCCCGCCATTCATGATAACCCAGCGTGTGTGCTGCTGTGAGTGTGTGGGTATTAAAATTCTCTTCCTGTTAGTCAGTGTGAGAGTCCAGCTGCAAACTGATGCAAAGGAAGTGGTTGTAACAAAGGTTTTATTCAGAAAAGAGGATGAGAACACACACTCACCCACACGCACACTGTCATACCACACTTGTGAGTATCCGCAATGATGACATTATTACAAGCACCCTTATCTGTTCCTGATGCTCTCCTGACCCAAAAAGTTAAACTTTAATGCTGAACTAGAACGAAAAATGATCAGGAATTTGCCCTCGTGAGGATTTATTAAACTAATCTAATAATTAAGAAAGGAATTATAAACATACAGTACATCTTTGAAACTAAAGGCATAAAGTTAAATACATAATGTTGATTCTCTATGAGATGACTCTAGTTTGGTCCTCATAAGTGTATAAACACACAAACACACACACTAATCCGAGCATGACGCAACCCTCTGAGCAACTGTATGCCGTCATCACTGAGACGTCCTGTGGGAGGGACTAACCAGTACAACATGCGGCTCTTGGTGGCCACACTGGAGGACACATAATCATCTGTGTCCAACAAACAGCTGAATGAAAGTACAGCCAATGAACGCGGACTGACCCACATCACTGCTGTGAGGGATACCAGGACTGTTACGGTTACAGATGATGTCGCTTGATAGGCCACCTCTGGGTGTTATTGGTTATGTAACAGCTCTGTGTTGTGGCTGGGAGTCACAGGAGGCTGTTACAGCTCTGTGAAAGTGTTTCAGTGCGTCTCAGTGAACTGCTGCTCACATTTCTATCAGGTGATTCAACAATTTTAAGAACTTCAGTGTTACCGTGAGCCAAATGTTCCTTGATTTGAAGCTTCTCCGTGCTGATGCAGCTTGAAACGAGAACATGCAACAAATAAATGACAGTGTCAATATATTGTCTATAACTTTTTTAGTAGCGCAACCAAACCCCTTACCATCAAGACAAAACAAAGAAAACCAGCATTCATCTCTGTAGCCTTTTGCATTTGCAGGCATCAATTCATCACAACCTGTTAGCATATCATTAGCCACCTGGACTACTCGCTCTTTTGTTGTTGGGCGAAACATAAACAAGCTTTTGGGGTCATTTTTAAAGCATCTGGAAAATGTAAAATGAATATTAACTATTTTATGCAAGGTGGGTGGTGGTGGGGGCGGGTTTTACTCCTGGGCCCAAAAAGCTTTAGGACCGGCCCTGTATTTAGAACTTACACATTATGTTAATGGTAGGTTGTTTCAGGTCAAAGACATTAGATCAGTCTGAGTGTTTAAAAATGAATTAATACAGTAACACTATCATCTAGAGTTACGTGAGAACTTCCTGTTGTTAAATAATGCAGCTCATCAACCATCAATGATTGTGTATCCTTGCCTCGGTGTCTAATACCCCGACAGGTGGTGCACACGCATACTTTACTGTTATTTGAGCTGTGTGAATCACACACACACACATACATAAACAAGGAAACAGGTGATACATTGGATCTGTGAGTGTAAAGTGTGTGGTCTAGAATAGGTCTTGAAACTAAAACAAGAGACAGAAGTATAAAGACGAGAGGGATTGTGTAAAGCTCCTTAAAATGAGTTATTACAAGCAGCGAGGGTTGAATTAAAAAAAAAGAAAGATGGATGGAAGTCTGCCACTGCAGGACAGTTGACGTCAGGCCTGTAAACTGAGGACATAATCCTCTGTAGGCCTGACCTCGTCCTTTAGTGTGAGGCACTGACACCTAGTGGTCAGCTCATAAAACAACAGCTCCATAATTCCCAGATTTTTCACTCCTTAATGATACCGAAGACTCTTGAAAACATACAAATAGGTTGTTTTGATAACCTTTGACCTCTTTTATGTTACACCTGTGTAAATACACTGCCAGAAAACACAAGTCATAAAACACATTATCAAACTATAAACAGACAGATAAGGCACTCCTTATCTTTGTCAACATGTATTCACTATCTGTCGGTAGTTATTGTTGTGTGTGAGGGGATTTGGAGTGTTGAATATAGGTCAGACATCATCTGCTCTGCTGATGTGATATCTCGCTTTGGGCGTTATTGATGCTACAGTGGCTGGCTGCAGTCATATGCAGCCAACTGCCTCATTTCACAGTTGAACAAGCGAGTACAATGTGTGCTACCAAACCGCACAAGGTTTGGGTTATTTTTAGATCCTAAAATCAGCTGGAACCATAGGTACAGTATACAAACAGTAAATGCTGAAATGACCTCACCTAGTTTTGACTTACATTAAGCCTCATTTAGCATCATTCAGCTGTTTGGTTTTGGTTTGAAAATTCCACATGATCACTACTTAATGTTAGAGTGATCATGTCTCCTCACAGCTGTATTTAAAGAAAATGAAAACAGCATTTTGGAAAAAAGAAAATACTGTAAATCTGATAAAAACATGAGCAGCTCATGAAACTTGCAAATATTCAAGATTCATCACATAAAAAGTGAAACATTTCAGAAATGCTCTTCTCCTGGAAAATAATATTCAGGGGTCCTCTCTTGCATGAGTGGTGGTGAGCAGTCTGTGACTCTGAGGTCCAGGTCTCTCTGACAGCTCCTTTAGCTTATCTGTATTGTAGGGTGGCCGAGAACCACAACTGCTGCAAATAAAAAGAAAAAAAAGAAAAAAAAAGAAAAATCACAAAAGATGTTACCGATGCAAAAAAAAAGAAGAAAAAAAAGAAAGCAACTGAAGCCCGCTGCAAATAAAAAAGAAATGGTGCAGATAAAAAAAGCCACAACAGAAGTTAATGATGCAAAAGAAAAGTGGCAATGAAAAAAAAAAAGTTTCTTCCTGCGAAAACAAAAGAATGCAAATAAATGAAATGAAGCAAACACTACATCGCCATCCTCCAGTTCATATCAACTTAGGCATCCTTTTACTTTCCCAGTAAGAAACTTCTTTTCTTTTCTTGTATCAAAATTATGGGAAAACTTTAACTTTATCATGACATTCAAAGTTTTTAAGCTGCACCAGTGCATGACCAAATTTAACAAAGTCTCCTGTGCCTTATTTGAAAAGTCTTTAATATGAATACTTGTAAAAATGCAAATAAGAAGCTGTTTCAGAAACATGCAGCTGTCATCACTATGACACCAGTAGTTTCAGTTACACAACCATATGTAAATAGTCTGTCTTCATGCTGAGAGTCTCATTTGCTTTTGTGGCTCCAGAAGAGAAATTGTTTTTATTTCCAGCCTGTTTGACCTTACTTCTCACCCTGATAATAAATAATTATGATTGAACCATCAACCAAGTTTGGAGTTGTGTGTGTAAAATAAACAATTTGTCAAATATTAAATTAACATCTCTCAATTCTGCTGATTGTTGTCAACTAGCTACCTAAAAACATTGTTAAACCACAACACTGCTGTTATCAAATTGCAATGCAAATTAAGCAAGATTGTAGATAACATTTAAAACAAAAACACCATAAAGGTGTGTCTGGGGAGTGTAAATGGGATTAGTTAGTGCCAGTGTGAGCTTAATAATGCAGCCTCTTGCATCAGTGTGTGAAGCTGTGCATTACGGAATGTGACATCGAATGTAAAAGGCAGATACTGCTGTTCAGTAAGGATTTTTATACACAGCAGATAACCCACGCATGTGCTGGTTAGTTGCAGGAGCATGGATTCAAAAACAAAGAATAAACTGTCGCACCCTGAACCAACTTTACTTGGTGTTATTCTGACAGTTAAGTCATTTCAGTGGACTTGAGGAAGCACCAGAGTCCTCTTCATTACTCGATAGAAAAGTGAGTAGCAGTAGTAGAAAAAAAGAGCAGTATTTCATAAAGGAATAGCACTCATGTAGAAACCCGTACGACAAACACTGACGCATGAGATGTAATTTGAATGCAGACATGATTTATGGCACTTTTAACCAAAGTCGAAAGTAAGCTCGACTTTGACCCTCCACTGCTGCTCGGTAATGCACTGTGTCTTTTCAAACTATATCAGTAGCAGCATGAGTATAGTCTGTTTAAGTCGGCCTCTGTCTGGATAGACTCAGGAGCAACTCGATTTGCATGTTTTACATCTCATCAGTAACCTGTGTGATCAGCCCCCTCAATAGAATGAGCCCTGACCGGACAAGTATCATCCTAAGGACTTTGTCATCTACTGTCATGGACTTCTCTTTCTTTTTTTATTTTAAAAACACTTTTTAGAGAAATCTTGTTTTTAATGAATCATCACCAGAAATGTTCAGAGTTTCTTCACTTTTTCTTTTCTCTGTGCTAATACTGACCCTAGAAGTTTGAGCTTGCTTCAGGAGGACATGAATTAGATCCTAGTTGTGTTATTTTTATTTTTTTTGCTGTTTTTGAGCTTGTTTCATTTCATGGATAAAGTCACAGCCTGAGGATTTCTCAAGTGGGAATAGCTGCTTCATGAACACCAAGATGGAGAACCATCAGGTGCTCCTCGAGTCCTTCAATCGGACACAGAACATGGAGTTGAACACAGGCGTAAGTGTATTCCCACAGCAGAATATCACCCAGCCCGAAATTATCCAGGGGACAGAGCCCGATCTCACAGTGCTGGCCCTCACGGAGTTCCGTATCCAGCAGCTGGAAAACAGGCAATTTCTCCTTCAGGAGATGCTTCACATCACAGAAAAGTCGAAGGACAACAATAACAGGCCAACAGAGGAAAGTAAGTCAATCATCCAGTTTTATGATATGAATAATAGTAATGACAAGTTCTTAAAAAAAAAAAAAAAACAGAAAAGATTTCTGCTGTGAGTCTTCCAAAGACCTGTTTTTACAAACCTTTATTTGGTTATTTCATGTTTAATTAATTCATCTATTATAAGGCAAATAACAGATAAAAATTGGAAAATATGAGAAAAGTGGACCATCTTATTGGGCACAGTTGAACTTCTTCCCTGTTGTGTATTCATTGTCACTTAGGTGTGTCTTCTTCATGACTTTTCTCACCTTATTTGAACCAACCTAACCGCTAATCTAGATTTGTGATCACAAACTAGTTATCTAACAGAAAAAAAAAACACAAAAACAAACAAAAAAAAACAATACTTACAAGGTACGGCAGTCAATCAAAAAAAAAAAAAAAATTCAAAGAAAGGCTGAAAAAAAAAAAAACCTTTACATATTGCATGATCAGCCAATGGAGTGTAAAGAGAAGTTTGTTTAAGTCATCAAGCCAGCGCACTTACATCTACAAAGTGAGCGAATCTGGTTCAAGAATATCTCATTGTAGCTATTTGTTAAAATAAATGAATCCTTATTCTTTTTATTTAGTTTTCAGCCTTTTAATGACATTTTAATGACAAGATTTCAGATCCATAAGGAGATGGTTTTTATCTTTTGGAAGAAGTTATTTTATTTTGCATACAGTATAATTTAGTTGCATAGTTAATGCATTCACAAGATACTGATCCAATGGGAATTTAATATTAATATTAACAAATAAAGCAGTTGTTTTGATTTTTCTCTCCACTACATTTCACCATTTTGCGTCATTTGTCCCTTTTCTTCAGGAACCCCAACCCTCTGCTAACATAGCTGACATTAAATTATGTATTTTCCTCAGTGAGGTGCTTTTAATCCATTAATCCAATAATATGTACTTTTAATTTCCTTAAGGGAAACTCCCAAAATGATAAATCAAGTTGTATCTGATCTAATCTAATCTAATCTAATCTAATCTAATCTCATCTCATCTCATCTAACCTAATCTCATCTCATCTCATCTCATCTCATCTAATCTAATGTTTGAGAAAACCTTAAATTTTAATATTGAACAATTCACTGTTAGTTAGTAAACAGTGATAAAACAACCTATCATGAGAAACACAGTAAACATCTGGTTAAAAAGTTAGAAGAGTGTGACATGTGTTTCAGAGTTGACTGCAGTAACAGGTACAATAGATCTACAAATGTGTTTCACCCTCTCCTCATGTGCTGGTGTGAACAGTGACCTCTGAGGACTGTGACAAACTATGTGAGCTGGAGATCATCCAGAAGGAGCTGGAAGAGCTGGAAATGAAGAAAAAGGAGCTGCAAAAACAAGAAACAGGCTCCGAACTCGGTTTTAACTCTGAAGGTATAGCCGATCCTCTTTCGCGACAACAAAGCTCCCGTTTTGAAAAGTGGACCATCTTATTGGGCACAGTTGAACTTCTTCCATGTTGTGTATTCATTGTCACTTAGGTGTGTCTTCTTCATGACTTTTCTCACCTTATTTGAACCAACCTAACCGCTAATCTAGATTTGTGATCACAAACTAGTTATCTAACAGAAAAAAAAAACACAAAAACAAACAAAAAAAACCAATACTTACAAGGTACGGCAGTCAAACCAAAAAAAAAAAAAAAATTCAAAGAAAGGCTGAAAAAAAAACCTTTACTTATTACATGATGAGCCAATGGAGTGTAAAAAGAAGTTTGTTTAAGTCATTAAGCCAGCGCACTTACATCTACAAAGTGAGCGAATCTGGTTCAAGAATATCTCATTTTAGCTATTTGTTCAAATAAATGAATCCTTATTCTTTTTACTTAGTTTTCAGCCTTTTAATGACATTTTAATGACAAGATTTCAGATCTATAAGGAGATGGTTTTTATCTTTTGGAAGAAATTATTTTATTTTGCATAAAGTATAATTTAGTTGCATAGTTAATGCATTCACAAGATATTGATCCAATGGGAATTAAATATTAACTTGTGCAAATAAAGCAGTTGTATTGATTTTTCATGTCACCATTTTGCGTCATTTGTCCCTTTTCTTCAGGAACCCCAACCCTCTGCTAACATAGCTGACATTAAATTATGTATTTTCCTCAGTGAGGTGCTTTTAATCCATTAATCCAATAATATGTACTTTTAATTTCCTTAAGGGAAACTCCCAAAATGATAAATCAAGTTGTATCTGATCTAATCTAATCTAATCTAATCTAATCTAATCTAATCTAATCTAATCTAACCTAACCTCATCTCATCTCATCTCATCTAACCTAATCTCATCTCATCTCATCTCATCACATCTCATCTAATCTAATCCAATGTTTGAGAAAACCTTAAATTTTAATATTGAACAATTCACTGTTAGTTAGTAAACAGTGATAAAACAACCTATCATGAGAAACACAGTAAACATCTGGTTAAAAAGTTAGAAGAGTGTGACATGTGTTTCAGAGTTGACTGCAGTAACAGGTACAATAGATCTACGAATGTGTTTCAACCTCTCCTCATGTGCTGGTGTGAACAGTGACCTCTGAGGACTGTGACAAACTGTGTGAGCTGGAGATCATCCAGAAGGAGCTGGAAGAGCTGGGAATGAAGAAAGAGGAGCTGCAAAAACAAGAAACAGGCTCCGAACTCGGTTTTAACTCTGAAGGTATAGCCGATCCTCTTTCGTGACAACAAAGCTCCCTTTTTGAAACATGAGGATGCAAATTATGCCTCTGAACCGTCAGTATTAATCTATTTTTGCAATTCTCCAAAGCATTTGAGATGGACACACTCCCGTCTCTCCAAGAGATGAATGAGGATGTGAAAGAAAGTCAAGAGGGGAAGGTTGAACCTACATCAGAGGACACAAGAGGTCCAGTTATTCCAGGTAAATCAACTTACTGAATGTTAAAGCAACTCCTCCCAGAGATGTGTCTGTTATAACAAAAAGTCTCTGTAATACTTTCATTGACCTTTTCTTTTCTCTCTTTTTTGGGGGGCAAGTGGACCGGCTGGGTCATATACCAGATGTTACCAAGTGTCCATCCTGTCATGAGGTGGTCTTCACAGAAACCTGTATTAAAGTGGGAGAGGCTACATGGATAGCTTCCTGCTTGTGCTCCATGGTCGGGTATGTCTTTAGATTTAGTTTGAAAATTAAACTAAACAGTCATAAATTCAACTACTTTCTTTGTGTACGGCACATTTGATGCTGCTGTAGGCTGTACTTTACTGGACAAAACAAAATGCAGGTGAGCTTGCACACACACATAAGTACATAGTTACTTCACCTGTTCTTGTTTTGATCCGTATGGTATCTCTCTGGGTGATAGTAGGAGTGAGAGAAAATATCGATTCAGCATAGTATTGCAATATTTTGTCTGGTGACATATCGTATCGTCTCATTTACCAAGTATCGATTTTTTAAAATTAATTGCTAATATGAGGTCAAATCTATGATAATGGAAAAATAAAATCAGCTGTTAGTTCAGTGAGGCTGGCAGAGGTGTGTTCATAGAGCAGGAGAAAGTTAGTGCAACAAATATATATAAGGTTTGCAAGATGTGCTACATGAAAATAAATACAGTGTTAATAAGACAAACATAAAGGAGGGCCAAATGCTATACTAGCTAAACAGTTGAAAAAAAAAATGTATAAATCGTAATAATGTTCTATCGCAATACTAACTGTATTGCAAAATGTTAAAAATTGCAATAATATTGTATTGTGGCCAAAGTATCGTAATAATATCGTATCGTGATAGTATCGTATTGTGATGATATTGTATTGTGATAATATTGTATCGTGATAGTATCGTATTGTGATGATATTGTATTGTGATAATATTGTATCGTGATAGTATCGTATTGTGATGATATAGTATCGTGATAATATCGTATTGGGATAATGTTGTACTGTGATAATATCGTATCGTGATAATATCGTATTGTGATGATATCGTATCGTGATAATATTGCATCGTGATAGTTTCGTATTGTGATGATATAGTATCGTGATAATATTGTATTGTGATAATGTTGTACTGTGATAATATCGCATCGTGATATATCGTATTGTGATGATATCGTATCGTGATAATATCGTATTGTGATGATATCGTATCGCGATAATATCGTATCGTGGGGCCACTGGTCATTCTCACCCCTAATAGTTAGTAAGCTGGTCAGACAGATATTTTTTTGTCATATCTTACTCTTCTGTAAACTAGAAGCCATATTTGAAATTCAAATCTGATTTTTCAACACTAGTTCTGTTCTCTCAGTCTCTGTTAGCCCTCTTGTTGCAGGTAAACTGCACTTCATAGAGATCCGGTGGACGTTGCTCTAGCCTGGATTTATTGGCCCCCTTTCCTCTTTTTTTGCACAGGTGTGTAGCTGGGTGCTGTGTCATCCCTTTCTTCCTGGACCGTCTGAAAAACGTCCACCACACGTGTCCCCACTGTCATAAACACATACATACTTTCCGACCATTTTAACTAAGGCCTCTACGTGGACAGGTCTGATGTCTTCTGTGCCATGTGGTTCCACAGCTGCTGTAAGGAAGTGACACTTCTCTGTGGACTCTGAGCTGTTTTGGACTCATTTGGATGATTGGATCCCTGAGAACTATGTCTCAGGAGAGCCCGGAGAACTTTTTACGCTACAAGAGATGTTCTGCTTCAACAACCTATTAGAACAGAAGCTCAAATGCTTGATCCATTAAGTTATATATATATATATATATATATATATATATATATATATATAGCACTTTGACTGTCTTAGGTTTGTTGTACTCCTCTATCTGTGCATCATGGACTTGATACAAGCTCTGAGCTCTACTATTACACAAACCTAGATACAAGCTGCGTCCGAATTGCCAGGTAGTAGTCGAAGTAGTAGTCGAAGTAGTATCTAGCATGTCCGAATTGGCCACCGGAGCGAGTAGCATGCTACTTCAGATACTACTTCAGATACTAGACACGCCCACATTGTAGGTTGGTCGCGGTGCATCCTACGGGCATGCTACTGACCCAAAATGCACCGCGGGCTTCTTCTTCGTCCTCTTAAAAGTTGTAGAAGCGCATGTGATGCTAGCGCCACCAGCATAGATGCGTCGCGAACGCCGGCTGGCCACAGCAGCGCGCACCATGTCGGAGCAGCAGCAGGCGGGACCGCAGCAGTACAGATGTAAGTTTCATGTAACTTCACACACTGTCCTAAAAAATGTGCGGTTGTATCTCTTTGTCATGTCATGGTGTCATATTTGCCCAAGTAATCATTTTATGAGCAAATATGTGGCGACATCATGGAGGTAAAGCTCACTTATTCCATCATTAAACTGCACAGCTGCAGTACTACAGCCAGGCCCGCAGATGAGGGGCTTCAGTTACCACTGTCTGCACGGGCGCAGTCCCTACTCTCTGCCTGCGGGGGTCGTCTTTCCCCACCGCTCGTCTAGTGTGTCCGAATTGGGCCAACGTGTTTAGTATGTAGGAGTAGGATCTAGCAGTAGTATGTAGCAGTAGCTATTACACTAACCTAGATACAGTGATGAAGCCAAAGCTATATACTATAACCATCAAACATGAGTTCATTAAAACAGAAACTCATAGAGCGGTCTGTATTTTGTTTTTGTCATGACTAACATGATCCAGTGATCCAGTTCCCTTTCTATAAAGAAATTGTTTGTGTTGCCTCAAGGGGAAATGTTAACGCATCACAGGGGATATGCAAACACTGGCCTCTAAGCAAACAAGTCGGATAAAGAGCACTGTGTTAACCAAAACACACACATGCCATGTTTGAGGAGTTTTGTTTTCTCCGTTCTGCACCAATTACACCATTTGACCCTTGATTTTTTTTTTCATGTATTTGTATTCTGTGATGAACTCTCTGAGAAACGCTCACAGTACACCAAATTTTTATTGACACATAAAGGCATTCAGTACTTATATATACATCTTTTTGAATATTTACAAAATAGAGAACCCATGGATGTTACACATGTATAAAAATATGCATTACATCTATATAAATATGTACACAATGTGCAAAACATATGGCATACAAACAACAAGAGGCATGGCGTGGGTGGTGGAGAGACAGAGGGGACAGAGGATGGTGTGCTTCTATTAATGTCCCATGAAATCCAATGTTGAACAGTGAAACTTGTGTACATGGTAGTTCTTCATGTTTCCATGGTGATAAAACGGTGATTTAGGACTGATACAGAAAAGCCTGAACTTGTGCCTTCAGTTCCTATGATAAAGTAAAGGAGCTGCTTCCACAGATCTCCGTCCTATGAGTGTTATTGAAATAACCTCCCACCTCACAACTCAGATAGAAGTGCCTCTGAACGCTGAACCCATTCATCTGTAGTAAATGTTCTAAACACAATGATAAAATCAAGGCAGGATCTGACATAAAGTACAGTACATCAAGGGAGAGCAGCCGTTATTGCTTTGTGCCATCCCTGTCGATGGTAAGTGGTGTCACGTCGAGCGTTAACCGCATACATGTGTAGATTAACTGCAGCCCAGAGGTCTGAGTATGTCCCATACGAAAAAAAAAGTAGAAAAAAAAACTGCAAACCAAAAGTATATACACATGAAATCTTCTTGTACAGATATTACATAAGCAGAATACAAAGGTAAATGTTTTTTTCTTTCACTTTTCACCCTAAAAAAAGTCATAAATACAAAAAACGTGAGAAATTAACAAAATGTGATAATATGTTCCTTTGCCTTTTTTTTGGCAAGTCAAATCAAATTTGATATCCTCAAGGCTAAAAAAAAAATAACCAAAGAATACAAAAATCTCCAGGATGCACACGAGTCGTTGATCCTATGTCAGAAACAAAACAGAATGAAACACATTTAAAAAAACCTGCAGGCAGTTTTTAAAGGGGTCCAGGAATCCCCATGCGACCGAGTTGAAGGTGTATGAGGGTGAAGTAACAATGTAACCACAAAGCAGGTGTGTGCAGCATCTGGCTCTCAGGTGATCTTCTAGTGTGGGCACATTAATGCGTCTTGGCCTGATCTGATGGTTTAAATGCAGCATTAAGAGAGTGATCTGACAGTGCTGACATAAAGGGCTCCTCCCTCATCAGTTTGTTCAGCTCAACACATTATTGCAGACGTGAGCGACAGATCAGCATCACACATGCAGAAAAAAATGACTTCCTTCAAAATGAAAAATATAATAAAAACAGCCTCCTTCACTTGTATATATATTTTTTTGCAAAATAGCCATGAGGGAACTGAGCTGGAAAGCAGCAACAGAAGTGAGGCAGCGCCCTCTGGTGCCCATACATGAAGTGACAGGATAAAGTGGTTAAAGAGCACTGCTAATTTGATTTAAAAAAAAGACAATTAAAAAAAGCAATTTTTGTTACCAAAGTGCCTTAAATATAAACCGTATCAATCCAGAACAAAAATCCAGACTCAGCTGTTTCAGAGAGCAGGAAATGATGTCATGATGGATTCACGCTGGCTTTCAAAGTAGCAAAGCTCTCCTCTCTCCTCAGAGGTGTCTGTGCGTGTTTTTGACTGTAGGACGCCGACCAAGCAACACAGATAAAACCGTAAACAGTCATCAGAAGCCATTTGATTAGTAGAGTTCAGAATATGTTGGCTCGATAACAAACGCTTTGATTTCTTTGTTTTTTTTTTTTTTTTTAGATATTAGCAAATTTCTTCAGACAACTTGCAGGCAATGCAGCCCGGGATTAAACATGAATACAATCATGCACGGAGACACAGTGGAACATGCAGAAGACAGGAAGACAAATCCATACACACCCACACACACACACACACACACACACACACACACACACACAACATGCTGGCTTTCTTCTCAGCGTCACAGGCTCGACTGTTAAACCAGTCGAAATGAGATTATTCTGATTCATTCTCATGATGGTTGATCTGTTAAAGCAGATTGATTTATTAGTAACAGGTTATTATTAGCTTGCACATTCACTGGCTAATGTTGCCATAATCTCCCACCCATACACACACATACACACACATACATATGTGCACACAAACACAGACAAAGTGCAGGGATACTGTAGGACAGCTTGATATAAAGCTCATCTCCTCCAAAGACATCTTGATTCCTTGATATCATCTGCAGCACACACACACACTTCACAACTATTACGTGTGTGTGAGTCTGCTTGTGTCATAAACTGATATTTGTTCCCTTTCCAACATTTTTTTTTTTATCAGTTAACCATCAGGAGAAAAAAAAAAACAGCTGCCGACTTAATAAAGTCTGTTTTTTTTCCAATCTTTTAAAAACTACATTCAACGTTTGATTCTTGGACAACAACTGCGGTTTTCTCCAGAGCGTTTGGCCTCGTGATTCCTGTTGATCACTTCATCTGAACAAACACCTTAGATATGCAAAGTTCACATTTCCTTGTTCTGAGGTGGCTGAGGCGCCTCTTTAGTGCATAGCTCTCCTCTTTTTTTTTTTTTTTTTTGTCTTCTCTTTACAGTCATTGGTTCATCAGCTTGACCAGCCGGGGTCGTGAAGAAAAAAACAGTCACATCTGATGAGACGCATCAGATTAGTCAACGAACACATTACCTACAGTTCATTCTGGACTGGTGCGAAGAGAGGCTCCACCTCCTCTCAGCTGGGAATCCCTTTTGAACTTGGCTGAACACGTCTGGCTTTGAGTCTTAAAGGGAGCAAACGGATTTGACTTGATTTGTCCAGCACCAAGACAGGAACAGACACACCGACTTATTAGTCTACGACCTCCTTGTGGTCACGTCTGGGCCTGTAGTGATATCATGAAGCGCGCTCTCAAATTCATCGCAGAGAGGATCTAATCTCCTCTAACTTGGTATCATCTGTCCTCTGTCGCTGCGCTGTAACAGTTGGCTCTGCTGAGCGAACGTGGCGCAGTGTGCTTCAGCAGAGCAGAGGGCGTCATGTCAGACGGGCTCTGGAGGTCTTCTTTCACACACAGTAGAAGAGGCGCCGCTCTGTTCACGCTGAAAGCCAAACTTCCAGCAGAGAAAGCCGAGCAGTATTGATCCTGTTCAGTCTGTGTGTTCGAGACAAAGTTCAGATACATTAGTGTGTGTGTGTGTGTGTGCGAGTGTGAGGAGTATTTACAAACAGTCCATGCTACCAGTATGATTTGGCTCTGTCTTCTTCAACCTGTGGATGATCGTTAAAGTCGTTTTAAAATCCCTTTATCACCGCTCTTGTGAAATCAGGGGGTCTTTTAAAGCTGTGCAAACTCCTGCTTCTGGTTGGACTTCAGTGCACTGCCTGTACAGCGCTCCTTCCTGTAGGAAAGTGGGAATATTACAGATGGTATGGATGGACTGGTGACGCTGAGGCGGCACTAAAATGCCCTGCTCTCTCCATCTTTCTTTAAATGTTGAACCTCTCTGTCTCTCCTCATCCATCCATCTATCCATCCTTCCTGGCTAAGCTGCTTGTTTATCTTCATCATCCTCTCACCGGTCCCCCCCGTCAGTCCCAGTGCAGCTGCAGGTCTTGAGTATCCAGGAAGTCCGTAGGTATCCCCAGTGGTGTGAGTGCCCCCCCAGGATCCGGCGGCATGGTGAGGTCCAGCCACTCCATATTATCCAAGCCGGGGTCGGACAGGCCCATGTTGAGGGAGGAGGGGGGTGAGGAGGAATCACAGAAGGACAGGTCGGATGTGTCCATGGGGGAGTAGGGCTGTTGTTCCATCAGCTGGGCCTGCAGCTCCAGCATGAGGCCCTGTGTGCGGGGGTCTGACGCTGCTGGGGTATTGGCCAGGGTGCCCTCCAGAAAGGCCTCCAGCTGGTTATCTGTGGCAAGTGAGGAGAGGCTGGGCATGTTCTGACCCATTGCGGGGCTCAGGGTGGGGGGAGGGGCCACCTGGATCTGTGGAGGGGGTCTAGAGATGGCGGTGCTGATGGGTAGGGTGGTGATGCTGGCTGTGACTGGATGGGTCTTAGTGAGGGAGACGGAGGGGTCATTCTGGATGAATGGAGTGATTTCTGCAAGAGAAGATGGGGGATACAGATGTGGCGCAATTAGGTACTGGTGTAGACGGAGACTTAAAGGGATATTCCGGCGTAAAATTAATTTTGGGTCAAACACACCATAACACCGAGTTTGACATCCCCTCGGGAGATGAATGTTACCGCTTGTTTCTCTAGTTACACAAACTTTAGTAACGACTGCAGGATAGCAATACAGAGCAGTCTGAGGAGCCATAAACAAACCTCAAACAAAACGCCACTCTATAGTCACAAATAATGCTCAGAACAGCACCTAACTTCATCAACAGTACATGTAGGGTCCCAGCCCATCAAACATCTTTTTAATTTTGCCTAATTTCTTCAGCAACGAGACTAAACACAACCACCTACTCTCTTCCAGCAGCCGCTTGTTTGTAGCGAGACCTCAGGCCAGTCCATTACGGACTGCTGCGGGGTGACGCAGCTCAAGGAAGAACATTTACGATCTTATCATCTCATGATCAAAATGTAATTTTACGCCGGAATATCCCTTTAATGAAACCCAGAGAGCTGTGGAGGTCCTACCAAACCTTTTCATGGGCACTTTGAGTGTCCACTAGGCTTTTTTTACATTAAAGAGCTGAAATCTTAAAGACTGATACAGCCTTTATCTAAATAAAAACCACCGCTGCACAGAAGACTCTGCTGCTTTCTCTGAGAATACCATGATTTGGGTTTACACTGTCCTTACCTCCACTCTCTATGAGAATGTCAAACAAATCGTCCATTTGCTGGCTGGTTGCTGTGGGAACCTGAAACGACAGTGAAAGAGGTTAAGAGACTTTAGACTAGCTCACCAAAAGCAAAAACAAATCCTCAAGGCTAAAAAAAAATAAAAAAATAGACGTTTTCATCCTTTTCTTTTCTGAAGGACAACACAGCAGAGAGCTGCTGGAGAAATGTGCTGTGAGCTGATCGAACCTGTGAAACGTTGTTGACGTGCATGTTGCGGCTCTGTTTAACGGCCTCCTCGTAGCGCGGAGGCTCTTTAGTTTTGGGAGGCTGAGTAACCAGGGAGGTTGGCTGGAGGATGAAGGTAGGCTGGGGAGAGGATGGCTGGAGAAATGGAGAGAGAGAGAGAGAGACAGGAAGGAGTGAGAATCCTCCACCTGAAGCACAACTTAAGTTTGAATCATTGTTTACTATTCTCAGAAAGTTGGACTGAAGCCCTGTTCTCCTCCCATACCTTATTGAAGGGTCCGTTGGAGATGTGGTGGTTTGGTGAGGCTCGAGGAGAGACCCTATTCTCTGGGGAACGTCTCAGGAAACACTGGGGGTTCACTTCAGGCCTCGTCTGGTTCTCCAAACCAGATGTGTTATTGCACACAGTGAGAGTCTAACAGGGAACAGGACCAAGAATATCAGTTTATCATGTACGGTGCAGTATCATGTAAAAGCACCAATAAACCACATCATAAAGAGTATTCACTGTTGATATCAGTCTGTTCCATAACCAGACAAAACCTGATACATATGTTTGTGATGCTTTGTTATAAAAGGGTCCAAAAATAAGGACAATTCCATTAGGCGTGTCCTAAAATAACTTTTTGACTTCCGATACGAAACCGATACTGTAGCCTTCATTATTGACCAATAACCGATATTGATCCAATATTGGCACAACATTGTGCATGACAAGTTTTTCACTCAGCTGCAAATCTTTTTCGGACTTAAACAAAAAATACTGCCACAAAGCCAACATCAGTCTTACTCCTTGCTACGTTGTTAGTACCTTAGTACACAGCCAGTACGTTTACATGTAAAGTTTAACCGGATTAAGCTCACAATCATTTTTTTGCAAAATCGAACTCTCTCCTTGTCTGCGTATACATGCAGCTGAGAAAATCAAATTATTGACGTGAAGGTGTCCTCCTCCCCAAAACTAGGGGGGAAAATATGCGTCTTTTCAGCGGCGCTGTTTCCGACCCAATACAACTGTCAACAACAACAGCGAGCCAGACGTCAGAAGTGGCTACAACTGCTGCAGCTGATCATACTCTGACTAGAGAGACTAGAGAAAATCGAATTCCAATCGCATTATCTGGGTGTCTTAATCAGAGTTCTCCGACTCCAATCGGCGTTCTCAAACTCCGATTATAGTCCGACTTAGGTGTTTACATGAACTTCAGTTGTCTGGTCTTAATCGTAGTAAGGCAATAATTTGGTTTTCTCGAGTGTCATGTAAATGTACCGAGTTTTGTTTGGATTTTGTGGGCTCAGCTTGCTGTATCAGGGCGCTGCCAAATAGAAGTGCTGAAACAGAGTCTGGAATGAACTGCTTGTATCAGAGTGCTGATATCAGAGATTTTAGATGCAGGACGATATAATCCGATATTCCTTTTTTTGCTGATATCGGACCAATATCTGATATCAATATCATATAGGGACACCCCTAATTTCCACAATTATGGACAAAGTCCTCATAACAAATTAGCTAGCTATTTTCCTCACAAAGAAACTTGTAGCTTGGCATAACTCACCTGCAAAAGAGTGTTGTGGTTGGTTATGTGCTGGTTAGGTGTTGTGTCCATCTTAGTGGTTTGCAGCTGAGGAACTGAGGCCTGAACCAGACCTGGATTTGAGACTGTGGCCTGAAGAACAGGCTGAGAGGAAAGAAAAGAGCACAAGGAGTCAGCACAGTGAACTAACTTTGACTCTTCACATCTATAACAGAGTCTGTCTTTTATCTTTCTCACTACAGTTTTAGTGACTCCACTGCGGTCTCACCTGCAGGCTGACGGTGTTGTTTGGCAGCTGGATCGCTGTAGCATTGTTTGGTAGTGACACTGGCAGGAGGATCTGAGTTCCAGCCTGGCCTGTGGTGGTCAGCAGAGTCTGAGGCTGACCGAGGACTTGGGAGACCCCTCCAGAGTGGCTGATGAAGAACTGCTGCAGGCTGGGGGCTGCAGGTTTGGACTGGGGTTTGGGACTTCTCTGCGATTGGGGAAGTACATGTGGGCTGGTGGTGACTTGGGGCTGAGCCGAGGGCTGGATCTGGGCGATGAGCTGGGTTTGGGGCTGGAGCTGGATTGGCTTGCCAGAGGAAACAGTCACATCCTCCAGCTTGACCACTGTCGGCAGGGGGGAGAGAGCCTGGGAGCCAAGGATGGAGTTGGGGATTGTAGCTGCGGTGGAGGAGCAGTTCGACAGGACTGTACCTTCCATTTTGACCACATTTGAGCTCAGGACTGTAGGAACAGGGTTCATGGTGGGTACAGAGGCCAGTTGAGGAGACACAGAGGCAGAGTCTGTGGTGCCAGCCCTCTTCTCCACTTTCAGCTGCATCTTCAGCTCTTCAACAAGCCTCTGCTCATGCTCCAGCTTCCTCATCAGCTCCTCTATCTGCCGCTCCTTCTCATGGAGCCTGCGGTCCTTCTCCTCAGGGACTCGGGATGATGGGAGAGGTGAGGTGCTGAGATCTGCCCAGCCCGCGCTCACCGGTGTCTCAGCGGGGGCCTCAGACATGCCAACATCCTGCTGCAGGGTGGAGGGATCAAAGGGGATGGGTGAGACTGGGGGTGAGGTTTTAATGTTCTCTGAAGCCATCTGGTGGACTGGAAGAACTATGGCAGGGGTGGTGTTGGTGGTTGTGACCTCCATGGGGACAGAGGAGAGGGTGGTAGTGACAGGGGCGGTGATGGTGGTGAGAGCAGAGGAGCTGGGGTTGTCCTGGAAAGGCTTCAGTCTTTCTATCAGATCTGTTTTAGTTCCTGACACAGGGAGGCCACGCAGCTTCAGCTGCAGTTTCAGCTCAGCCACCTGAACAAACAAAAATAATCACTTCATTAAATTCAGACTTCTGCTAGAGGAGAAGTGCAGCTGAAAAATAAATTTTACTGAAAAATATTACTGCAGGAATACATTTTGGCCTTTTAAATAAAAGATATGACACTGGGTCGGGTGAAAGAGAGAGATTTGAGGATGACTAGTAACAAAAGCTAACACATGAACCCCAGTCTGCTGTGAGAATTAAAGCCTCTAATCATGAGACGAACACTTCAACCACTGGGCTAAATGAAACCCTTAAAACTGCATTCACTTGTTATTAAATTCTTTTAGTTTCATTATTCATCATAATTATTTGGACTTTTAATAGTTTTAAAAATTCTGTCTTTTTTTAAAGAGATGAGGAGTTTATAAATGCTAAAATTTTAAATGCTAGCATCAGAGGCATCAATGTTGTTTGTGCCTTGAGGTCCCAGCACACACAGGAGGAGCAGCCCCCACAAAGACCAGCACACAAAAATCACTGATTGACAAAACATCTGACTTGTTCTTTGTTAGTTTAGTCCGGTACTTGGGAGTAGAGGTACACTGATTAATCGGCTGGCTAACTGGCTTTACTCTGATTCATTTAAAGAAATCATTTTGAAAATGTTACTGGCAAAGATAACTATATATTTTTAAAATGCATGAAATAAAGGATTCATACATAACTTTCTTTTAACATTTTACTTAAACAAATATATTACCATGTACATTTATTTGATCAAATATTCACTCAAGTAGGGCTGGGCGATATGGCCTCAAATCAATATCACAATATATTGAGCAGTTCACCTCTATAACCATAAATGGACGATAACTACTTCACAAGCTGCTCACCCCCTCCCACATTAACTTTGTCTACTTCAGCCACCACTCCAGATGCTACAACTTTTGAACCGTCCTCTATCTCCTCACCTGTCTTTACTTCTTTGTTACAAACTAGCTGGGGTGGAGTCACGTCTCCGACATAGGACAGCGTCTTAAAGGGACATAAGACCATAGCCTACCTAGACACATCCAAATCCAACTTTTATTTATTTTTTTGACACCGAATATATTGACATAGGAAAAATGACGTTGGTTATTGTCTTGAATTTCGTTTTATCGCCCAGACCTACACTCAAGTTCAGTTTGTTCATTAATTAATTTTGTTTTTCATTTGTTGTATTTTGTCAAATGGAAAAAAAAAGAGCAAAAATGTGAAAACGGTCCTATGTCTCATTGAATTTGAGTCCTAAATTCATGTTCACGTTCAAGACGACAAAATCTTTCCTGGCTTGCAAATCTTCCAGGATTGTTGGATTCTGATTGTGGTCTAAGATTTTGTGTTCGTGTGAGCCGTGACACTGTTCAGGTGGAAGTGATTATAACCTCCTGTGTGTGGTGTGTGTCATCAGTGTGTGCACCCACCAGCAAAAACATGAACTGGTGCCTAAAAGCTGATAAAACTTTTCTGACATCAAGACAAAACCACTCTCCAGTATGAGGATGACCTGCCAGACTGCCATGAAAAAGTTCTCCTTTTGAAGTATTTGGATTTATTTCAGTTTGCACAGCTGATTTAAATCCCCCTTTAGATTAAACATAAATAATCCTTGATTTCTAAGATGCCTCGGTACGCTGTTCCAAGCTGAGTGTTTGCCACTTCTCTTAGGTTTCCAAACTACCTTCATCTCCTCCAGGTTGGCGGGCAGGACTCCTGGCTTGCGGTTGGACAGCGAGTTGTTTGGGCGAGTGGGAGCCACGAGTGGAGCCGGTTGAGCGGTGGGCAGAGACACCATGATGGAAGTAGGTAGGGTGCTGGTGCTGCTGCTCTGCCCCTCTGCCACAGGTCTGCAGAGAGGACGGAACAATACGGTGAGGTCACCATTGTCAGGAAATCATTTACACGACAGATAAATAAGAAACAGAAAGAGAGGAAGAAGAGGTGGGAGAGCGACAGAGGGCAGACAAAGAAGATATTGTGGTGAAGAGAGAGAGAGAGAGAAAGAGACAAAGACGGGAAAGAAAGAGGAAATATGTTTTGAATGTGAACAGAGCATCCATCCTGTGCCTGAATAACAAACCCAGTCAGCTCAGCGGGAGAGCATGAGCAGAGTTCAGAGGACGTTTCTGAAAACAACAGCTGCTGCACCGACATCCTGTTACTTATTCACATGATTGAACACATGGTTGTTATTGGAAACAATCGAGTGCTTGAAAACAGCATTTGGCTTGTGTTCAGTTATTTTCACATGAACACTTATGAAGGAGGGGTTGTTTCCACACGTACTTGAGCGGTGCAGGTAGTATAGTCTGGTAGTTGTAGTGCTGCTGCTGCTGGCTGAGGATCTGCAGCTGGAGGAACAGCTGCTGCTGCTGCAGTAGTCGGGCGTAGGAAGAATCCATGGGTGCCTCACTGGCCTCTTGCTTCTGGTCGGGAGGAACATACTGGTGGTACTTGAGCTTCTTCACCCTGGGTTTGGGCTCCTTGTTCTTCTTACTGCGGCTCTTCTCAGAGGGCGTCTTCTGCTGGCTTTGCTGTTAGAGGAGAAAAGAGAGGAGATATCCAGCTCTGTCCAGCAGATGTGACTAAGAAGCGTGATACACTGTGAGAGGGAGGGAGAAATGATCCTACTTTCACCAGCGTTGGGCCTGGTTTTGAGGGAGCAACTGTGGTGACGGGATGTGCAAGTGTGACAGCTGGGCGGCTTGTAGGCAGCTCGTTGGTGGAGATCACTTTCATAAAGTCAGTTGGTGCTTGTGTAGCAACTGGGAATGCCTGAAGAGAAATACAGAAATGATAGTTATGCCTGTAATGCACACACTGTACTTTCGCAACGTCAAAGTGGTGCCAGTTTTGAGTCTGACCTGCAGCATGGTGTTTGGTAGTGGTGGAGGGGGTGGTGCCAGGACTGGAGAAGGCGTCTCTGGCACTTTGCTTTCAGCGGGTGAGGGGACAGAGCTCTGGGACTCCTGGCTGGCTGGCTGCTCTGGGGACAAGGCTTCACTGCTGTCCTCATCCAGCACTTTGGGATAATTCACCTGGCCCACTGAGAGAAAAAAATCAATGCTTTAGCACTCTTCTTCTGCCATTACCAGATTTTTTAATCACAGCCTCTCTCTCCAGCTTAGTTTAACCAATCAGACATTTTCCATGAGGACAGGAATGATCCAAAGACATTTGTCAAAGTGCCATGGCTCTTTCTCACCAATGATAGCCTGTTTCACGCTGGAGTCCACAGGCAGGATATTTTTCTCCACCAGCTCCATGGGGCCGGGCCTTTGAGCGATCTTCTCGTTCAGGTTGTCAGCCAGCCGGGCTCGCTTGAGTTTCATCTGGGTGGCCTGAAGTGAAGGCTCTGCTCCAGTCTCTGAGGGACAAACATTCACACTGATTTTAATGCTGTGTAATGCTGGCCTCTATTTTTTGGGGTTTTTTTCCGAACATGGGCGTGGAACACAAGAAAGTAAACTGGAAACAAACAAACAAAACCAATGAGAATATTCAAAACTACTATAACTATAATCAAAGCAAAAAAAAATACTTATAATAATACTATGAATCCAACATGACCAAAAAGAAGTAGGATGAAGCATTATGCTTATTTAAACCTTCCCCTTCTCCGCTACTCAATTAACAGTCAATCTCTCCAACATATTAACATTATATTTACATAAACTAGAAAATAAATGGAGTAAATAAACAAGAACATAAATCATTTATGAAAACGCCTGGTGGTCAAAGCTCTTCCTCTAGATTTGAGATCTCAGTTTATGGCAGTGTGTCTGAATGATAAAGGCTCTAAATCTTAGAACTGCTATCTCACTCAAAGTGCTACACAGAGACACCAGATGACACATAAAATACACAGTGTGAGATCCAGAGACGGTTGTAACCTTGTAGGATGTGCATCCTGACCAGCTCTGCTCTCTCTGGGCGACTGCGGATCTTGTGCTTGAGGAAATTCTCCGTCTAGAGGCAAAGACGGACATTAAACAGTCAGTACATCATGCTTCTTTTACTCAAGCCCAACATTTGACACTTCTGTTTGAAACTCCTTGCATTACCCTGGCTCTCTCCAAGCTGCGAATCTGCCCGTGGAAAGCAGCTGGGCTCTTCAGAGCTGCGACAGAGAACATTTTTATTTACGGACAAATAACCTAAATTAGAATCGTGTTTGATAGCTTAGTTATCAGATTTGCTTTATGTTGACATCATTCTACACATGCTGCTGCATTGTAATTCCAGACACCTGGCTGTGCAGATACTCACGTGGCATGATGCCCTGGTCCACCAGCTGCTCCCGAGTTCTTCTTTGTTGAAGCCTCAACTGCAGGACTGAAAATAAAAGGGGAAAAATGTTAAAACAGAGAGATCGTTTGTTTGTATTAGGCTGAGGAAGTGCGTCTGAGTACAACAAATAAAAGGGAAAAAGGAACAAAATGAGATTAAACTGAACACACAAGCAAACACAAACCTCTCACTATTGTCTGATTGTTATCATATCCTGCACTATAGGTTGACAAAACATGTCACGCTTCAAGAGGAATTCAACACTCTAGTTATCCTACCACTCGTCCACATTTTTATCAGACTTGGTTTCGCACTGAGGTGAACAAAATGTAGTCAAACTCAAAATGCTGCTCCTGAGAGAATGCATGGAGGCCTTACACCTGAGAGCTACCTGATAACAGTTTATTCTTTTTCTAATAGGAATAATCTTTCTCCTTGATTTCCTTCAAATCGCTTGTAAGGATTTCACATTCCTCAGGCTGCTCGAACACATAGTTAACATGAGTTGATTTTAAAAAGGCTTTTCAGGGGAAAAAAAAGGACAAAATAAAACCTGAGCAGGTCCAAGTGTTCATGCTGTCACCTTTAAAAAATGTAGGTATTTCATTCATCACACAGGTGGGTAAACAATAATGAATACATGCTTTTAAGTAAAGGTTAGGTGTGCACCGATGGGAATATTTAGGAAAATCTAGTATTGAGATTCTAGATTGAAACACTCCCCCTGCTCACGCCTCCTGTTGGTGAAGCGACGGTGGCCTTCAAGGACAAGAAGATAAGTCAAGTTTTGTCAAGTATTTTATCATCAAAAACTTCTACCACTGTACAATCGCTCTCTTTATCTACGTCTTCCATTCAGTACAATTTGTGCAGCCGCTTGATAAACATAAAAAAGCAGATGTTAAATTAATTTCAACATGTGATTATTACATTGAGTTTCTACAAGTGTGTTCACTGTACCTTTAAGACAGGCTTTCATCTGTCAGAGTGTACAGCCATGCCCTCCCAGTAAACAGGAGCTGGCTTTAAATTGAAGTTTTTTAAATTTGCTTCAGATTTAATTCATCTAAATACTCTGTTTTAATGCTTTTTTTAAAAATGTCCTCTTTTGTGATGTTTGAAGTCTTGCGTGAAGCACTTTTAATCCCTTGTGGCTGAAATGTGTGACACAAATAAACATGTTTTGCCCTGTCTTCAGCTACATGTAGCTAACTGTCAGTAAACAGGTAATATTTTCAGGTCAGATGGATACCTTTAAATTTAGAGTGCCCTCCTGTTTCTGATTCTGCATTCTGAGATTTTTTCACACTTTTCTGCATCATTCTGTAACCTCAAACATTGAACCTTTCGATGTCTCAAGGTTCATAAAATTCAGAAGTCAGACCTATCTCAAGATTTTTATTGCCATAGCTTTCATCAAACTTTAACAGGCTGTAAAGAGCTACCTGCCTACTTTAACAATAACAACTGAGAAGAGGAATGCTCACCTGCTCTGACCTCAGCACAGCACTCGCTCAGTGTCTTCACCTCCACACAGGCCATTGTGTGAGGCTGACAGAGCAGTCCAAACTACAGCTGACCGATTAAGCCATTTAATCCCGAGGTGTAAACATTTGTATTAGACCCAAAATATCGGTCATATCCTTCCAGTTCAACAGAATCAAAGTTCAGTTATTTCTAAGAATCCCCAGAGTGGAAATCTTTCTGTGAAACATGAAGTTAAACTTGCTCTGTCCTTTATTACTCCACCTCTCCTTCACTCTTATATTTTAGTTACGGAGCCAAAACAACCTCCTCCTCCTCCTTCTTTCTGCTCTCACTTCTCTCTCTCTCTTACTCAGCCAGTTCGGGATGGATTACTTTCTGCCTGGAGGCGATCTTCACGCAGCCAGATGTGTGGAGGACTTTGCTGTTTCCATCAGGCTGCTGATTCTGAGTCAGCACTGACTTAAGACCAAGGACAAAACATCTGAAATCTTTGAGCTGAGAAGACGAGCTTCTGGCAACAACACAAGTGTAACATTAACCAGGAAGAAGGGGAGATTTGCATGAATTAAACACAGACCGTGAGCAAAAACACTTCTCTATTCACAGGAAAGGATGGGTCAGAGTGTACAGAGAAATAAGAGCTCAGGAAACAGCTGGCCTCACCAACTTCACTTTCTGTCTTTAGTATCAATCCACTCTTGTCTTGACATGCAAAGCTTCGGCTGATTACATCACCATGTCGTAAAAGTCGATTCATTTTCTGTGGGCTATAGGTGACAACCAACCAGAGCTGTAAATTATACACAACAGTCCCATATGGAAAATCACTCCAGGCTCTTCCTTCAACACTTGAAAGCATCTATAAATCCCTGTAGAAACAATATGTGCCCATGTGAGCTGACAAAGGAGGACATTTAGAAAGGGTTCGTTTGTTTAAGGTGATATTTGAAGACTTCCAGTCAGTGGCGTTTTCACGAATTCCTCCGGGAAATGCTGTGTGGCCTGATAAACACATGTGGACACATGCTGACCTGTGACCTGAGCAGACTGAGCAAAGAGGTGGATGACATGACTGAGCTGTTCATAAACACATTCGCAGACTGACATGCACTTTAACACAGTCAGCAAGATGATGAAGGAAATGTGTCTTTTCTAGGAAAAAAACTGAGTTTCTATCAACAGTTTGATATAAAACCTAAAACAGCTAAATCCTGGCCCACGATTTAAGATTTTTAAATTCTAAACCACTTTGAAAAAGTTGAGGACTCACTTTAGTTAATTACTCTGACATTAAAAGAAGCCAGTTATCACTCAGAGGCCTTATTTTGTGCTAAAATCTGGCTATACAGACACAGCAGCCAACAGTCAATTACATAAAGGATTCCCCATTTCCCCCATCATTTGTTTACTTTAAAGAAAAGATGAAATCGCTCAACTAGTTAGATATGTGATTGGTATTGTACAAAGACACAGGAATTTCTTCAAGTCTAAATAGCGCAAATATTTTGAAATTTGAAAATGTTGATTTGGGGACCTAAGCGGAAAACCAAGTCTATGATACCGCTGTCTGTGAAGAGATGTGGAAAGCTATGGCTAATCATTCTTTGTTAGCTGTACGATTAGCTGCAACAAGTGCTCAGTGAAAATAAAATACTGCGTAAATAAGAAAAAATAAGGGAAAGACAAATGCTAAATCAGCTAATTAAAAAAAAAATGTATAAATCGTAGTTTATTAGGGGTGGGAGAAAAAACTGATTCACATAAGTATTGCGATTTTTTGTTTTACTATTTTAAAATTAGTTTTTATGCTCAAAAATAGTTTTTTTTTTTTATAATTTAAGAAAAAATCTTAAAAACTGACTTACATGTGATGTGTGTGTTTTGGGGAAATATGGAATAGTCAGTAGACAATCACAATCATTCAACTGTTTCACTGGCGTTAAAAATGCAGACTGAGTATCGAGAAAATCGACAATATTGTAGAATCGCAATTTAAATTGAATTGGCATCCAAAAAATCATAGAAGAATCGAATCGGGACAGAAGCATATCGTCCCAGCCCTACAATATATGATATCACAACACTCGCTGTGTTGCGTGATAATATCATATTGCAGGGCCACTACTGATTCCCACCCCTAGTCTTTTGCTCGACAGTTTTGACCTTGGTCCTTTAAGATCATATTTTCTGATATCCATAATTCATGTAGGCTACCTCTACAGCTCGGACAAACCAGGAATAAATAAGACAGAATCACACCTCTGTTACTAATTTCAGACTTTACGTCTTACTGGCCAGAGTCTCGATCCCTGTCACAAAAAACTCACTGCCCTAGATCCTGACTTACACCCTCCAGACTACAGCCTCCCGGCTCACATAACAAAAGTAGTCTTAAACCTGTCATGAAAGCAGACGGATCAACACCTGTGTGTTAAAATCAATATTAGGGAGGAAGATTCTGCGGCTGGCAAAGTGCTGGGGGAAGGCTTTGGAGGGTGGAAAGTATGAGGTGTGTGTTCTCACTGAAGGGGAAATGACAAAAGCCGACATGATGAGCGGGTGTTACTACTGTTGACATTCCATGAAATGTTCCACAGCCGAGAGATTTTACTGCAGCACTCTCGCCTGTAGACAGAGGCAGCAGCCGCAGAGCATGACGGCACTAAATCCCACAGTTATCCAAAACATATCTAATCCAGTCTGGCTGAACACCCTGTGTTTGTTGACTGTATCTGACAAATTAGATTTCTCAAAGCATGGTGATCAATATTGCAGTGATTGCACTGGACTGATCTCGCCTCACCATCTAAGCCATGATTAGGAACTGGCAGAGGCAGCCGTAAATCTAACCCACTCCTAAAGCCTGATAATCGTGTAGCCATCCATCAGTGTCTGAGTCAGTCACATGTGGCAGCCAAATCAACAACGACACTGTGAGGGTAAGAGAGGCTAACATGCAGGCTGGCTGGAAGAGCGAAAATTATATACAATTTGACTGCACAGCGCAGGAACTGATTGAAGTGTTAGGGCGAAAGGACTCGCTTTAAAACCTCTCAGCCGATTCAGGATGTACGTGCCTGAGTGTGTGAGCTTTCCGAGGTTATAAAACTTAACAGGGACGCAATGTGTATCATCAGTATTACACTTCCTTTTCTGCAATCTTTGGTCTATCTTTTACTCCATTTTCTCATGAGTATAAAGTGAGATGCCGATTGTACCGATACACAAGAATCAGTCCACTTCTTAGATGACAAAGAACATCAATAAAAGCTGGTCTTATACCCAGAATTGTAAGCATAGACTGTATATAGAATGGATGTCGTCTGCCTCCTTGCTGGGTAAAGCCACCGTAAGAACAGCACCCTCTGGTGACGGGCTGCAGTATAGGTCATAAATCCCACCTTCTCCAGCAATCCCTATGGAGCTGAGGACAAACTTTAGAAATTAATTACACAGAATATAAATTTTTCTCCCCCCTGGTTGCGATGTTGACATGTAGTTACTGTAAGACTGGTTTGTGATCAAGTCCTCTTTTTTCTATGCAGCTTTTCTGTTCAACTTTTCTTAAAAGTTATTAGGGGGTTCATGTTTTCCATGATTGACACTTGATACAGCCTATGGGCATACAAAGATTGCATAGCTTACGCTGTTTGAGCCGAGCGTCATCAAAGCGACTCTGACTACTGCGCAATGTTGCTTTCAGGAAGTGGAGAAAATCTCAGAAATACCAGGAGCAATTCGGCTTCAAATTTGTGCAATAGCGGAAGGCGGAGCCAAGTTGTCTATAGTATATACAGTCTATGATTGTAAAGCAGGCTAATTCATGCTAACAGTGTGCTAGTATTAGGTTATGAGTTTCTTTTTTTACACAAGTGTACAGGTGCAATAATCCAAAGGTGCAGCACTGAAAGTATACACTAAACAATTAAGATGAATCACTCGACTCTAATCAGACATCAACTCAACCTCTAGTAAACTCACTAGGATGACAATGCCAGCTTTAGACAAACATTCTGCAACAACTCCAGGTCAGGGACTCTGACTCATTTTGACTGTTCTGACTCACTTGTACTTGGGATGTGTCAGTCAATTAACAGTAACGGGAGCCGAAGTGTAACATGATATCATGAGAGGAGAGATCAGGGATGTAGCAGTACTTCACCAGACAGTTGCAGATCAGTAAACATATGAGATAGCTCAAATCTGTGTGATGAAATGTCATTTGGGAGGTCTTCGGCCCTGTTGCAGAAAAACAAACATCTCCTCATTTTGGCGACCCTCTGTCTCTGCATATCTTTACATATTTACACAGCCGCATGTCCTCACCGTTTTTGCGTTCATTGAGTGGAGGCAGAGTGGGCTGCAGCGACAGCTCCTCCATTTCATGGGTCACCGCCTCGCTCTGGGGACTGGGCAGCAGCAGATTCAACATCCCACAATCCCCCTCTGCTCCGAGCTGCCCCTGGGAGGCCTGGGGCTCCATGCTGCCTCTGGAGGGGACTGGGATGTTATGGATCGCAGTCCCTTGGGGAACGTCTTGCTGCTACCTGCATTAAAACAAAGAGATGAGAAGAGTCAGAGGAAAAAACTAGTGACTGATGTAATCCTCTCACTCATGACCAGCAGCAGCAGTTCTGAATAATACCCATCATCCTGGTTTCTGGTGGAATGACTTCTTTACCCAACTGGTGAAATGCTGAGGGTGGCATTTCATTTGAGCCATCTGGAAGAACTCAGGCGCAGCCCAAATTATTCATTAAAGGAGCCGCTCTGGCCATTATACTGAATAATCACTTCAAACCGCTGCTCATGAGAAACAACGTCAGTCTGGATGAATGTTCTCTCTGTTCAGACAGGCTTCACGATCAGGAATATGACGTCGCTGTGGCGGTTTCGAACGGAGGGATCGGAAACATTTCGGGGAGCAACACAAACAGTTCAGTATCCATGGCTTCCTTAGAGTCTCTGACCCAGTAGATGACAGACTGCTGGGTCTCTACATGTGTGCTATTTATCGCTGCCTTGCATCACCACACTTCTATCCATTCCAGGATCTGAGCTCTCTTTACAAACCGTCCTGATGTGTTGCTTTTGGCTGGGAGCTTCTGTGCTATAAGACGATGGCTGCTTTTATTTCTCCCTAATGGGCCTCTTAAGTGCCAGAGGCATGAGAGTCTGTGGGACCCGAACTGGACTCAAATCCATGTGGTTTCAACACGTCTCAGCGATGTGCATTCTGGTGGCTGCGTGCTGAAGTCACGAAGAGTACAAACAAAACAGACCCTAAAGAACAAGTTTCATCATTTCCTGGTCTGCTTTTAAAAGGTCAGATCTTTCTGCAGCGAGCTGAGCAAAAGTTTCCAACACTTGGACTGAGATTTTCTCAGACGAGTTCAAGGATTCAACAGAATTTTGTTTCTGAGTGAATTTATTTATTTATTTATCATTTTATTTTACAGGGAAACTATGTGATCCTGGTGTTACTTCCTATTGAACTACAACCAAGGCAGCATATAAGTCTTGGTTAGGCCCTTGGACTTCAACTTCCACAATGGCTATTATTTTAGCATAATAGAAACTCTTTATACCAGGAAGTGCTTGGGAACTCATTTTTTTTCTTTCTCTGGTTAATAGTAACAGTGTCAAGAACAAAAGCATCTGAATTCTGTCTTGGTCCTGTGGTCATGTGAAGTGATGTGTTTTCTGGACAGGAAGTGTAGTTTTGTTTTAGCCCTACTGTGTGCCCATTGTCTTTTACACTCTGCTCTCTGCTTCAGATGTAGGACAGCAAAAATGGCACCTCCATTAGCGGGCGGGGGATGAGCATGATTAAAGGCACCCACGATTTCTTAAACCACTGATGTGTGAAAGCATTTTGGTTTCTTCATGTCAAGAAATAAGAAAGCAAGTGAGAGACATACAAAGCAAGAGTATGCAGACACCGCGAGACCAGTGACCTCCACTTAGGGGAAAACAAGTAATATGAAAAGTCACTTGGCAAAACGTTGACCTAAAAACATTTGAGAAGAAGGAGGAAAAAAATGTTCCAGCCAAGGCAAAGAGCTCTACAGGAAGTGCTTATAGCCATATTTCCACATAGCAGAGTGATCACAAGATTGAATGTTTAGATTTACAGCCATAGACCTGTGGACATTTTCTGAGGGCAAGAACAGAGTCAGGGTCAGCAAGTACAAATTCACAACATGGCCACACTTAAGTCAAATGCTGTTACCAGCGAGGGCTTAAGTTACAGAAAAATGGAGAGCGTCTCACTCACTGTGGATGATTGGACTTAATGAGCTGAATGACTAAAATAAAGAGACACATTTCAAGTTAGCCACACAGGACAGCTTCATAGAGACAAACAAAACCGCAATTTAATATCTAAATCAATAGAACTCAAATCAACTAAACTTCATTTGTAAAGCACTTTAAAACAACCGCAGCTGAACAAAGTGCTGTACATAAATAGACAAAACAACGCAGACATAAAAAACAATCAAAAAAACAAAACAACGAATAAAATAAAAGCAGATATTTAAAAGTGCAACACAGTTTCAATGTTTTAAAAGCTAATTTAAAAACATAGAAACAAACAACTAAAAACAAACCATAAAACACTAAAACAGGAGCCGAGTCTCATGCAGGGTTGAAAGCCAATGAACAAAGATGGACGAGTTTTAAAAATGGACAATGTGGGGGCTTGAAAATAGAAAATGCGTGTTAAACTCAAAATGCTCTTCCTGTCAACAAATTGAAACAGATCTATATTAAATAAGCTAAAACCAAAAACCAAACTGTTTTGCACCGTTACTGCAAACTGTGACCATCGGCCTTTAGGTCAAGCTAGTGCAGAACGCTGCAGGAGCTGATTTTGTCAACAAAGCTGCTTCTTTTAGCATCAAATAATACATGAAAAACTATCTTTAAAAAAACAGGAACTATTGGATAGACATCAGAGTAAATATATATATATACTTATATATAAGTAATTATAAAATTTTTCACTAGTAGTTGTATTGTCTATTATAACAGAGGAGGTAAATTTTTTTTCATCAGTAAGACAGCCATTCATCCAGGGTCTCTAAATATTTTGGCTTCATTTTAGTCGCACTGTCACACTGTCCATTCTTTTATACGGTCTGTGAGTTTGATAACCGTTAAAAGATCTTGGAACTGTTTGCATGAACAGAAACTTCTCTAGATAGGGGACATTTCTTTCCTCCATGATTTTTAACTTTTAGATTGAGAGTGAAAGACTTCCTGCTGTGTACATCTGTATAGTCAGTGTGGTTAACCCTCCTTGTTATTTTTGCTACATTCAGCTTAACCAATCAAAATGGTCATAACACTGAGTCAATCGTGTGTTGCATCTGGAGACCACCACATTTTTACCACACTATCTAACAGTTGGCTCCTGACCTGCGGCGATGTTTCGGCCTCTTAATGATGATTTAGTGGGTCTAAAACACCAAGTTCCAGCTACTGACGCAGTCTGGCTCTTGTTATTCAACAGTTTCACCTCAAATGATTTTGATTTTCTGTCACTGAAGTGCAGTTACAGATCTCTAGCAGCAGCATACAAAGTTTTAGGATAGCTGATAGAAAAGAGACTTCACATGTGTTCACTGACTTTTATTTCTTGGCCTTTATATTGACATGAGAGTTATGTGATCTCTGTCCTTCTATCACTTCTGTTTCCTTTATGCTTTTTTTTTCATATTTCATTTCAAATGTTTTTTACCTGCTTTTTTAAATTTCCTCTTGATGTTTTTTACGTCAGCAGTGTTTATTCTTTTGATTTTACTGTGCAGAACTTCCGTAAACTTTAATGTCTTTAAATGTGCTATATAAATAAAGTGGACTGGATGTACTCATCTCTCCACAGAGGAGAACAGAGTTGTTTAGACAATGAAATTTAATGTCAGATAAAAAATCAGTTGCACTTTAACAGTCTATTTGATTGGTGTTTAACAGAAATTCAATAATAGAAAACTGTGGAAGGATTTACAGCTGCAGCATGGTAACAAAACGCTGTACTGTGGCTCTGAACCTGCGAAAGCCAGGTGTTGCTGTTGCTGTGTGTCATTTTGCATAACTTGTGAATCAACTTGCATACACACCCAAATATGCACACGCTGCTTGTGATGCCAGTTCAGCAGCTGAGCCGCCCTGCCCAACCATAATGCATCTCTGCATTTAACATTGTGGATAAGATGTCAAGAATGTGTGGCAGACCTGTTTTGAACACTCTTTTGAAAGACTTCAATAAGAAGATGACTAACATTTAAATCACAGGCTGCTAAGTTATATAAAGATATACCTATTCTATATTTTAGAGTGCATTACACTCTATTGGATGATGTTTAATGTGCATGTGGAAAGGCCTACAAATGGGAAGGATATGTCCACAACTATACAGCTGCAATCCAAAGTAGGCCTGCACGATATATCGTTTGAATATCGTCATCGCGATGTACGTGTGTGCGATAGTCACATCGCAGAGCCTGCGATGTCGGAGGTGAATGAACTCAGTTAATTTCAAGAGTAACTGACTGAGATACACTGCATGTGACTCTGCATGTGCTGTGTAGCGATCCACCAATCACCTTTGTCCTTTACTCAGTTGCCAATCAGACTCAGTTCTCAGTTGCCAATCAGACTATCCTGCCAGCTGTCAATCAAAATCAGAGAGGAGGAAACCCACCCCTGCACATGTTCTGCACGTGGATTGAGACGCGTGTCCGCTGAGAATTACTTTCGGAACTTTCTTCATCACTGTTTAGCCCAACAAATAAGAACTGGTTTTAAATTGTACATTTCCGTGGATCACTCTACTATAAGCAGTGCGCGTTTTGTGAGGTGCATGCAATTCTCGGAGGACATGCGTTTCTCAGCACAACCCCGTTAACGACAACAACAACGATCGCAAACTAAGCAACAAGCAGAGAAAACCACAGAAGATTAAGACTTGTTGCCAAAAAGAAAAGGAAAGTCAGTTATCTGGAATTATTTCGGTTACAAGATGGATAATGCCGACCAAAACACGTGTTCTGTGTTCATCTGTCGCCACAATAACGTCCCAGAAGCTAAAAATATCCCCGAGACAGACAGAAGCCGTTCTACTAACATTCACAAAAAGAGGTAAGATCAGTGCAGGTTAACTGTCCTCAAGATTTCAGCAGTGCAGCATAACATTAAGTGCTATTCAGGTCATCTGGTGAAAATTCCTCTATATTTTAATATCGCAATATATATCGCAGGGTTGAGAAAAATCGCAATATTAATTTTTGTCCACAACTATACAGCTGCAATCTAAAGGTTTGGTCACAACTTTATAGAAACTATTGACTAGGGCTAGGTGATATGGCCTCAAATCAATATCAGGATATGTTGAGCAGTTCACCTTGATAACGATAAATAACTACTCCACAAGCTACTCACCCCCTCCACATTAACTTTGTCTACTTCAGTCGCTACAACTTTTGAACCGTCCTCCATCTCCTCACCTGTCTGTCCCTCTCTGTTACGGACTGAATGGGGTGGAGTCACGTCTCTGCTGTAGGACAGCGTCTTAAAGGGACATGAGACCATAGCCTACCCACACACATCCAAAACCAACTTTTATGTATTTATTTTTTTGACACCAAGTATACCGATAAGGGCAAAAAGATGTCGCTTATTGTTGTAAATTTCAGTATTGGTAAATTTTCGGTTTATCGCCCAGCCCTACTATTGACTAACCAATAATAATTCTTGAAGCCAGTGCCTACCTGTAGTGGCAAAGGACAGCAAAGGAAAAGGTGAGGTGTGTGGGGTGGTTGCTCTGAGAGGTCACTCTAAGCCATGGAGTCAGACCTGTAAAGAGTCAGAGAGTGCAAACATAAATATAATACATGCAATAGTCTATCAAAAGTTTAAAGGATTGGATTTATGAATTTAATAATTATTTTGACATGGTTTCAAAGAAAAATCTCCACAGAATAAATACTTTATATATATTAATGAAAAACAACGACAAATTAAAATCCTGGTATATTAACAAAGCTCAACCAAACACTCATGTTTCTTCAACAGATTTGTGTAAATTCAATTGTATAGCGGAAAACAGATGATGAGTACCACTTAAACGTCCCTGAATGAAACCAGCAGACCCTCAGGGATGCATCAAGGCCTGAAATGAATGCCCATGAGTTGCTAGGAAAACCTGCAGCGGTCTCTATGACAATGGAAGTGCAGAGACAATAGAAAGTCTGAAGAGCCTTAATGAAGCATCACACTGCAGCCTAAGTGGGAGACACTGAATAAAAACCATTAAAACAGCTCACAGAGGAGCGTCTGGCTCTCTCTCAGATGTGTGCCGGGTACACAAACTATACAACTCAATCAGGGTTTGATGGTGAATTAGTTCGCTCAACATCTAGGGAAATTATAATCTGATAGTGAGTTTTGTCTCTTAATGCAGGACCCTCACTGACAAATCCTTCAAAATAAATGTGTAAAAATCTTCTCTGGATTTTGTTCTTCTTTGTCAGCGACCTTGATTTAGCAAAAACTAATAAACCCACGCAGAAAGGCATGAACTCCGAGAGGGAAAAAAAGGAGAACAGAGGTGACAGCAAACGAAGCACAACATGCTGTGTGTGTTTATGTGTTGGGGGGGGCAAAATGAAAGGTAGAAGGATGGCTGGGTGCACAAACAAGTGGGAGAAGAAGACGGAACAAACGACTGTCACGGCTGATGAGGCGTTGTGGGATAAACATCGATGCGGCCCCAGCAGAATCAAAGAGCAGATCCAGATGGCGGGCGCTGCGTGTCGCTCTGCCCTGGACAGGTCTTTTAATGGCACGGGGCAACAAGGACCATGTGTTTCATCAAAGGATAGGCTGGCAGTGCTGTGTACGCACATGAAGTTCAAGGTGGGAGTGACAGCACTGCGGGGTTACCTGGATGTTTCATTTAATTTTTCCATTAAAACTACAGGTATGAGGAGAACAGACAGGGATTGTCAGAGGAAACTTGAATTAATTATTAATCAGTGATTGTGCAACTATGACGAGGAGAGACTTTGCTGAGTGCTTTGCTGAAAAACAGCATGTCCAGCATGCAGTATTGGGTCTTAAAGTGGTCCGGATGGAAGAGACATAGTTACTGCAGAGCTTCAGAGGGACTAAAAAGCAGAAAAGCGCTGCATGACACTCATACAGAACACTCTACAAACTGACGACGCAATCGTTTGATCCCTGTGGTGTCACAGGAAGAGCTAAAAATACAACCTCTTCAAGAGACCTCTGCATGAGACATTTACTTATGAGACTGTGATATTATCACAATCAAAAGACTCGAGTTTCAGAGCTCTTTGGTGCTTTTTCTCCACATTGAAAGCTCGTTGTTATGTCGGCAACCAAAGCTTTCAATCAAGATCTGGTTTCACGTACGACCGGTGAAGAAACAGCATGTTACAAAATCAGAGTGTAACTATGATATCATTTGAGACAACATGTTGTCTGTACAATGACACTCACTGTGGGTGTGTCTGTCCCCTGAGGCTGTTCTTTCTCTCATCGCCTTGCAGAGACAAACGTGTGCAGCGCAGGTGAGAGGGATTTATGACGTTCTGCATAAAACATCCTCCTGATTGAGTTCGACTGGCAGAATGAAAAACAAACAACCTCCAATGTCATGGAGTTTTAAAGTCCCACCAGCGCTTTCATAATCATGTTTTTTTTACCGCATGGGGCCGAATATCTTGAATCCATTTAAAGGCTTGTGAATCAAAACAAGCACAGAGTCATGTATCCATAACAGTAACAAACACAGAGAAGCAACCACTTCTCAGTCTCTGCATACTGGCGAGTAGAGGTCGCAGGTCAACTTTACTACAAATAGGTCCGGCTGGGAAGTCTTCCAGTAATGAGGAACTCTTGAGTACTTACAAACACGCACAAATGTGCGCACATACACACACTCGCTTAACTGACAGCATTAGATAACTGAGGACTGCCACCTTGTCCTAAGAGCTAATAAACCATGAGCAGCCGAGGAGGTCTGGCAAATGTTATGAGACATAAACATGCCACTGACATTGGGGTGTAATGGAGGAGTATGTTGTGATGGATCAGCAGCAAAGCAGTACTGAAAAAAAAAGGCCAGCTAGAAGCAAACAGGCTTTGTTTCCCTTACTGCAACAGCTGGAAGGCCACAAATGAACAAAAGAGGAGATCTCAGGATTGATATTATATCGTAACCACTACCCTGTAATGATACCAGAGGTGCTACAAATGTGCCATCCGTTTTTGAACACAAGAGCACCAAAGCACACAGCCTGTAGACCACACCGAGCCAAGCTAAAGTTTGAGTCTGCAGTTTTCTGGGCCTTAAATAGCGCCAGAGTCGTCCAACAAAAATGTCTTCTTTTATCCAGAGATAAGACAGAAATGATGTCATCGCCGTGCCTCATTCACTGGAGTCTCTCTGTTCTGCTCTGTTCCCACAGACACACACGTGTGTGCTCTCATTTCCTTCCTGGCTGCCTTTGTGGACTTGGGCCTGAAAAGAGCTTCCAATAACAGTACCGAAAAGAACTGGACAAATGAAAAAAACACACAATAAGGTCTCAGGTTCTGGAATCAGAGATCATGGGTCTGTCCCAGAGGACAATCACAGTCTCCACTCAGCTTGTCTTCAATCGCTTTGATTCGAAAGAACAAGGGAGTTGAGAAAGTGCTGCCTGCAATGAAGCATAATGTAGGCTGGTTATATAAAGAAGCTTCAGAGACATTAAAAGCTGATTTAACGATCCAGCAGGATGACACTCTGTCAGTCCTAATACCTCCTTTTCTTTGGTAGAACCGAATTTGCCAGTGTGATACTGACTGATTACTAATTTAGCCTACATGTGGAAAAAATCAAGAGCGATTAAATGCAAACACAGACGCTCACACTGTCGTATTCACTTACAATTCAACTGATTCACCCCGCAGAGAGGCATGGAAACCCTGAAGAGATGTTAACAGACAGTCTGCCTGCAAGCCAAGACTGCACTGGGAGGTTCAAATAAGCATTACATTGGTATATACGTCTGTAAGGCTGGGGGATAATTACTTTCCCATCTAACCTTTCGCATTAGCGCATTGTTTGATCCCCTGAATTTTCACACTCGTGTGACAGACTTTGGCTGGATGGGGCCGACCACATCCTGCCAGCCTGTATGACTCACACAGACCCAAAAACCTGTTTAGATCTGCTGCAGCACTGCCTCACTTTGCTCGCCTCAATCGATCAGACGGCAGAAAGATAACATCATGGAGTCAGTGCAAGGCTAGGGGGGGCCACATTACACAGCGGATTACGCAGCGTGCGTGGTCAGTATGACTTGAGTAACAGGGCTGCCAACTCAGAGATCCTGCCCAACATTCAGGGAGCATCCTGACCCCAGAGGAAAAAAAAACACAGGAATAAACACAAAGAGCATAGGGTTTTCCTGGGGAAGTACTCCTCGCTGACATGGCTGTCGGCTCCACCACAGCTACTTTTCTCGCAGTGGTGGAGGCGGGTGGGTGGGTGTGGGATCAGCTAATGTTAGCTGGTTACTTTAAATCTGACAGGTGAGTGAGCTGCAGTCAGTGCCAACAACCATTGAGGACGGAGACGCGCTTCGGTGGCCATTCGTTTGTTACAATACAACCAAACATGTCTCCTCATACCTTTGATTTTTGTCCATTTATTTGTATTGTCAAGAAGCCGCGTCTGCTGTCTCTGTCTGCATATCACGGACGCACCTCAACAACAACCTCCCCACAGTTTCGCTAGTTAGCTCGGTTTAGCTAACACAGGCTAACATGCTAAAAACAAGACAGCGTTACCGCGGCTTCGTGGACTTACCGCACTGCAGTGACTTGTTACCGGAATCCGTCCGCGCTCTGGTTCACAATGAAATATCCATCAATGTCAGCGGAGATGTCCTCTGTGTTGTATTTTCTTCCTAGCTGTGGGATTGAAGTTTATTTCGCGGAGTAAAATGGCTGCGACTGGTCTAGCATCGGATGCAGGGTGACGTAATGACGCTGTCGGACAGTAACAGTTGAGGGGGCGTGGCGCGTGGCTGCAATCACTGCCCTCTTCACCGGGCGGGCAGCACATCGCGTATGACCCACGCATGAGTCAGTGACCGGTGTTTCTACAACACATGAGACACAAAAGCAACTCCCTGTCGGATATAAGATTTGCTGGTCCAGGAATCCTCGCCGAGTTCCTGTTTTCACAAACGTCTCGCCACGGTTACATAACAAACATGTTAATATCCACGGCCGGTCCAGTTAAAGCAGGCATCCTCATTTAACCCCTTTCTTTTGGACTCAGCTTGAACAGGACCGTTAATATCCCCGTTATTAAAACTTTTTTAAAAGGAAAAAAACAAACCATCTATCCATCTGCTTACAAAACAACAAATCACAATCCATGTGTGTGTGTGTGATGCTGTTAGAAATATGTCTTCATATGTTCTTTAGTTTAGTGGTTCTTAACCGGTCTCACTCTGGGACCCACATTTTCCCATGGTCCTTAAGTCACCACCCACCTTTATCAAATTCATTCAAAGCAAATTTAGTTTTTATTAAAAAACAACTTCAAAGACTCAAATATCTAACATAAATACACCTATTTTATTGAGTAAAGTGCATTTCACAGCACATGAACTGAGGATGACAACTACTAAAGTTGCATATACAGAAAATATCAAATTGCACAAAATGGAGACCAGCAAAATGAAAAATTACACTTACATGTATCTCTACACTCAGAGCATATCCAGAAGAACCTGAGGAGGACCATGCAACAGCACAGACAAAAATGAATAAATACCAAATTGCACAAAATAAAGACCAAAAAAAAAAAGTATTTTTACTGCATACAGGCCACATTAATAAGAACATAACGACATAACACATGCCTTTCATAAAAGACATGTCAAACATCAGATGCGCATTAACTAATTCCTTTTTCTACCGGCTGTTCGTGATCCATCTGGAACGTGTCCACGACCCACTTTTGGGTCAGGATCCACCAGTTGAGAACCACTGCTCTAGTTTATGTTTAAGAAGTAAAAGCCCTGTATGTTTGTTGCTTTCAGCGGTGGTTAAAATACATGTAGCTGCTGTTCTTTTCTTTATTATTTCAAATTTGATGCACCACCATCCTTCCACTGTACTATCTATTTCAAAGGCAGAAAATCTGTATACCTTTGAGAATATGTTGTATCCTTTTCAAAGAAAAACACAATTTTGTTTCTGAAAACTTTATTTTGACATAAGTGTCATACAAAACATTAATTAACAATTCAATTAATTAAAAAACACTCTTTGCCAAGCTATTTAAAAAAGCCATAGTGTCTATTTACATGGAAGACATAGCACCATAGAATAACTTACAGTTCATTCTATACATAGTAAACATTTAATTTTCCTTTCAGTTACTCTTACTGCATCTTTAACATCTTTTTTCCATCCACCTTTACAATACATCATTTTCCCCAAGCAAATACAAAAATATTTCATATCTAACTCAGTTGCTTTACTGCCTGTCATTTCTGCTTGCCCTTTTGAACAGGAGCTGGGACATCAGCATTATTGTGCAGGAACTCATACAGCATCTTAGCATTATTAGCATTCTCTAGTATTTCAGCAAGCTTTTCCTGGCTGAGTTTGGCTAAATCTGCCAGACTATCTGCATTCTTAATGATAGCCCTGTAATTTTTAGTATTGACTCCGGGCATCTTCAACAAGAAGTCGTAAGGTCCGGGGTTGTAGAGCTCTGCTGATTCAGCCACCATGTCTGACTCAGCTGTGACCGCCTGAGCGGCTGCAGCATCAGGTTCGAGGCGGCCCTGCTTTAGCTCCATGAAGAGGTCAGCTGTGGCGTGTGGAGAGGGACACCAGAGGATACGTAACCGGGGGAAGTGTATTGTGAGTAGGGTGAGTTTTGAGGAAATATCATTAGAAGATATCTCATGTCGGAAATCTGATCGGGCCATTAAGGAAAAAGGTTTGGCTGGGTCAAACTCAATCAGCAGGACGGGTTTCCTGTAGTAGCGGGTCATGGAGAGGCACTGGGTGTAGAGGCGACCGCTTTGTAGCGAGCCGATCAGGTCACTGACGCTCTTGCGCTCAACACATGTGTCTGGGGTCAGGATGTAATCGCCTACTTCTAGAGTGACGGGCTCGATGTCCATTCCTCGTCGGTGCAGGAGGGAGGGCAGCTCACTCCTGAACTCACGCATGTCCACAATGACTCGAGAAGGCTCTTTGGGCTGCTCCTGGCCTCCTGGTAATTGGACAGGAAGAAATCAAAAAGAGACACTTATTGAAGACAACTTAGGACATCCATGAGGTTTGACCTGAGACTGCATAAAAAGATGGAACGCATGGCAGCTTGCAGAAAAGTAAAGCCAGAAGATTTCAAGCTCTCCTTCAGGCTAACTGCAGTATGAGTATTAAATATGGGTATTATATTTCTTTTTTGAATAAAGTAATATCTAATCTAAAAAGTCCACCTTCATGTTAGCAAATGTAACATGAGTGAAACTGGAAAAACATTTTGAACCCAAGCTTCTGTTATTAGAGTTAACATGTTAATCTACAGCTCTGAAAAATCTCAGCTGGTTCATTACTTATTAATTATGTATTGGTTAGTAGAAAGGGCAGGGCAACAATACATTACTTTCATCAGCTGATCCCCACTGCACAGGCACTGCCTCCAAATGTACACTATTTAAGGGAACTTTGGCTCTACTTTTGTACAATGCATGGATATGGAGACGCACTGTCCATCTTTTCATGCTGTCAATGTGAACAAAAACTGTAATTGTAATAACGATCAAAAACAAGGACAATTAACTAGCTTTCTTCAAGTGGCTGTAGTGGACATGCCTGCTTTCCGTGTGTTGGTTGTTGCATTGGCGGGCTCTAAACTTCTTGCAAGGTCCAGGTTGGTGTCTTCTCTCCCTTCTCTCTCCTCTGGGATGACCATAGTAGCTTTTTCCCTGCAGTGAAATTAAAGTAGAGGCACCGATGAGAGTGGTACAAAGGATATACATCAAATATTCTACTATGGATTACATCTGCTAAACTCTGATAACTGTAAAGAAGAGAAGATGACTACAAAGATGAGAGAATGAAAAAAATACACATCGACCTCAAAGGTAGATAAGGGATGCAAAAGGAGAAAATAAAAGACACATTTTTTACCTGATCAGGTGTTCAAAGGCTTTCTTTTCCTTAGACAGCGTTGTCAGGTATTTCTGTTCCTCTGTTGATCCTCCGTAGATAAGAAAGTACACCCTGAGAGGTTTGCCGGGCCTGCTTGCTTTGTAGATCTCCAGCTGGCGGACGAAACTGAGTTCAGCGTCGTACAGCACCACAAAGCTGGGCTCTACCTCTTTCAGCACCCTCGTCAGGCTGTGGGGGTCAGTGAGGCCCTTCAGTGGGTGGATGACAGTCAGCGGTTCCTTCACAAGACCGTAGTATGCATCGGATGACAAATCTAACTTCAGCTGTTCTTCCTCCTCTTCATCCACCTCCATTAGTTCATCCTCATCTCCGCTGCTGCCCATCACTGCTGCTTCATCTGTCTCTTTTTGCCCTACCATCTGGGTCAGAGTGAGGGACGGTCTCTGTTTACTCTTAGTTGACTTAGTGCTTTTCTTTTGTGCGGGCTCTTTTCCTTTGGCTCCTTTATTAGTCCAGCCTTTGCCCTTTTTGTTTGAGTCTAGCTCAAGAACAGCAGCAGCATTGGGGTCCCTCTTACCAATTGTGCGCGAGTAAAGTCGGTTAAGCAGCCAGTCTGAGCCGTGCCTGATGCACTGCTGCAGCTGGGCACAGGTCCTGTCATCACTGGCACAGATGAGCACACGACCTGAGGGGGACATGGCGGTCAGTTTGACTAACACAAGTACTCGCTACAGAGTGTGAACAAAACAGTAAACAAAACAAAAAAAAACAGTCTCTTTAAAACATTAATATTCAAAAACAGCCAAATCTGTACAGCAAAGGTGGCAAACTGTTGACATGATGGACTCTCATATGCTTAAACAGAACTGAGATCTAACCTGGTTCATGTTGAGAGCTCTTGTTCTCCCTCTCAATCTCCTGCAGCACCTCGGTCAGAGCCGCCCACTTTGGGCTCTTCTCCAGCACCAGCTCCCGCTTCACCTCTGAAACACACACACAGCCTTTAGTCACTTCAGCAGGAGAGCTCATACGAGTGGATGTTCCTGATATTTCCTCTGAGGAATAGGTTGTCAGAGCTCTGGAGATGGGGTTATTAGTTACCTAAGTTCGAAGATGACTTCTGCTTCTCTGCCTCTGCTCCCACCTTGAGTTTCTTCTTGCTCTCTGGGATTTGATACACTCTCCCCCTGGCATTCACAAACATGGAGGTACTGGAGTCGAGGAACAGCCATCCTGACAATTACAACAACAGATAAATGTCATCAAACGGGGACAGCAGTGATTTATCAAATGAAAGCAGGTACATTTTTAACCTTAACTAAATCAGTTAAATCCTCCCAGAAGGTAAAGCATATCTTGTTTACCTGAGTTGGATCCAAAACTCTTCTGGCTGGAGCGCAGTGACTCAAGCAGATTGAGGAAAGTGACACAGTCATACTGAGTGAGGTAGAGCAACAGGACTCTGAGTACTTTCAGGTCCTGAACCAGGGATTTGGTCTTTGCTCCCAGCTGGTGCCACAAAGGGTCCAGATAGTGGCGAATGGTCTAGAGGGAAGTAACACAAATATATATCCTGATGAACCATGCAAGTCTGTATTAGATGATCTGATTACCAAAAGGTTGTTTGTCTGTTTTTCATGGAGAAAAATGTAGTTTGCAGTGTACTAACAATGAAAGTATAAAAATTTTTATAGAACAAAGTTTGAAGTCCTAACTCCCTTTTTTCAGCTGACTTTTAAGATGCCACAGTTAACCCTGACCTCAGAGTCTTATTCACCATCATATCTATGCCAAAGTGGTCAAATATCGGTCATTACTGCAGTGACATACCTTTTCAAAGGCGTTTCCGAGGGTGTTCTCTAAAGAGAGGTCCTCAGCCTCAAGGGTGGGGTTGTAGCGCTTCAGCTCCTTTAGACAGGCACTCATGATGTCCAGGATGGAGCTTTGAATGGCCCTCATAGCCGGTGTCAAGGACACATGGAGCTCCACAACTTCTGGCTTGTGTCTGTCCAGTGCTGTGTTCACTGACGCTTGAAACCTTTAGAATGAAGCACGTGTACAGACTGATGATATAAAATGCAGTCTATGGCATTGCCCTCAGTTACACTCGGCTTTCTTTCTTAGATTTGTCTAAATGTATGACCCAAAGAGTCTTCGATGTTTCATCATACCTTGGCCAGAGGAAGAGCTTCTTGACGAAGAGGTTCCTCATCACACGCTCCACCTGGCAGAAGCCAGTGGAGAAGGATGTAGCCTTGTCAGTGAAGGCTTTAATGAAGCCTGTCTTGTTCTTCTGTCTGAAGAGGCGAAGGATGAAGGCTTCTTGACATGACTCAATGATTTTATGAGCACGATACACCAGGATGCCTGTGGGGTGGTAGAGAAAATTAGTGCATGTTTGTAAGTCACGACTGACTCCTTGTAATAAGTAAAAACTAAGTTAACTTAAACTGGCTCATAAAATTACATTAAAGATGTTTTAAATAATAGTGTGCACTTACACTATAAAAGAATGCACATGTTTTTATGATCTTAAGGTCACAAAGAATTGACATTTTTTTGCTGTCAAACAAATTAAGAATTAAAATTACTTCAAGCACTAACAGAAACACAGCCCTAGTTTCAGCCTTGTGGCTCTTGTCTGACCTGATACGAGATGAGCTGGAATACGGTCAGTGAGGAAATCAACCACCAGAATCCTGCTGGTGACAAACAGCACTCCCCCCGCAGTGTAAACATTGTAGCGCTCATTGTTCTGAATGTCACTGGTTATCGTCCTGGGCAGATGAGTGACACCTTCCACTCGCAACTGCTCAGTGAAATATTCCTGAGACGAGAGAAGATTGGACTGCTTAGGACTTTTAAACATGATAAGCTGGAAAAGAGCAAGTAAAAAATCTGTATAACAGGCATTTGGCTGTTGGAATATTGACAGTCCTTGGGTGTGATAGAAAATTTAATTTTGTAATACAAGGTTGATTTTCAAAACCCAGCTTCCTTTAAAGTTTTTAAAGTTTTTTTATATGTTTGTTTGGAGTTGAGTTTAAAACCTCCAACCCCAAAAAGCCATGCAGTGATCCATCTTCAACACTTTAGACCGACTTTTAAAGTCAGTGTTACAGCTCTGGTCAACCTTTACTTATCTTGTCACCTACATACTTGAGTAGTTATTTTAAACAACAACCCCCTCCCCAGGTGATTTTTGATTGTCAAATGTATTATTTATCGTTAACAGTTTTAGTGGAAATTAAAAAAGGGGCAATTTCTTCAGCTGCAAGGCATGAACATACTACCTTGCGCTGATTTTAGACAAAATAAGGATAAAATATAAAAATAAGGATTTAAAATTTTCAAGTCTTGTTGCTGATGGTCTGATGTGATATTCATAGGCATCAAGGTGAGTTTCATTATATTAAATATATGTAAAAAAAAAAAAAAAAAAAAAAAAAAAAGTCCTTACAGGGGCTTTAAGTATGAAGGGGAGACGCAAACACCTACCATCAGCATATACACAAAGAATAAAGGCCTATAAGACAGGAGGTGTGTCCTGTTGCTTACAGTCTATATTACCACACAGTGTATTAACACATAGAACCATGGCTGCTTTCAGCAAGAGATAATCACAAATACTTTAATCAATCTTGAGATCTGTTTATTAATCACAATTACTGCGTTTAGGGGCAACTTTCCATATTTAGTGCAATTTTGACAGCAACCTTTCTTTAAGTCAAGCTAAAATTGTGATCAGAGTTAAAATGTGATCAATTTAAAAGCCCCATTGATTACCCAGTACTGTGATTTCTACTTTATTCGTCGTCGCCTAGCAAAAGACAGGTCTTTTGTATCTTCGTCTTCGTGCTCCTCACCTGTTCTGCTGTAGTTGTGTTGAGTAGAAGAACCAGGCTTCCAGGCTCCGAATAAACCCGCATGAAGTGCAGCAGGATGCGGTCTATCCCCATCCCCTCCGCCACCACCAACAGCCCGTCAGCGCCGAACAGACTTAGAAACATCTCAGTCTCGTACTCCAGAAGCTGACCCGCCATTTTTAGACCCGCTTATACAGACCACCTGCTGCGAAACAATACTTTACCTCTCACTACCTGCAACTAATGTTAGCTAAAGACGAAAGAAATCATCTTGAGACAGGCACTGACAGACAACACAGGTCTATTCTTCAATGTTTTGAAATTGCACATCCGGTCACGTGATAGTGAAACCCAATAAGAGCACGTTTAAGACTGACATGAATGATGAAGAGGTCCACCTAGTGGCTGGAAGGTTAATTTAGGTTCCAGTCAAAACAGCCTCACTGTCATGGTTTGCCTTTGCCCGTGGGGGCTAAAACAGATAAATGTCCAAATTTCAAGCCTTGGCAACCCTCTCGCTGCCGTCTTCTGTGCCTCGATCTTAAAACACCGGTGCATCGTCATTTTTGGTCCCCAGTAGCTCACTTCCATTGTGGCTTTTTAAAATTTGCATCCTTTTATTTTCACGGTAAGAAACTTTTTTTTTTTCTTTTTGCAATGCCACTTTTTTTCATTAACTTCCTTTGTGGCATATTTTCATCTTCCCCATTTCGTTTGTTGCATCGGTAACTTCTGCTGTGACTTTTTAACAATGATTTTATTATTTAAAATATTAAAAATATATGTGCCGAGTTAGACACCCCATCGCAAGATGATTGTTGCAGACCACTTGGCTTCTTTAGTTATACCAACTTTAGTAACAACCGCACGATAGCAATACAGAGAGCCAACCAAAAAGCCGCTCTATAGCCACAAATAAAGCTCAGAACAGCACCCAACTTTATCAACAGTAGATACAGGATCTCAGCCATAGTACTAGCCACAAAACATCTTTGTAGCTTTGCCTGATTTCTTTAGCAAAGAGACTAAACACAACTCACCGTCTCTCTTCCAGCAGCCACTTGTTTGTGAGGAGACCTCGGGGCGAGTCCATTGACTGCAGCGGGGAACACAGCTCAAAGAAGACCATTTATGATCATTTCTTTATCATTTCCTTGAAGCAATAATCATCATATTAATCATTTTACACTGCAGACATGGTAGTGCTTCTGCCTTATCGTCTCGGTCTGATTGCATTTCCATGAAGAATTGAAGAAATGTTCTAACTTGGTGTTACTTAATTTTATACCAGAATATCCCTTTAATAAAGTGTTATATTTTTCTTGGCAGCTAACAGAATGTTAAAGTTGCTTTTTTCAATATTTGGCATGACCTGTGGGATAACTGGATTTTAGATGCACCATTAAAATAATAATAACGGTATATTAGACTTGCATAAAACCCACACAACTCCAGGTTTGATCCACTTTTACTCAACCACAGCAATAATAAATACACTATCAAGCAAATGAATGAGCACAGAAAAGGAGGGTACAACTCCAGTAGCTCTACCAGTGACAGTGTTAATGTGTTTTCCAGTGGATTACTCCTGTATTACACAGACAGGAACAAGCTGTAACATGTTGCATAACAAAGCCTGCCAGCTGGGCTTTGTAAAACTCTGTTGTGTCAGCCCACATTTTTGCGCAGTAAGAGAGGAGACTGAGGGGACCATAAAAAAAATTTAAAAAAAAGTGTGTGCTCGGGAACAAGCGCAGAGGAGCAGGGCGATGCTGAGCCCACCACATAAACAGACGCAAACAAACAAACTCACAGAGGTTTGTCATTGAAACACGGACATGACTCATCTTAGTTTGGAGACTTCAGGCTTGAATTTTTGCCACTTTGATGTTTACATCTGTCACTCATCGGCTGTGAAGCTGTGGAGCCAGATTACATAAAACAGCACATGGACGCTTGAGTGAGGCTGATTATAATGAATTATCTGGACAGTGTCTTTCCCCCCTTTTTTTCTCACTCTGTCCTCTTCTGCAAAGTTAGTTTAAGTTACCCACAAAGTGACATAAGAGAGTGTGCCGGGTGAGTGTTTGTGTGACAGGAAAACTAATTTCTTTTAATATCCTGAATTTGAATAAATGAGGGGTGAAGGACTGTTTCTAAAATTAAATAGCATTAATTAAACTCATATTTCAGTGACTCTTCCATCACTAATGAATTTCATTAATGCTGTCAACAAGTGAAGGAAGACTAATACCATAAGTCTCACAGAGCATTGTTACAGAAAATAATGCGAAGACTTGCACGTCCATTCACTTTTGGGACTCTTGGTTTCACAAAGGGCTCAAGTTTGCTCCCAAGTTGCTGACAAGAGTGATCCTTACATCAGCAGTAGAAGCCTGGTCCATGAAAGAAAGGGTTTTTTCTTCTTCTACAGAAGAATTAGATCCGCTAGCTCAGAGTTCTGTTAAACTCTGCCTAAATACATAAACTTAATATAAATTAACATAATTTTGAGTTTCCTGTCAAAGCTCTCTGAGGAGATATGAAATATCTGACAAGAAAACTGTCTCAGGTGGGATCTGCTACTAACAGTTTCAACTAAATACAATGAGATGTTGCAGGAAACATGAAATCGTGGCAGCAAGGTTAAGAAGCTGACCTGTGACAAAAAGTAATTTCATAGAGGGGGAAAATGAATGAGCACAGAACATTTCTCAGTATGAGAGTCTAACTTCAGATACTTTGTACTAAAGGTATATCTTGCTCAGTATATCAGAACTCTCTCTGTTTATCTGGTGTGTGGTCCAGTAACAAACTGTTGAATAAAAAATGTTTTCACTGAAATAAACTTGATCTTTATGTTCAAAGGCTAAATTTCAATAAAACAGACAAACTATGATAAACGTCAACATTGACAATAATTAGTTTGCCATGAATTCATTTGATTGCATTTTTACTAAATAGGCCAGCTATTATCGTTCAAGCTCGCGCGTCCCCAGCAGCCATGGTAACAGAACGGTGTGGTTACCCTATAAATTCAGAATGTTCGATATTTTTGATTCAATACAAACTTGACATTTGGCTGGCTTGTATTACTTTTCGCTGAGAGAGAGATATTTTTGGCAAAAAGCTCAAACTTCACTTGGATTTTGAACACCCGGACTTCACGAGAAGAAAACAACACCTGAGGGCACCTGCGGATCCTGAATCTTCGCTTGGATTTTAAACACCCGGACTTCACGAGAAGGAAACAACACCTGAGGACACCTGCGGATCCTGAATCTCGACGGTAGATGGCTTCCGGAGGACCCCCGACTCCGGTCAGACTGTGGCACAGCAGTGTCACAGGTAAGAAAGCTTTGAAATCTTATATCAAAATTCAATAAATTGTCTCAATTTTACCCGTTAAAAGGTACAATCTACCAAGAAGGATTTAAGTGCAAAGATTGACAGTTAATCGAAGTTGTGGGCACAGAGTTATGGATTTCACTTGACCATGTCTTGACCTATAGAACCATGTTTTAATGTCAGAAATGTTTAAATTTGCACGGGGAAAACGTTGAAATTAATTGAATTAAGTGTGCTGAGGTGAAAAACCTTTGATTTGCTCATGTATGTATGGTGTAAAGACTTCAACTTTCAAAGTTTATATTATCGATATTATTTTTTTAAAGAGTTGGTGGGATGCGCATACGTGCCTTGCAAAACTCGTCATTTATGCCATTGCTGTGATGGTTATGTTATATAATGGTATGAAGTCTGTTTAAATAATTAAAAGACATGTATTCAAGTGTTGAGACTGTAATGCAGCCACTGTGCGAACACGTCTCCTCCACGCCTGTTTTTAAAGTGATAGATTAGAAGTTTAAAGAAGATCTGTTTCACATCTTTATTAAGCTGCCTTGTGAACCTGGTGTAAATGTTTTCCCACGCTGGAATTAAGTTGAAACTTAATGTGACTTCCATGTGTAGCTACTGTTAACCAGCAAAAATCAAGGTTGCTTGATTAGTCTTTGCAATTCCTGTTTTAACAACATTTGAAATGGTATATTAACTTTTGTAAACTTGGGTTGTAAGATAAGTCGTTTTAGAGTTGGGATATTTGCTAAAAGATGATATGCCAAAACCACAGTTGTCCAAACATTGAGGATTTTGAGAGTGAATATTGAGATGGTATTTAATTGTGTGTTTCGGGGATTTGCTGGTTCATACTGTGCTTTGATGTAGAGTGAGGAGATGAGATTTGGGTTTGTGGAGCAGCCACTGTGCGCATCTCTTCAACTCTTGCTCTTATTAATTAGATGCACTGAAAAACAGGCTGTGAAAGACTGATAGGTGCAAAAAGTGTGTGTGATGATTAGCATGGGCTGTTTAAGTGAATCTTGCATGGTTCAGTTCTGGTCAGGATTATGGGCAAGTGGATCTGGGTTGAAACAGAAGACCTACCTTCTGCACAATGATCCGAAACTGTAGATCCTGGCCTCCATGGTTCACATACGGTGCTGCTGATTTGCAGTCAGTCTAAAATCAGTGATGCTGTCCTGACGTTTCTATTCTCTGTAGCAGAGCTGCTGTTTGCTGTCTGCTTTTATTCTAAGTGTGCTAACGCTGTTATCTTAACTACAGTTATTATTTCTCATATGTGGTAATTATACTCCAACAGCAGAATACCATTCACATTCCTGCAAGCCTCATATTTCATTCTCTTATGGATGCACAGATTTTGACAGTATGATGCTTTTCTCCCCACAGGTGGTGGCTCTCCTCCTCCTGCTCATCGTCCTGACTGCTCCCCTTCTCCTGCTCCTCCTGCTTTCTCTTTCGGATCTCTCCTGGAGTTATCCACTCTTGCTTCTCTTGGTGCCTCCTGTGCTGATTTTCCTGCTGCCTCTACCTCACGAAGGTTCAGGCAGCGGGAGGACAGTGACCAGGAGGTGACGCCCCCACCAAAGAGAGTAAGATTGGGTGATGAAGGGAGCGATTCTCTTGCTCTTTTCCGTCTCTCCTCTCCTCCTCTTGCTTCCCCCCCTTCCCCTGCACCTTCTCTTGCTTTCTCCCCTGCTACTCCTGCTTTCTCTTCTGAATCTCTCTCGGAGTTATCCTCTTTTGCTTCTCTTGTCATCTCCTGTGCTGATTTTCCTGCTGCCTCTACCTCACGAAGGTTCAGGCAGCGGGAGGACAGTGACCAGGAGGTGACGCCCCCACCAAAGAGAGTAAGATTGGGTAATGAAGGGAGCGATTCTCTTGCTCTTTTCCGTCTCTCCTCTCCTCCTCTTCCTTCTCCCCCTTCCCCCCCTTCCTCTGCACCTCCTCCTCCTTCTCCCCCTTCCCCCCCTTCCTCTGCACCTCCTCTTCCTTCTCCCCCTTTCCCCCCTTCCTCTGCACCTCCTCTTGCTTCCCCCCCTTCTCCTGCCCCTTCCTCTCCTTACTCTTTTGCTTCTTTCTCTTTTTCCTCTCCTGCTCCTTCTGATTCTTCCCCTTCTTTTTCTTACTCTCCTGCTTCTTCTGACTTTTCCCCTTCTTCTTCTTACTCTCCTTCTTCTTCTTTCTCTCACTCTCCTGTTGCTTCTGCTGATCTATCCCCTTCTTTTTCACCCCCTATCTCTTCCTCTCCTTCTGACCCCTTCTTCTACTTCTACATCTGACTTCTTTGGCTCTCCTTTTCTGACTCCTCTCCTCCTTCTACCCCGGATTCCTCTCCTCCTTCTACCACGGATTCCTCTCCTCCTTCTACCCCTGATTCCTCTCCTCCTTCTACCCCTGATTCCTCTCCTCCTTCTACCCCTGATTCCTCTCTTCCTTCTACCCCCGACTCCTCTCCTCCTTCTACCCCGGATTCCTCTCCTCCTTCTTCCCCTCGTCTCGCTCCTCCTTCTTCCCCTGCTCCCCCTTCCTTTTTTTTCCTCTGAGCTTTCTCCTCCTGCTTGCGTTTCTGACTTCTTTGCTTGGAGAAGGGGCAGGCAGTCAGAGGCCAGTGACCAGAGGGAGGGCTGGTTACCTCCGCCCATCTATGCAACATGAAAGGTAAGTCTAAACTTTTGAATCAGATCAAATCTCTCTTCATATTCATATTATTCATTGAATAATGGGTGAAAGACTGTCTTACTAACCATTTTTTTTTTTTTGTTTTAGGCCACTGAGGCCGAAAAAAGTAAGTATAAGCTTCTAAATCTATCTCATATTATTGATTAAATTATTTATGTTAAGGTTTGACTAGTTAAATGGCTAATTTTATGAATTTTAAAGAACAGCCCCAAACCAGTGACTTTAGAATCTCACATTTGACATTAGTAAGTGTTGTCAATGATAATATCCTAATTTCCTACTGCCCATCTTTGTTAAATTTATTTTACTGCTGTCAAGAAAAGAGTCAATTATTTATGTCCTATTGTTGTCATTGTAATTCAAAGTGTCTTTGCCAGTCTCACTAACACTTAAATATCGCTTTTTCTCTATCCCACCTGAGCGGATGTGTGCCCCAACACACACCAAAAAAAGTAAGTATGAGCTTTTTCATCAGATCAAATATCTCCTAATTTTAATATAATTTATTGAATAATAGTTTTATGACTTTCTTGCTAACCAATCTTTGTCTTATCTCACCTTTGTCTTACATGGTCTCCTGAGCTCCTCCTGGTTCCTGAGGCCGAAGAAAGTAAGTATAAGCTTCTGAATCTGTTTAATATAATTTTTTGATCAATAGTTTTATGACTTTCTTACTAACCAATCTTTGTCTTATCTCACTTTTGTCTTACATGGTCTCCTGAGCTCCTCCTGGTCCCTGAGGACGAAGAAGGTCTGTCTGAGTTCGTTTACCTGGATAAGGGTGGCGATACACATTGCTTGTCAGCTCAGTAATGTATGAAGGACAAAAAGAGACAGAATGAAATAAATAAATACATCTTCAAATACATACTTATGTATGCCATTAATTAATAAAAATGGAAATTAAATATGCACTTTTGAAAGTTGCTGTGAGTTTGAAAAGTTTGAGAAACACTGACCTAAAGCATGCAGTGTGTAAAGCAGAGGAATTAAGTGAAAATTTTGGAGTTATCCCCACACTCTACAACCAAGGTATTGACCATAGAATGGCTGCATCAATCCATTAGCTGGAGTTGATCTGTCTTGACTTGATATGCCAGGTAACCAATCAGGTGTTAGAATCCGCCCACTGACTTTGATGGGTGAGTTTGACAGATAAAATAAATTCATGAAGCACTGCAGTACAGGTCCATGAAATAATTGATTAAATAGTAAAATAATTAAACATGTTTTTACATGAAATGAAAAGTTTAAACAAGTCTTTGAAAGAAGTTAGCACTTAAAAACATGCCATTAATCAATTCATGAGTCATGGTGCCAGATGAACAGAAAAGAACTGAATACTGTGAGCTCTGTCAAGAGAGTCAACTGTGCTGCACATCCGCCTTTGTTGGAAGAAAACTCAGCATTAAAATGCTCTGTACAGAGTGTTTCTGCCTAGAATTAAAAGCATAGACAAGAGACTATTTTTATGTTACTTTTGTTTGTTCTAAAAGAAAAATGTTTCAGTTTCAACAAAAACGGAGTTAGATGAAATCTGCTGGAGGCTGATACAAACAAAAGCTACTGATGATAAAACAGCTTTAAAATCATTAAATATCATACAGACATTTACTCTCAGAGAAAAGGGCGTTTTTTTGTTACTTTATCACTTTCTGTCACAAAAACGGCTGTGTCACTAACTCATGTACTGCACCAGCAGGATGGGGCTCCAAAACACTGACTGATTTGGTGAGCGAATCTTTTGAACGAATCGTTTTAATGAACGGATTCTAAAGATTCAGTGCAGTCGAAAGAACTGTTCTTCTCATCAATACCTTCACCTATACCTGGCTCCTCTCTCTTTAGGCAGAGCTTCTTTGCTTGTTAATGCTATAATGCTACACAAAGTAAGTTACAGCGCCACCCATCATATTATTGTATAAGCACAGATTGGTGAAATATATTATCAAAGGCGAAAAGGAGTGAAGCATGCAGAGGACGAGATAAGCAAAGACTTGTTTTTCCACAGGGCGCTCTAAAGTTGACACAAACAGATAGTTCCTCACAGGAGCTTTAATCACATCACACTGCAGACTATGTGTGGATTCCCTCTTTTGCCACATAAGCTTGAACCAGGTTTCTATATATTTTTGATCAGGCAAGGTAGTGTAATAATCCATGGTGTGTGTTAAGTCATCTGTCGTTATGATCTCACAGTTGAATTTTTCACAAACTGCAGGGGTGCTGACCAAGGACATGCAGCAACAGAGACACAAAGTTAGCCAGCATTTCAGCCAACAGCAAAGGTCACCCTGACAGCACAGGTGCACCGAACAGAAACTTAAGAGTTAGAGGAAAACCTGGGAAAGTCAGCATTGGTGATAGAAACAACATTTCTCAGCCTTTCAGTGTCACATTGAAAAGAGTCTGAGGGTAGCACTGATATTCTTCTGATTGAAATCTAAGTGTGAAAGCTCTTGTGATGAGTTTTTTTTCAGTGGGCTGGAAGATACGGACACAAAATGATCCAAAAGGTAATAAATACATTAAAAAAAGGTCTTTCTTCTGGATTTACAACCTTGTCTAAAAAACAGCGTTTCTTAACTATTTCTGTTGATATTGAGATTGATTGTCGAAATGTGGTTCAGACACTTTTAGGACTATAAATTTGCATTTAAAGAGCGTGGAAAACTGAATGCATTAATGGAGGACTGCACTGTCGTAAACAATCCTATAGAGAGCAGTGCAGTGCTTTGCTCCCACTCATCTCACTCCTGATTCCGCTCCATCTCTGGTGTGTGTGAGGGAGCACCTGTGTTCATCTGGCCTCTTCTGGGAGACAATCAGCAGCTTCATGTCAGGATGAAAACATGAAGCAGGCTGCTGGGATGGAGTTGTAACACGACACCATTAGGCCTGACAAGAGCGAAACAGAGGGTAAAAAAGCAGTATAATTGATTCTGCTGTTATTACAGTTTTATGGTTCATGAAATTGAATCGAATTTTGCATAAATGTGCTTGGAGGACGCAGCGTGTTACCACTGAGGGTGGAAACTGTTCATCCTCTTTCATTGCACCAAGTGAGATGAGTATAAATGCACGTTTGGCAGCTGATGTGTATCCTGATAGCATGGATGGTGATGCACTGATGTAAATGAGAGGAGAACAGCTTGAAATTGATGGCAGGCTGGAGGATAAAATATGATGAGATATTTAACACTGCTTGCCTGACTGCAGTGTAGGAGGCAAAAGAGAGAGAGAAAGAGAGAGAGAGAGAGAGTAAGAAAAACAGAGAGAGAAATGAAAACAGCTAAAGGGCCAATATATCCCTCCAGCCCTCATTAGGGGAAGAGAGAAGCAGCAGTGTTTTGTTATAAATGGAGGGCTAAGCCTGAGAGCCAGCAAGGCTCTACGGGCTAAACTCCACGTCTCTGGAGGTTAGGGCACATTCGCTTAAAAGGAACAAGAAACTTATGGGGAAATGTGTTGGCTTTCTTGCTGAAAGTTTATGAAAAAAGTGTGGCTACTTTCATCAGAGTGTGCTAAATGTGAGTAGAGCTAGCAGCAAGTTAGCTTAGCACATGGAAACCAGGGAATACATTTAGCTAAAAGCAGGCTTAAGAGATGAAGCCAAAATTAAACATGTTTTTAGCCTGGTACAAAATAAAACAACTTTAGCCTTACTGGTATAAGTAACAGTATTCTCTCTGTTTATGTAGAGCTAATGTTCTTTATCTGGGCGCTTTTGAAAGAGAGCTGGTGTAGACTGTGAGTCTTAATGGTTCTTGCACATGACTAACAGAGACCCAATCCCATTTTTTTCCCCATGGCATAATTAAAGCTCCAGTAAGGAACTCTTGGTTTGTGTTGATTTTGATGCCCCCAGTGGACAAAGCAGTCTTGGCTTATGTTGCTACATACAAACACTTTTTTCTGTCTAACTTCAAAAGTGTGAATAAAATACATTTGTGTGCCTTTATCAGTAGTTTGTAGTAGTTTGTCATTGAACATGAAATCGTTATCCATTATTGCTTTGTAATGGAATAAAATACGCCATTTTCAAAAATTGAGGAGGTAAATATCACACAAAAACACAAACAAACAACAGCAGCACGTCAAAGGGAATAACCAAGCCGTGACTCTGTGACCTGGATGGAAAAACTGGACCCAAACACAGACTAACCTGTAAAACGTTAAAGGGAGGCAGGCTCAGGTTTGAGTGGATCTAAAGGAAAAACACATAGCAAGACAATGACAAGGCGCACAGCATCTAGGAACAAACTGGTGAAGGAACAAAGATCTGGACCTTTAAGGAAGGTGAATATCTATTGGAAAAGGCTTAGTGTATTGGATTATCTGAAGGGCAGATCTGTGGGTGAAGAAACATGGTTGGAAACCAGACTTAATTATTTGAAATCAAAATTTCTAGGATTACATTTTTTTCTTCTCGGTATAATGAGTAGTGTTGCTCAAACTTCTAAACCCTCTTAAAAGACATTATCCACCACACCCTCTTCACCAACATCATCCTCTTTTGCATCTTTGTGGGCTCTTAATGGGCCATGAGCACTCACTCTCAGGTAATATATATTCGATGAAGCTGTATCCTTTCTGAATCACACTGTTGTTGTTGTGTGGGCTCACATCGGATGCAGCTGCAGTAGTGGTTTTGTTTATTTCCGCCCTCATCCCAAATTTGTCATCCCTCTGAGGCTCGGTCTGCTTTCCAATCCCATGACTGAAAAACAATAAAAATCATAATGACTTTGTGTTTCCTAAGTGTTATTTTTCTCTCTCATTCAAATTTATAACAAGAGTATTTCAAGTAGTATCAGATGTACCACTAAGTCCATAATTAAGGTGCCGGGCATAAGATTCTTAGTCTGCACCTCAGGCTGAGCTAACTGACTCAGGGTCAGTTTCTGAAAAGTATGACTCACTGAAAGCCTTTTAGCAGTCACAAATTTAGAAAACTGTGTGAGTACAGCACATTTCAGCGGGAAGAAAAAGTACTCTGGCGGCAGGGAAGATGGCTCCTGCCAGCTCAACAAGTATAGCATTTCAGGCTGCCATGACCCTTGTTGCTTCAGCACCTTGGTGGAATGTGAATTAAGATCACAGCGCTCAGAAAATGGCAGAGTGGTGCTGCTGCATGCTCACAAATTGACATTATTACAGAACACCCTGGGTCCACTGAAATATAGATGAGGAAGAGGAGCATTTTGGAGCTCAGCTGGGTCAAGCAGAATCAGTCCAGGCAGCCTCTGTGAACTCTGGCACACAAAAATGTGATTTCCTTGTTTATGTAATAGCATGAGCTGATTACTATTAGTTTTTTTTTCCCTTTTTTTCCAGGGTGGCAATTTGCATCCATTATCAGCAACAAAGCAAGAGGACAAACACTACAGCAGGGGGAGGAAAATCACTTTCCTCATGGTCACAGCATGCAAAAAAAGCAGGGAAAAATGAGCTAAGAAATGTCTATTGAAGCAAATGTATGGCTTTATAACAGGCATGAACAAGACTTGCAGCCTGTCACATCCACTTTGGCAAATCAGTGTGACAGCAGATGCCAATAAAGAGGAGGGGAACATGGCATTTGAGAGAAAAAATGAGGGAAAAGAACAGAGTGGAGAGCTGAGGAAGAGGGAAAAGACAATAACATGGAGTGAAGAAGTGCGACAGAGAGAGGCATAAACAAATTTTTCTTGCCTGTAATGTTTGGCGAAGCAGCACGACGGCCGGCTTTTGTCAAACGGGCATATTAGATGAATAATTCAAAGCAGCTGGCAGACTGGAGGTTTAAGGGCTGGCGTAAAGAGGTGACAAGGGAGACATGTTATGGGGCTGGAGTGGACGTCGGTGATGCATTTGAGGAAACTGCTGTTGAATGACTGTGTGTGTGTGTCATAACTAGAGACACACATGAGGAAAAGGTCCAGACTCAAGACTGGAGAGTGTGTTTGATACTCACACTGCAGAGGGAGTCACATGCAGAGTTTTCAGGAGCTATTACCATATCTTACTCAGTCCTTTGTTCAAGTGTTCATCAGAGATTTGAGACTGTTTGTGTTTTTTCCCCTTACGCAGGTCAGCATTGAGTCAAGGCTTCTCTTTTATGTTGCAGACACACATTTCCTCTGTCCATAAACCAATAAACCCTAAATCCTAACAGATCTGAGTCCTGTTATCGAGCAGCAGGCCTCAAATCCTCAATACTGCACTTCCTGGACCAGAGATAGAGAGGAAAGGAAGAACAAGAGCGAACCAAAGCAGAGAGGCAGAGATCAAGGCGGCTCAAAGGCTGATTTGATCTCTACCAGAGATGTCCTGGAGTGGCGGACCTCCAATCTCAGTGGGAGGGGAGAAAGAGAGTGAAAGGTGCGGAGGCTGTGAGATGGACCTGTGCTGAATTTAAACCTCACTATAGGCGTCCATGTTTTCACATTAAAAGGCATCTTGACACTGAGGGAATTGAGGGCTACACCGTTGAACTTCTTACCTTGAAGCGCTAAACTTTAGATGGACAAGTTTGCAGAATATTTTTCAGTCACCTTGCAGATGGGATCTTTGGGCTCGGGGCTGAAAAAAACAACTCTAAGTATGCAAAGTAGTGGCAAAACATGATGGATATTTCCAGATATTCAACACCAACACTGAATCAAATTCCGATCGAGTAGAGAAACACATGTGGAAAGACAGATAAGTCAAAAGATCAATATGTGAGGCTTTTTCACTGTGCAACAAGTTGCTGCAGAGAGCAAAAGTCACACTATTTTCCTTTTAAAATTGAACTGAAGACAGTCATTCGGAAGAAACCTTGGTGATCACCTGATAGATACTTGACTGTGGTGATTGTCCCTCAGAGGTGCAGTGGGTTGATCATCCCCTCCAGTCCATCCTTGAGCAAACCAAGCAGTTTTCTACCATGGCATTGAACAGGTGATTGATTTGGGGCTGGAAGGATGATCGTTGATTGGTAGTTTAAAGTGCCTTACATGGTCAGAAATCTAGAAAGGCTTTAATACTATTTCTACTGAAGTAACCAAGTACTGTTGCCTAGACATTTCTTAGCAATCAAAGTGACAATTTAATGATGCACAACAATGCCTATCATGGGTTTTAGGGTGCCAACGCAGCAGCATAAGCATTTCTCCATGGGATAAATGCTTAAAAATGCCAATGGATGGGCACTGTAGGATATTCAAAATGGTTCATAAGTGATAGTGTGATCAATAACTTTCTTGTAGACAAGAGAAGCCATGAAATATCAAAGCTTTTAAGGTCTGGTAATGTTACAGAAAGACAGCACTGTCCCTCAGAGACCTGATGAACTTACTTGAAGAAGAAGTGATCTTAAGAAGTGAACACATTTAATCAAAAAATTAAATCCATTAACAAACATGCTAACTGTAACAATAAGTTAATGGGTGAATTCTGTTAAAAACTGCCGAAAGTTAAAAGGTTGGAGTTAAAACATAAATTGGTATTAAAATCATTTGAGAGTCCAATAGCCTATGTACGAGCCATCCCTCTACAACCATAGCATGTCTCCGAATCTCTGTGAATGTGGTGTCAGTAATGTGCTCATGTTGCTGAGGGTTTTTTTTTGTCACTGCACTCATATTAATGAGAGCAGTCTCTTTTTTTCCCTCTCGTGTGTACTATCCCCATCTGTAAATGCAATTTCGTTGTGCACAAGTTGCAATGACAATAAAGACCATACCATACCATACCACTTAAGGTGAAAGGGCAGGTAAATGCTACAAAGGGACACAGGTGAAGCAGTGATCTGGGGAACGGGGAGAGCACACGGTTTTTACACTACGGTCTGACACTACTCTCACCCTCATCACGCACATCACCATCATAGTAAGTTGAAGGTATCTGTCTTTTTTGTTTGTTTTTCATTAAATCAATAAATGGCAAAAAGAAAACTCAACAACAACCTTGGATTGGACATTGGATTGTACTAGAAGCGCGTCAAAAACACTTCACTCCCACATCCAGACGGTGACTAAAATTCAGGTCAGCATGGTCACTACAGCCCACCCTCCTCCATCCTCTGCAGCATAAGTGGTCTGCGAACTGTGATCCATCTCAGCATGTTCGATCAGGGTCTGGAGCACATTATGTTCCTATTGATGTGAGTTCAGACTCTTTTTAGTGATCTGGATCATGTGGCTTTGTAAGAACTGGCTCTTTCAACTCCCAAGTAGCTCTTCATAGTGTCGGCACGACACACTCATAAAAAATGACCAATTTAAAGGGGAACTTTGGTAAAGGGCTCAGGTGAAAAAATGTGGAAGTTTCCCTGTAACTTAGAAATTGTAACTTTTTTTTGTTTTTTCTAAAAATGAGTACCAAGGCTTTTGCTGTCTTTTTTCTAAAGCTGTTGTAGATGTTGATCAATCAGCTCTTAAGACCTGTCAATGGACTGATTCTGCAGTGCATCAGTGTTTTGTTGTGTGGGTTTGCTGTAAACACTGAAGAGCTTTGAAGGTCACGCAGAGAAAAGATGTATTGGCTTGTCTATGAGCAAACAATTCCATATACCGGAAACGCTTTTTCACAAAACAATTAGCTAAAGGTTAAGCATCCTTCATTTGAGATCCACTCTTGCTAAAGGCTTTATTTATGTTTCCTTTATGTATTACAACAGATGCATATTTATTAGGCAATAAAACTGTCACTTCCCACTTGCTCCCTGGTGGCCTTCATTTTAAGATTAAAATCAGATGATGTATTCACTCAAGAGTGCTAATGCAAAAAGGTCTCCATGCCTCCTTCACCTCTGTATGATCTCCAACCAGCTGTTCTGTTGTAATTGCCTGTCACTAGGAACATTAACATCCACTTCAAAAAGCCGATTTATCGCAATCATCTGACTGAAACTGGACTTTAAAAATGCATGTAAACATGTTAGTCCGACTGACAGACCTGAATGTTGTCTCCTCTCAAGCTCTGAGCTGGTAGTTGAATAACATAGATTAGGCTGACCGTATTCTGAATCCCCAATAAGAAGGCACGGCTACATGTTTCTAACTCAGTAAGTCGACGAGACACAAACTCAAAACAAGGCTGGACAGGCTCCAAAAAAAGAGGACGTATGGTCACCCTAACATAGATGTGTTGCTTGGAAGCCAGGTAGTAAACAAACCCTCTAAAGTAGTGGTGTTCCTATCCAATACTGGTATCAGATATTGGTCCAATATTAGCAAAAAAAAAAAAACAATTTCAGATCATATCGGCCTAAATGTAGAATCTCTGACATCAGCACTCCAATAAAAGCAGTCCATTCCAGACTCTGCTCTAGCACTTCTATCTGGCAGCACTCTGATCCAGCATGCAGAGCCCACAGGTAATCGCATCAGTGTGCACTAAGGTGCCAACAAAGTAGCAAGAATAGAGGTGATGTCAGCTGAGAGGCAGTATTTTTTTTTGCTTGAGCCTGCACATCTGGTTTTGTTGTATTTTATGCTGTTTTTTCTTGACATTGCAGCCGAGTGCAATGTCAAAAACTTGTCATGCGCAAGTTTTTGCCAATATCGGCTCAATATCGGTATCGGCCAGTACTGGAGGCTACAATATTGGTATCATATTGGGAGAATAAAGTTGTATTGGGACACCCCTCCTCTAAAGTCAAAGAAAGGATGTAAAGATGTACTGAACAGCACAGAGCAGGTAATTGACAAACTTTTGTTTTGATTAAGGATTTAAAAACGTGAAATTCAAATATAGGATTTGAACTGATCTCAGTGGACCTTCTTCATTGCCTCTCTAGAGACCCATGTCTACATTTCCGTGCTGACTCTCTCCCATGTTTCACAGCCAGACGAGAATAGCATGAAGCCATCATTAATGTTATTAGCTTCACTCATGCCTTTTCCTGCCATGACATGTCAAAATGTCTGCCATGAGGAAGGTAGAGGAGAACATATAATTATGAGTAGATGGAGAACGGTGACTTCCCGTGACACCAAGAATAGCTGAACTAATCAACCTGAGTGGCTGAAAAGACCTGTGTGGGTGTGTAATACCCAGTTTTTAATATGTATATTTATGTATCAGGTTATCAACATTAGAGTCAGTCAAATAAGGAGAAGGTCAAAAGAGCATGATTCAGGACTGTAAAGAAAACGACGAATACTACTATATAAACCTGCAGTATATGGTCGACATGAAGTTTGGTCAGCTGCAGCTCTAAGCGTAATTATTAAGGCTCAAGCTAAGGTCCCAAAGGTACTGAGAGACCATGTCGATGTTCACGTGAAAAACATCTAGAGAGTCCAATTTTCTCGCTTTGACCTATTTCAAAGTGAACTCTAAATAAAGATCAGTCTGAGTGAAGCCAATACTGCAGGAAGTGTTTACGTGCAGGCTCCACGTATTTGCAGTAATCACTAGTTCAGATTTAAACACAAGGAAATGCACTCTTCTCCTCATAAAGGCAGGATGGCTGTCAAGCGTCTTGTTACACTAAGTCAAAGGCAAAGGAGGATTTCAAACATTAGCATTCCTCCATAATTCCTCTTAATCCAAACACTAACATAACGGTAGGAAGTTCAATCTAATTTAGGAGAGGATGAAAGCCAAGGATATCCTATGTGGGAAAAGATTTGGATTAATTAGTATCATCGAGGCGGTTCATGTGTGCGTTTGGTTGTATAGCTTTTTGTATGTGAATGTACGATGGCTCGTGTGTGTTTGGCAGTATGTGAGATGGTAATTGCCACAGTATAATATCTCGTGAGTGGAGCCGCAACCTCATCATAGGATGTTCACTGTCATAAGAAGCATGTTTGATTGGATTTTCCTGTTTTAATCACTGTGCCTCTATTTTTGCTTACAGTGGTCGGGGCCCGGTTAATTACAAGGACGGATTAAAATTCAATGTCAACATGTTAAAGGCATGCAATCATGGCCATAAATACACATAAGGGAATGTGGAGGCATCATTTAGATAAATCAACCCTATGTTAGTGTGTACTCTACTGACATCTTTGTGGGGGGCATGTTTACATGTGCTCATGCATAAACATGTGCTTTTGCTCATATTGAGTAAAATTACGTGAAATTGGAACAGAGAAAATTAATTAAACCAAAATGCATTTATGTAACTTTATAGTATGGCTTTGTTAGCTGTGAAATTTGGTGTATATGACACACTTTGAATACCTTTTACAGGATCTATAAAGTGAGATGTAGCTTTCATACTCGACACAATATACCAGTATGGAGTGCAGATGGAGGTTTTTCATTGTGTCGCATTCAGGGCTGCCACAATATCAGATTTTTGCCTCACAGTTATTGTGGCAATGAAAAACATGATAATATTCTCATGATATTCGTGATTAAAGGTTGAGATTATAAGCATAAATTTGTTCATAAACATTACAAGTCCATACAAGCCCTTTTAGGGCCTGATCTATCTATGATCCCAAATAGCGAGCGCTACATTGCATGTGCAAACTAAAAAAATTGCACATGCTATTAGTGGGTGTGTTGCGGGTGATGTACTATTATTGCGTGCGCAATTGATAACAGGTGCAAAAGTGGTCCTGACCGCCCTCTTTAAAGGAGGATTTTGCGTGCGCTATCGGCCGTCACCATGAAGAGTTTGTGGGAACAGAGTGTTTGAAGACATGGAGTTGCAAATAACGTATTGGGGAACTGCATAAAAGGCAAGGCAAGTTTATTTGTATAGCACAATTCATACACAAGACAATTCAAAGTGCTTTACTGATACAAGAAGATATAATAGAAATCAAAAGAAAGATTAAAACGATTTAAAATCAATAAGACAAACAGATTTTTTTTTCGTCTGTTCCGTGTTTGACTTAATTATTTATGAAAATCGTCATTTACTTGAAAAACGAAATAAATCACAAGCATTTGGACAAAGATCATGGGTGTATCATGGCACTTCCGCCTCCTTCTCCCCACAATGCCCGTATGTAATGCTGTGCCAGTTTGCACGTGCCTTTCAAACGGGCTAAATATAGAAGCAAAACAGCGACCGCAATTGGTTTCTGGGTTTGACAGATCACACTGCGGGCACTACATACATTCTGCATATTCATGAAGGCAAACACGCTAAATCGATTGTGCACGTGCTGTTTTGCTCATTTGACAGACACAATCCTCGGTGCACCCGGTTAGTAGATCAGGTTTGCGTGTGCTATCAAGTTTGCACGTGTTTCTGCACACGCAAACTTTTAGTAGATCAGGCCCAAAGTGTATGTCATCATTCATTTCTAACTTCAAATATAAGATTTATCTACATCACTGGTTGTGCATCTAAAACTTCATTAGAGAAGACGTTGCCTCATGAAATTATTTTTTTGTCATGTTTTTACTTTCTATTTTTTAACCTCCTGTATCTAAAACTATGCTTTTATTTTGAAGAGTAAGCTACTTCCTGTAAGTGTGAATGAAAACAAGAAAGGTCTTAAAATCCAGAAGTTCAATGAACTGGTGATACAAAGAGAAACAAGCCTCCAAAATCATGACATAGCAGTTTTCAAAAGTGCTGAGTCATCTGTTAGAGAGCTGCTTCAGCTAGCTCACCAACACTCTGCTACTTCTTCTTCTTCCTTGTCTATTATCCATTTTATGACGTGTGGCAACCAGTATAGAGGACCACTACTATGAAGTAAATTATTTTTTATCTTTATTAGACATTTACCATCGATCCTGTTTATCTCCACAGCCCTAGTGATTGATAAATACATGTTGTGACATGCTAATTCTGAAACAAATAAATCCTTTAGTTGGGCTCAGTAGTTCGTTTGTTTCTCTTTTTTTCACCACAGTCTTAAGAGTAACAAGTTCCAGCAGTAATTTATTATTCATTTGTGTTTGAATGTATGCATGTATAAGCACTTATGTCTTCTTAAGCCAGAGCTCTCATCATGTTTACCTCGAGTTCCCGCTGAGTGAGGCTCCAATCTACTTCAAGGGATGAGCAGGGTCCACCGTGTGTGATGGACATTAAGTCGGCGCTTTCTTTTTTATTCGCTGCATTCTTCCCTGAGAAACTAAAGATATTAATATTTAGAGTGATTGTTGCCTCGCCTTATATTGCCTCGCTCCGGAGGCGCTTTCAGTGATGCGGAACACGCAGGAACCAGTCAGTTTAGTGTGTTGTTAGCCTGCATCTCGGCGTTAATGTTCCCCCACATCTTATTGCATGGTGAAATGGCTCCATTAGTGTCGAAACCCTCAGTAATGGTATGCAGATGGGCTTGTGGGAGAAAATGTTGACTGACAGGCAGGAAGCAAAAGTCCACCTGTTTACATGGGCAGATACAGACGATGTATAGCATGAGTGCGTTTTAGTATGTACAATGAAAATTCAACAAATTTCGCAAAGAGTTGTTTGTGTGTGTGTAGCTTTCACCTGTGTGTAATTTATTCTTGAGTGTGTGCAAGAAGTAGTTGTGTAAGTGCCTGAATATGCAGTATGTGTGTGTACTTAAGGGTGCGATTATGAGTGTGTTGTCTCCTCTCAGGGGATGGCAGACGGTGTAGAGACGTGTTCGCCTCTATTCAGCCGTTACACTCTGCTGCTCCTCGGGGGTCTTATTGAAGCGGCGCAGCAGAGAGGAGAGAGTGTTGTGATGACAGTGGAAAATGGACGCTGCACCTCACAACAAACTGCTCCGCTGGCTAAGAAGAAATTGAAAGTTCGAGTTGGCCCGTGGGAACTGTGAACTTTCAAACTTGGTGGGTAAAGTCTAACTAATGTGATGTATTATATACCCAACTCTGCTTCAAGTAGACGGACACCCTCTCTGTTCACATCAGAAGTGTGCAGTACAGGCAGTGTTACTGTTGAGGGAGAGTCAACAAATCAAGCTTCAAGAGGCCTGAGGGGCAAAACAATCACTCTTTCACCACATGGATTACAAATACATTTGGTCACACTTCATTTTGAGGCACGCTTATAATGTAAAAAGCTGTAATTAGTATCTAAGTAGAAAAAACAAACAAACTGATAATTGTTCTTTTTTTTGTTTGACTGTAAACAAGCTGCGTGATTCTGAAAACAGAGTAAACATGCACATGTACTTTGCTCGTAATGTAAATGGCATGTCTATTTTTGTGATCTTTTATATCTTGTTTGTATGAGGTGATATTTCCTTTATAAACCCCTCCAGGTTTCTTTAATCTCTCCTGAACACCTGGTTTTGTTGTATTTATGCTGTTTTTCCTGCCTGTATTATTGTGTGAATCAATTAATAATAAAAAATAATAAATGAAAAAAAAAATTAAAAGCAGTTCTGCACCACCATCATTCTAAATAATATGTCGTTCTGTAATGAATAATGGTAAACTGTTGTGTACACGTCATTAACCTTTGAGAGATTAAAGCTCCTGTTGTGAACTTTTGGTTTGTGTTAATTATTCGTAGAAAAGTGGTCTTTCCTAATCTGGTCCTTTACCTCTGACTCATTCTGCTGACTTTGATGGTGAAATGTGTAATTTATTGTAAATACTTAAAGTGAAAATGGTAATCCTAGGACTTTTTCTTTGATTGCTCAGCTGACATCTACTCCTGATAGCTGGTCTGAGGTATTAAGACAATATAAAATCACCATTTTTGCTAATGTTTGCTTTTTTATTGTCCAAAAACTCCTTATAGGAGCTTTAATTAGACAGCCGCAATTTCCTCAAAAGGACACCATGTTATGTTATCTCAAATTCTCAGCTTTAAGCCTTCATAGGATTTTTCGGGCATGCTGGTGTACCCAGTAGTTGGCGAAAAATACTTCACTTTTTTTATTAATTTACAGCATTTTTTTCCTGTCCAATCAGCAACTTTAGAGGTTGAATTTCAGAGTAAGTACAGTTATTTCTTTGTTTATTTTATCCCCTGTTGTACTTATTTATTGTTTTCTGGTAGGTCTCAGTTTCACTGTAAATAGTAAGCTACACAGAGACTTCACTCTGAGTTCCGCTGTAAAACTGAACAAATAGACAAGTTTTTCTCCTTTCGTCAGCAAACAGGAACCAAAACACACACATACTTTGTCATAGTCAGACAAAGGCATTTAACAGGTAAAGTATAATTTCCTCCTCAGGTTCAAAGAAAATAAACTTTCTTAAATCTTTTCTTACTTTACACGCCCGGATGTTTTCTGAAGTTGAGTTTTTAGATAATTACAACAGATTGAGACCATCATGCCATTACCCAACCTTTTTTAGGCTATGGGAGCTGCAAAGACTCTGCATATAGCACAGAAGGCATGATAACGGACTTTATTTTACTGTATACAACAGAGCTGTGCTTATAAGATAAGTGAAATCCATCTTCATTTCCCACTGGTGTCTGAAGTCAATTACTCACAGCTGTGTGTTATGCCCTTAGTGCTGAGCTTTTGATACCAGGTCTGAGACACACTGATAAAACCAGACTGTCAAACTGGCTGACTCTCAGCTGATCCCTGCTAATTTGTTCTAATTACTCTGAAAAAGTGTCATTAACCCGAAGGAAGATACATAAACACTCTCGGTTAAGACGCAGCTCTAATACCCCATTAATTTGGAGAATCACTTTTTTTCTGAAGGGCCAGTCAGTCAAATATGATTAATTTTGGCAGCGGGTTAGTTACTCGAGTACTTCTCCCTCTGTCTGCTGTAATCATTCTGGGTTCGTGGAGTGCATAGGAACGAGAGTCAGTCCTGGAGGGAAACAAAACTCAAAATTTCATTTCCATGATTGACATCAAGATCAAGTAGGAATGTGAAAGTTTCACACGACAAAATAAGGAATAAACAAAAAATGTGTTTTTTCATGATGTCTCCAAAATAGCCTCAAGGTTACTTTCACCTGCTGTCCTGAAGCACAGCTGTTTTTGTTTTCTTTTTTTCGTCTGAAAAACAAATGAATGTCTGCGCCAAATGTTTTACTAATCCATCCAGCAGCTACCAAGACAGTTTTGGAATAACACAAACAGCAACTTCACAATGACACTGAGGGAGTAAAACAGACGTCATCAGTAACGTCAGACAACTTTCCTGGAGTTTTGTGTCATGTTGGTTTGTACCTGGTCAATCTGGAGTGAAGTGCGTCACATATACACAAAATTTTGTGAAAACATTCACTTCATCTGGTTTGTAAAGCATTACAGTATATTGGCAGCAGTCAACAACTGGAGCTACAGCCCTGGCTATAGCGGCAGACGGCTGTGCCACAGCTTTGAGACAACAAATCACCAGCGTTTAAGGGTCAACGGGAAGGTGATGATGCAGAATTTTTAAGTCAACTAAACACATGAGGTGTAATTTTAGGAAAACTCTGGGTGATGACATATCATGTGATCATGAAGCGACACAGCGACTCAGTTGTAAATCTGCTCGTAATAGCGGCAGTGGACTGCTTCACCAGTCATTCTGTATAGCTTGTTAATGTCACACTGTTAGTCAAGCCTCATGAGGACACATAAAGGTAGCAGCCATGGTTACAGACACGTTTCTACCTGCTACACATGAGGACTGAGAAACTGCAGCTTCTTTTTCTTGGTTTGCAAAGACGTTTGAATAAATGCATTTGAACACAGCATACTTAATAAGTCCTCTCTATGCATAATTCTTATCTAACGCACAACCTGTATCATAAATCAACCTGCATTTTTGTTGCCCACACACTAATGTTAATTTGTAAGGTTAGATGAACTTGACCCTGAAATCTAAACCGTCTCTGCCCACGTTTGGCTGGTTGGCACCTGGTCACTCCAGTTGTGGAGATGTGTGAAAAACAATTTCAGCAAATTCAGGGGTCAACTGTCCTGACATTTTCTGGAATTTTTCAGGGGTGAAGATATGAAAAGATCTCTTGTGCTTTCTCACCAACAAAATACTCACATGTACTGCTCTCAGGATGTGTGTTCAGTGCAGACAGAGTCAGAGGTGAGCAGAAATGCTGTGTTTCAGCTGTTTAAGTCTGAGATAAGATTGTTTAAATGTTTGCAATAATGTCCTCTTTAACTCATATTTGAGACTTGCAGTAAGCCATCCATGAAGTACAAACAGGCAGGTCTAATAGTGGATTTATCATGTATCCAAAGCTGAATTGATGACAGCTGGTAAGTCTTTGAAAATGATTCTTTTTCACAGTAGATTTGAGCATTAAGAATTTGAAACTGCACCTCCACACTGTAAGAAATATCCTTTCATAGGTGTTCATCGTTCATAATAATCTAAATACATCTATGTGTGAAAACACTGACACATGACTGTGTGGTGGGTCTTCAGGAGGTGAGATCTGAGCTAACTTAAACATGTGATTGTGGTTCTGTGATCACAGGAACTACAGGGGATCATGTCAAGTTTACTCATCAGATGGATATAAATTACACAAAACTGTTAAACACTGGCACAGCGTTTGTTTTGGAGAGCCAAATTATTTACGGCTCCAATCTTTGCTTAAAGTTATGTTTCCTAAATCTACACTTTAATTATGATCTTATTTAAGGTAGTTTCTAAGTACTTTTAACTCAGGCACTGTAGGCTAGCTGTTGCCCTCACTGCCTCTCCCAAACATGGTTTTAACACACACTTTGCTAACCACACCAACACACTCACACAGTGTTGTGCAGCGAGGTGGGCGCAGGTGCTCCTTGTTGTCATGATGAAGCACTCCTGTCTCTCTCCGCCTCTCAGCCACTACATCCACATCCTGTGAGCGGGTACAAAAAAAAAAAAAGAAAAAAATGCATTTGGCCATTTTTAGTCAGCAGGTGGCTCGTTGTTGGGGAGGTTGTGTTTTACATCCCAACAATTGTTGAAACAATCTCCCATCTTCACTGAGATAGATAGATAGATGGAGAGAGAGAGAGTGAGAGAGAGAGGAAGAGGGAGTGGGTGTCCAGTTGGTGGTGTGAAGAACGGTATTGTGGGTAAATGTCACAGAGAGCCTTCTGTTCCATATCTGACTAAGTGAGCGGGAGAAAAAAAAAAAGAAAAAAAACTCCTCGGGCACATCCACCACTTTGTCTGCTCTGATAACAGACAGAGTCAACAACAACCACGAAGAGAGGAGAATTTCAGCCGAGTAATAACCGAGGACTGTCAATATTATCACATAACTGCTGAGCAACTACTTCAATATTTGTGTTTTTGGCCCAAACATGAGCACAGTTTTCAGACGATTACGTTTAATCTCTACGAATTTTGTCAGCAAACTGGCACGGTAATGGTTTGTTTGTCTGAGTGTTGCATAAATATGGCGCAGTACCAGTTCCTTTATATTGCTTTAAAATAGATGTATGCTGCAGATGGAAAAGAGTCCTATTTTATGAGCTGCAAAGTCAACTTATCTAGTCTCTCACTGTCTGTTTCATTTTTCCTGAGCATGAAAGTGCTACTAGCTCAGTAAGCTGTTAATGTATTATAGTAAAGCTGGGGTTATTTGGTATCCAGTAGTTTAAGAGAAGTCACCCACTGAGCAATAGACGGCTTTTAGATGTCTGGGTTTTTTTTAGACCAAATTTCAATCATCTAGATTCTGTTTATTTTTTAGACAGAATTTAGACATTGCACTTTAACCCATTACTGGATAACTGTTTATTTCAAAAAGCAAATGTGAGTTGCATAACTGATAGCCATCAAGCAGTATACAGTGTAGTATAGATATAGCTCAGAGTAAGATTTAGTCTAAAATTGGTCTAAATTTAGACGTCTAAAAACTTTTAATTTTTAGACCTGTGGT